CTGCTTCGAAACCTACGCAACGATCGTCGCTTTTCAATTTCTAAACACGAAGAATCGAATAAGTTGTAACACAGGTATAAAAGTACATCTTACATTCAATGTATTTTTTGCTCGAAAGTGCGTAAGATTTCGGGGGTATGTCTATTCACCAAAAATGATTGCAATTAACCCCCGGAACCAAAAATAATTTTTTTAGAACGATTTGAAATTTTTTAATTTCGTCGTAAAATTTAGCCACTTAGTGAATTTTTTTCTCGAAACTGGTTAGGATTTCGAGGGTATGTCTATTCACCAAAAATGATTGCAATTGACTCCAGCAACTAAAAATAATTTTTTTAGAACGATTTGAAATTTTTTAATTTCGTCGTAAAATTTGAACACCCCCTGTCGATTTTTCTTAAGAATTCGTTTTTGATTCTTAAGAAATTTGTTTGGCGCTCTACCGAGAGATTGCTTAATATTTTTTCGCCGTCAGATTGTGCCAAGGTGTAAGGTCTACTCGTGTGTCTCTTCTGTGGTCGTAGGTTTGTAGGTTGACATCGATCGCGTTTCTCGACCGAAGATAGCGTGCTGTTGAACCTGCGGCGATAAAAGGGCCCTCCATCCCTTCGCTAGACGGGGCTCTTTTTCACGGTTACTCGTCTTGCGCTCTTCGAGTTTCCAGCTGTCGTGACACGACTTCGTGAAAGGGTCTGAAGCATCGCCGACAAGGGGGAGGCGAGCTTTAACGAGACACAATCGATCTATCCTGGCTCGTATCGGTATATTCAGCCGCGCAAAAGAAGAAAAAATGATTTCGGGTAGACAGAAAGGCACGAGACTAGCATAACTTATTGTACTCGCGCTACCAAAATCTGTTCAGTATCGAGCTCGAGGTCCTTCGTACCCTTTTCTTCGATTTGTCGTTGTATTTCGTACAATATTACATGCTTTTCCAAGATCCTTTAGTAACAGGTGAAAACATCGGACGTTATTTACATTTCAATCGTTGCTGTATTTCGATTACACGGCGACCTTCCGCAATTTGCTTTTTAAATTTTTTCGTCCGATGTTCCTCTTTTTCCACGATAAACATGTTTACGATGTTATAATATGAATTATGCATCGACATGCAAAGTTGCAAATGTGGACTCGACCGACGACGGTCAATTTGACGATCGTAAACGGACTGGTAGCAGAGTCGTTCTCGAAATAAACTATTATGCAGGATGTTTTGCTCGTAACAGGTCACCCGACTCGTTTCTTCAGTCCCGACGACACGAAAAAATGTCCCGTATATAATTTGAATAATTTTAAGGGGTGGATACACCAAAAGAAACATTTCGTCCTTAGCGGTCTCCTTTTTTATCTGAATTTCACAAGTCAGTGGATCCTCTTAAAAGGGGTACAGAAGACACCCCCCATCGTTTTCGCGAACAGAAAATGTATCGCGGGCGTAAGTTCGGGTCATCCAGCGGCTCGGTAAGAACACCAGACGGCCGCTAGAAGAAGAGGAAAAGGTAGAAGACGAAGAAAAGGAATGGCGGAACGGCAAGAAAACGGCAGGCTAAAAGAATCCGCCGGATTTCCGCTCGACGTTAAAGCGCCTATCGAGGCCGTTGCGCAACGCGCGTACACGCCCGATAACGACGGCCGGCCGAGGAAATGCCTCCAATCGCAATAATAGACTTCGTTCTTCGAAAACCGATCGATCTTCTGTCAGCGATCCGCGGGAATCGTCTTCGATCCTCGTCGAAAACGTTACACGTCGATACGATGCCCTCGCTACTTCCGGCGGCCATTACTTTTCTTAAACGTTCGAACAGCATTCGAGGTGTTCCATTTTAATAATATTCTCGTTGAGAATTCGCGCACGACGGTGCCCCGTAACGAGTCGGGCGCACGAAATTCGCTGAACGCTTGCGGAATCACGTACAAGGCGTGCCACGCGTCTTTTTCTGCGCGAGCCTTCGTCATCTTCCTTTCACGAGACGTCGTATCTGGTTCTCTTCCCGCTCGCGAGCAGCACGAGATCCATTCGACGCGCGGAGCACAGGCCTGACCTAAGTCAACTAGGTTTCGTGATATCCGACATCCGGTCCGGATCATCGTTTGCCAATAAAAAGTATCGCGACAAGAGATACCGACCCGGCTCTATTCACCAACGTTCCCGACCATTCGCTGTAGAGCGATTCTTTATTACATAACTCTCGAACAGATTAAAACTCTCCTCCGTCTCAAACAGAATGCGTTAAACCGATCGTACGTATGTTTTCCCAATTCCGAAATTGAGTTTCAAGCCTTTCTTTCGCTTTCTGATCTATAATCGTTGGAAGAGCTGATTAGACTCTATGTTCCATGTTGCAAATGAAGTTGTAATTTAAAGACGGTCAACCATAGGTGTTACTGGAGAGCTTGGCCCATCGACAACGCGTTAAAATCGCTCGGAGCAAGAGCCATTGAGGCGGCGTGATAGCTGCGATAAAAACAGCTAGTCGGGCGCTTTCTACCGATGGAATTTCCGTTGAATTTTAAGAAAGGCCAAAATGCAACGATGAAGCAGGGTAGGGCCGAGAGAAGTGTACATGCACACGTTGAACGTGGACGCGCGTGGGCCCGGCAACGTGGTCGGAGCTGCTTTCTACGCGCGGGCGAGAAATGCTCGTTGCACACGCAGCCGGACACACGCGGATGCCGTGCACCGCGACTCGATACGAATTTTACGCGTTACTATCACCCACATACAGCTCCGATATTATTGAATCGGATATAATTTATGCCTCCATTTGCATTCGAAACGTAACCGCCGGACCGAAAGCGGTTCCGTCCAACTACCACACTTCGCCGCCTGTCGTCCCGTTTTCCTTTTCCTTTTTTTTTTTCTTTTTTCTTTTTCTACGGGCCCGATCCCCGGTGAATTAATATTGTGAGTTACGCCGCGATATCCTGTCGAGTTCGCCACTCGAATCGAAGAGACGACGGGAAATGTTAAAAGTCAAGCATCGGGAGACTCGTCCAACGCTTCTTGTTCGAACACCGCGGCGTGCACCATCGGTGGCCCACGCTGAACTTTCCATTCAGCCCGTTTGATGGTTCGGGTTTACAACAGACACGCTATTATGGCACATTGTCTAATACCATTGGTCGATACATTAAGATGTTTTATCTTATTGATACTAATTTGCACGGAAATTAATAGTGGAAGTTATAGATCGATTTCTGAAACAGATATTGCTACTTATTAGATCCTACTAGCGATTAATTAATTTGATGGTAGCCTTTTGATAACGGACGTGAAATTTCATTATTTACGACTACTTTATAAGCGACAGCGGAGCAATAATAGATTTCACGTCTTTTTTCGTACTCCCCTGCAACTTTCACAAACCTATAATGCAAATTTTATGCACTCGTTCATGTTTTCTACATATGCTTCATTGCAGAGGAAGCAAAACCAGTCTTCGGCATTAAAAAAAATGCTGACAGTTTATGATCCTGCTGGCACGACATAGAAACGGTAATAATTTTTAGAATAATATCGATTTACCCTCTTCCACTTACCAAACCCTTCGATTCCGAATAGTTTAAATTCAACATAAAGTTCAATGGACATTTTTAACAATTTCGTTTTGTAAAAATCTAAAATCTTATCGCCAGATGGTGTGTGCAGTTCACCGACCCACTATAGATAATTCCGCGACCCAGTTTTAGGTCGTGACCCATAGGTTGAGAAGCACTGCTCTCTGCTATGAAAATCTAGGCGAAAAACATTCCGACTAGATTCGTACAATAATTAACAAAACTATAACTCCCATCTGTAACTTCTGCAAGGATGATGGGGACGAAAAGGAAACGACACGTTGCAGATCGACGTAGACCAGCGTACGCGGATGCAAGGCTCGAGGAAACAATCGAACGTTGCTCGAACGACTAGTTCGGATAAATCAAACAGTTCCCACGCACGAAAATCTTCCAAAGATCTTGCGCAAATAACGCGACCATTCGGAGGCGAACCATTTGCCTAGTAAATCATTTCGGGGCCGCGGCGCGCCGTGGGTGGATTTCACGAGAGTGTATACTTGGGAATTTTTGTTTACCGGGGAATTTGCAGGCTGCTAATGGCATCGCGACGCCTACGGTTTCCGAGGCTAGGCAACCTGTAGCGTTCGCGTGCTACCGCGTAAGGCGAGGCTGCAAAGAACGGCTACCCACCAGTTTAACTCCTACGGGAAAGAGAAGGAGACCAGTGATGGGACCGACTCGATAATTCCTTCGAATTTTCGAGAAAAAAAAAAGAAGAAACGACAACATTATCTTCCACTCTTTTCCTTGAGCAACGATCGAGATCGAGTGCTCTGCGATTAAGAACAAAGTTTGGCTTGCAACTACCTATTCTCGCGACACCTACGCGAGCACCTCTCGTTATTATTATTTAAAAAGGGGTAAGGGTCCGGTCGCCTGGCGCTGGTCACACCTACGAGAAAGAGAAAGAAAGTCGAGGAAACCGGCGGAGGTTCGGAGCGGTTTTATACGCGGCCGGCCGTTTGATCGAGACGATCGATCGGCGGCCAACTGGATCGCCGCTATTTCCCCCGGCGAACGAACCAATGAACCAACGAACGAGTTCACCTACGCGCGGCTTGCACGGCACGGAGCCGCGCTCAGCCCCTTAAGGATTCGACTCGAATTCGCTGATAATCGTATTCAAAGTCGCGGAGGAGAAAAGAGGCGGGGCGGCTACCGTGACGGGACTGCTAAATTAATTCTCGTGCCTTTTCTTTCTTTCTTCTCTTTTTTTGTTCCTTCTTTCTCTATCTCGTCTTTCTTTCGCGATGCAATTATGCTCGCGCGGCGACGAGAACTTCCCTTCGATTTGTATTCCGCCCGCGGCGCGATAGAACGCGGAGCCATTCCGTGATAACGCACGGCGCATTCGAGGACGGCGTACCGCCGGCCACGAGAAATCGTATCGGAAGGAGGACAACAACAACAACGACGAGGAAAAATATAAAAATACTCACGTCTTTGCTGGGCACGCAGAGCGGTGTTCCTTCTTTGACGATCCCGGCCTCGACCATCACACCCATCACGATAGGATCTCGAGAGTTGAAGATGTACTGAAATAGAAACGAGTGGCCTTTCAGAACGAAATCTGTCCGCGGACGCCACCGACTCCGACAGGGACGCTTTTAACCCCCTTCGAGGAGGCTGACACTACGCCCGACCGACCGAGTTACGGCCACACCGGACACGCTCTCGAATCGCGGGAAATTCGACCCCTCCCCAATTTACACGAATATTATACTTGAACAATTTCATTGAAGAAACTAGGATAACGAGTCTTTATTTAGACTGTACGATAAATCTCCCGGTTTGTCGATCAGTGATTCATCGAGAAACGGGTAGATCCCCTCGATCGGTTACACAAGTGCCAAGAACGCTTGGCGTACACCATGTACGGAAATCACACGAACGCTATTATCCAACCATATTCGTCCAACGCCTATAGATGTTCACCGCGCCCACTGATCGACCCACCAGCGCCCAAACAGTTAACCCTTGAGTGGGCACGAAAGAATTTACTAGACCCACACTACAGAATACATTACGTACACGCTGCCTAATATAAATTGGCTGTTCAATTAAATTCGAGCAACTTAAATATACTGTTTACGGAACAATTGATATTTATACGCGATTAAAAATAAGAGAAATGGAAAGTTTGACCCCAAGAGAACGACTACCCTCCGTACTTTTAACGACGTTATATGGTGCACCAAAGAATCTGGTAACGCACCTGCGGCAAAACGCGAAGCTTGCAGGGGAACACAGCGATATGCTTGAATTCGTCCCGCTTGCGCTGTTTCAGTTCTTCTCTGTAAGCGGTGAACTTGTCGAAGAGGTGATAAATGATGTCCGCCTGGAAGATCTTCACCCCGAGGGAATCCGCCAATTCCTGGGCATCTCTCTCGATCTTCACGTCGAACGCGAGAATCGTAGCGTACCTGCGAACGGTCGTTCAACGCGTTAACTAAAATCGATGCTTGACATAGTTACGACGAGAATTATTTTCATTGTACTTACTGACTGTCGTGCTCCAACATGATAGACGCCTTCATGACATCCTTCTTGACAACGGGGCCGATACGAATTCCAGCGTACTGCAACGTAAACGATATAACATCGATTTAATGATAACTAATTACAGAATTTTTGAAAAAAAAAAAATGATGCAAAACCGCGAAAAAGATCGCTCAGGGGCCGAAACTCAGGGTGGCGAAACGGGAACGGTCGATTCGAGCGCGACGGAGTTCCGTACTTGGAAGGAAAACAAAATATTAGGGTAAAACATAAACCACTGTCACCGTAACATAAATACAGTGGAACGCTATGTATGTAAGCGTGTGTCTGTTTGGCTGCAGAAATAACTAGTGACGCATGCTGTCCGGATTCGGCTGGCCGGTGCCACGAGACGAAACGAGACGAGACGCGACACGTAGAAATAAACGCGCCTACAAACAAGCCTGTCCCGCGATCTCGAATCTCGATCATCGTTCGATCGACGCGTCGATCAAGAACACGCCGGCTAAAGTTAGCATCGAATCTCGCCAGTGTCTAGCAGAAATTAAAATTAGCTCGACACGTTCTGCGCCACGTGGGGTCAACGGTGACTCACGATATTTATCCGAAGCAAATCTCTCGCTACGCCTACAGCCGCATTCTTCGATCCAATGTTGTTGTTGTTGTTGTTATTATTGTTACCGTTACTATTATTACCATCGTCGTTAGAACGGAGAAGATGGGCCACCTTTTCACGATTGTGCATCGCACTTTGCAACCCCCCATAGCAATATATCGCGATGTATTGCCGCGAAAAAGTATTCAAAGTAGTTCACGAGCAAACGTTGAACGCGTTAAAATCTCGAGCGTGTTCAAGAGGAATTAAGGAAATTATGATGTTCGCGAGTCTGTAATCCCGAGACTGTGAGATCATGGATTTAGCGCGTCGAGACAGCGTTCGTTTCACCGAGTGGCTGTAAATATCTCGAGGGATGAATCTGCTCCGTTTTACTGGCAATAAAGATAAAAATGAAGTATTTACGATACGATCTAAGTAGTGTTTATGGTACTGTTTACAAGACTCGAATACATATTCCGAGTTAATTACTATATGGAGCGGTGGTTGTCGAAAAGAGAAGACACGTTTCTGCGTCTAAAATAGACGGTAGAAATTTACACGAACGTTAGTTTTAGAAGAAAGAATAACAATTGAAAAACAAGTAGTTTCATTTGTCAGCTGATTTAGAATCGAATCCTCCGTTTGTTAAATATCTGACTCGACGACGCTTAAGGATTTCTTTCCAGCCGGCGTGCCCTAACTTTTGGACGATAATGTACGACTAATTGCCCGTGGATAAAGTGGCCACGCAGCGGTTCGTATATTTACAAGCTAATTTTCGAGCCGAGACATCCGGGGAGTCCGATAATCATTCACCGAAAGCGGAGAGAAAAGAGAAACAGGACAAGAAGAAGATGATACCGGGAACTTTCTGAGATTAGGGTTTTTAAGACTTCCGGTGAGCCGTCGCATTCCGATATTAGGACGAGATACGACTGGCTCGTGTTTCTTTGCGTGGACCATCGTAACGCGTTTCGTCCGTGTCATAAACGTCTGACGTACCACTGGACGCATGTTAAATTTCTCCCTCTTTATCGGTAGAAGCCATAATGCTTTTTTTTCTTTCGCGTTTGTCTCATAATTTAACCACTGTAAAAAATAAAAATAGAAATTCGTCGTCGATAACAAACGGACCAAACGTGTTTGAACATCTCTTAAAAGAAAATGTTAAAATTAAATTTTTTCTTATCCGATAGCAGAAGCTCCGAACGAGTACGGGATCGTTATGAACGACCCTTTAAGTTTCACGGACTGGCAGCGCACAACTTGGTTGAAACCCGTGACCTTTACGTAATGTATGAATGAACCGGCGGCGATGAACGAGGGGCGGAGGGGAGAGGAAAGAAAAACGCGAGCCAATTAGAAGGCACCGCCGCTCCGATAAACGAGCCTACTCACCGAAACACCGAGAGCTAGTCATGTTTCATTGATGAACGGTGAATTGTGATACCATCCGCTGGAAAAAGGTAAAAGGACCGTGGCTCGGCGGAATGAATGAAAAAGAGAGAACGGAAAAAAAGGGTGTAGCGTGGGAGGTGGGAAACGAGAATGAGAGATCGCTGGGGTCGGAGACAATTAATGGACGCGTCAAATGCCAACGTGTGCGTGTGCGTGAAATAAAGCAAAACGATACCGATCTAAAAATAACGCACGAAAACCAATGTCAAACCTTTCGCCGCGATAAATTTCGGTACGCGAGTTTGAAAAAGCTTAAGGCGTTCTTTATTGCGCCGACGGATACATTTTGCACGAGATACGCGACGATAAACTCGATCGTAACGACCACCGTGAGATGAAGAAAATCTCTTCTGTTACGACAATCGAAGGCGTCGAGTTTCAAAACAACATCACGCTTTTCGACGCTGTTCAGGGTGTTGCAATTCGCTAGAATGGATACATTTGGACGCACTAGAGATCCTCCCAATTAGGTCGCTAAATCGAGATACGTTTTCCCTGCATTTCTTCGTTCCGTAGTTCCGCACTGGGTAATTTATATTTCCCTCATTTGTAATTTAAATCGTTTTCCAAAGTGGACAGCTCGAACCCCTGGGTACTTTACTGTAGAAAAATGTAGATAGTTTGAATTCTTAAATTGATTCACGACGCGTGACCCATATCTGGGTCATTTACAGAATGCTCAAATCGGGTCGCATGACCCACCGCTGGGTCACTATCAGATTCCATAATATTTTCGTAGCTTTTATTTGAAAAGGGCAATTTTGTTCGCTGCAAAGGGGTTGAATATCCCTTTCTGGTTCCTCCAGAAGGAAATCGTCAACGGCCATTCGGAAGAATCGGCAGGAATTCGCGATGATTTGGCAATAGGTTCGCCCGAGCGGAACAGATGCTACATATCGAAGGGAGAGAAGGCAAACGGAGGGAAATAGAAAAGAACAAAAAGCTACGGATAAAAGGGGGGGACGAAGGTAGGGGAAAGGGGAAAGAGAAAGCGGAGGGAAAGAGACGAAGGCTCACGGAGAAAAGACGGACGACAGATGTTGCCGGCGAAAGAAATGCTGGTACAAAACGGGAGGAAGTCGAGAGGAAGAGAGAAACAGAGGGGTCCGAAGGAGAAAGAGGGACGCTTCCGGCATTAAAAACCGGCCGGCAGGTCACGGATCCTCGTCAGCCTCTCGTCATAAACCGCGAAACGTTTCCCGAACAAGGAAACTCTAATTTATCGAACTCTCGAAACTGTTGCAACAATTGGCGAACGAGAAATCAAATCAGAGTCAACAAATTGATAGAGCTTTGAAAATTCGTTGCTGATCCTCTGTTCTCTAGGACCTGGATAGAATGTTTTGTTACGCTGGATCGGGGGAAAAAAAACTTTGAAAGCTGGCGAAGCTAGATAAAAAGTGGAACGCGTCGATTTTTCGCGCGTGTCCGTGGAGTCTGTGCGGCGGCGCGGTTGGTTCCGGTGCATCGTGGATCGTGACGAGCGGACGGAGGTGCAGCTCGCTCCTCTTCTGCAGCAGGAAAAGATGGCTCGTTTCCTCGCATTGTTTTTAACCGCGGTATATAAGCAGCTATACCGGGACATGGGAGCGGATATGCGGAGCGCGGACACGCGAGTGCACGCTCTGTCGGCCGTGTGCCTGGCATCCTACGATCCTATATACGCGTTTTCACGACGCGAGAAGAAGCCGCTCTCCTCCGTGGATTAGCGGCTGAAACGGAGAGAAATAAACGACGTTGACCGACAATCTCGAAATCTTTACGGAAACCGATCCGAACGATAATGTCTGCCCGCGCGCTGTTAACGCGTTGATACTTGCGTTGTTTCGGTAATACGTCGAGGTCTTTTTTCCCCCCAGAGATCGAACCAAACTGTTTGATCTTTCGTTTTATTAAAAAGGATGCGTTTTCGTAACTACCTCGATCCCGGTTTTTTTGTTCCCGCGATCCAAGGCGAACGGACGAAGATCGACGAAACAGGAAATGGAAATCAAGCGTCGGGCTGTGCGTGTCTCGCGAAAAATCGACGCGTTCCACACGTATATCTGGGCTTTGTTCTCTACCCGTTCTTATCTAGCCGCTCCTATCTATTACATAATCGTTTCCATTCGAGGAATCGCTACGAAGACTGAACCGGACGAACTAATGCAACCAGGGAGGTGTACCTGACGATTCCCTGTGTCAAAATGCAGTCTTTAGGAGAAACGTTCGCACGCAGTCGCGGCAACGAGCTGAGCAAAAAAAAAAACAACTGGCAGAAGAACATTACGATTTACCACCACGAGTCCGAAAGCTTCGTAGACATCTAGAAAGTGTCTAATTTTATTTAATTTGTAAACAAGAAACGTCACTGTTTGTTCTTCAAATGAGAATTTCACGTATTTATTAACCGAGAAAGTTACCAACGAAATAATTAAGATGTTCGAGCGGTGTTAAAGAATATTTTCTTGGAAAAAGGTGACCAGGGAAGATCCCACGATCCTTCTACGTAAGTTTCGGATCTAGGACCCGCCGCGATCCTTCTCGTTCCTCAGGGACACTCTTTTCGCTCGAAGCACCGAAACGTTAATTTCTACGTGCCTGCATTACAAACGCGACAGGTAATTATTAATCGATCCGCGTGGCTCGTGGCTCGTTCCAAGAAGAATAGCGCGTGTCCCGGTTAAACTATTTATTCCGATCCTGCTCGCCTAAACAGGACGAGGACAGGAAGACGCTCGGCAAGAATCCTCAATTCGCCAACGCCATCATAATCAAGCGGATATGCGTACGTATGCGCTTGAAGCTGTAACAAAGCGACTCGCTTCGTAAAATATTAAACGTTCCTCTTCCAAGCGGTAACTCGCCCCGCAAAATCGTGTACACCCATAAGCCAATTAACGTAATCGAGGTTCGAATTAACGCTGCATATTTTTCAACGCGTTTCGGTCTTCGAGCAAATTACGAATGTTCGGTGCAAGGTATATTGGGAAAGGTCGTCGCATAAATATACAGATTACGTGCCAAACTCGTGGTGTATACAGCGAGGAAACTCGAACCAGCGGTAGTATTTCTCCAAGTTTCCAAGAGCCTAATGCAACGGCGGGAATTGGGACCGTGGCTGACCAAAAGGAGTCGCGAACAATAAAGTCCGTACGAACGAGGCCACGAGCGGACGCGTGCTCGTTCCATCGAACGGTACCGAAATATCGATAACCGTGCCCTCGTCCGCCCACGCGTACCCACCGAAAAAAGAAAGAAGCCAATTTTCGAATCGACATCGAGCATTCCTGGCCCGGTGCACGACATTCGTGGCTCTTCTCTGGCGCAACACGCGCCTTATAGACCCGAACGACGGACAAACGCACACAGCCGAGGGGTTTACGAATCGCGACGTACGTCCGCCCGTTCGTCGATCCGTCCGTCCACCCACGATGCTTTTGCTCCGAGTGTGGGCAGTTTCCTGTACGTCGGTCACGTATTCCTTTTTCCAGCCCACACGCGTCCGTGTCTCTGTGTGTTGGCAGAAGAGAGGCCTTCCCGGAGAATCTCTATGCCGCCGCGGGTTTGGCCCGCCTTGGCGCGTCTCTTTCTATCGCGTCGGTGAACGAAACACCGGAGACCGAGAGAGAGAGAGAGAACCAGAAACGGCGAGCGACAGAAAGAGGGAGACACCGACCGGTACCCCCCACCACTGTCGCTTCCACGCGCTCATCGTTCTCCCTCCTGCGTGCCATATGTAAAAGCATACCCGCATTGCCAGTCGAGTGACGGAGGGACCGTACTTACGGCTGGATGCATGCGTGCGTGCGTGCGTTCGTGTGTCGCGTATGCCTGCGATAAAACGTGACGTCACGGGCCACGTGATCGTACGATACGGTGGGGGCAGCCCATTCATAATCCGAGGAAGGACAGGCTTAAGGCCGTTTCGGACGTTACCTCGAGAACCGAACGCCGTGACTGCTTTTTTTTTTCTCTTCTTCGTTTTTTTTCCCCCTCCTCTCTCTCTCTCTCTCTCTCTCTTTATCGTGCAAATCACGGTTGATGCACCAACGACGACCGATACAGGAACCGTGGCGTTCCGAATATCATCGAACGAACGATAATGCTCGAACCGTAGACGCGAACTCGCGCGATCAGCCACGTCAGCATCGGAGATTTTGCTTGGTGTGCTCCGAGCAAAGAATCTCACTTTGATATTTTTTAGCGCTATAGAATAATCCCACCTAACCCTGCCATTTAAATACTGATGCTTTTGGACTTAAATAACTTGCTTCAGAAGAGATTAAGATTCGATCAGCAGACATTCGGTGCGCACAGGGTAGTATGGCCGAACGTAGTAAATGGCCTTGGCCTGGTAAGACTCACGCGCGAATTTGCCATGAAAATCGATGGATCGATTTACCGTAATTACAAACTCTGCACAAATATCAATTACTTCTTGTTATCCCGCTGGAATATTTAAATCTCGATGAGACTGCATCACGTATGCAACGATCTAATGTATGCGTTTCCACGACATCGCGACGTCTAATTTTCAGATTCCGCTTTATTAATCCAATTGTCAGAAGACGCGACAAATGTTTCGGTCGAAGCAGAACTATCCAACATAAATGGACTCACGAGCCACTTTGCGAGGTAGACAGATTTGTTCCGTCCCTAATAATTAATAATATAATATCGCTGTATTTATTTCTATGTTACAACTGTAGGAATACTTTCGTGACTCGTATTTCAAGCAAAAGGATATTTCGCGCGTTGAATCGCGAAATCTGAAAGTCCGCGAGCGATGAAAAATCATGCGACATACAAGACACCCTGTGGAAGCCTATAAGGCGTGCCCACGGATGCACAACACGGCTGATAGCACGATGGATCACAACTACAAGCACCGTATGCGACCAATGAGTCGTATCCTGCTAAACTGTTAAGAAGGAAGTGGTTCGTTGCTGCTGTTCTCTCTCCCTCTCCATCTCGCTCTCTCCCTCTTGTCGTCCTTTTCTCTCTCTATCCGCACGCATAATCTCTTTGTCAGTTCCACGGTCTATCTTTCTGCTGGAAGCTCCGTTCAATCCCGCGGTTACGTTTCACTTGCTACTTCGTGGTTCCATCATTGAATATAAAGATCGCGCGAAAGGTTGATGAAAGAAACGCCAACAAGACGTGTATTAAAATACACGTGTAATTAATCCTGTAATGGCACACTGGGGCCTTTCATAACCCCAGTAAAATCTTCTCTATGCAGTAGAAAGGCATTCGTAGCACATAAAAAAAAAATTACGTTTTTTAAAATATGAACTATAACGCCATCTACCGTATCAGCGAGGAACATAGAACAGACACCTGTTAATCATATTTGGTGCTCGTTGCATAATCATATGACGCCATTTTTAAAATAATCACAACCTTCGAAAAGAAAGATAGAGTAACGAGATTAACCAATTTTCAATAGAATGCGAATCCAACCTTATCAGTCCATAAAATTTATGGGAAACTTCGGAATAGTGATTGAAATCCACCTTCGTTACAATTACAGCCCGTTCACTCGGTTCGATATATATCGATTCGAAAATAAATATACGAAAACGATCTGAAAAAAGAAACTCACCGGTATTTTGCTGCTTTTGAGAAAGTCCAGTAACGCTTCGAGCGCCCCTAAGGTCGATGCTTGCACGTAAACTCCGCGTTCCGCGAGGCGAATGTTACCGAGAGCGCTGGACAACTCTTTCGCGATTTCTTCCTTCAGGATTTCCACCTCGTCCGGTTTCTGAGCCACTTGGAGATTCAATCCTATTTATAAAATAGAATAGAACATAAGTAACTTTATTTTGTCCATAAGTATATCGTTTTATACCGTTAAAAATAAAATATTTCTTACCTGCAATTGCTTTCTCCAAGTCCTTCGCAGCAATTTTCACTCCTTGTGCGGCTTTCACCTCCCGGTGTTCAATATACGCACTCTACGAAAAATAAACAATATTAAATTTAACTAATCGAATCCAATTATTTTTAATCCAAGAAATATGTCTGTTTCTTTACTTTGACTCTCAATTCCTTCAACGGCTGTGGCATAAGAAGCGAACGTATTTGAGTCACTATAGGACCGTCTGTACCAGCAACTATCATCGTTTCACCCTCTCTCAATGTTCCATTGACTAGAATACAATCTATCGTAGTGCCGAGACCCGGCAATGCCTTCACTTCCAAAACGGTAGCTTGAAGCTCTTCACTATACATGAGTCTCTTAGCTAATGGGCCTTGACAGGCCTCTACTATTAACAACAAAAGGTTACCCATACCTTCACCTGCATATAAACAATAACGGTTAAAGAATGTCAATGGTGCCTAGAAAATGTATATAATGTAGTAATGTACCTGTAATTGCGCTAGTGGGCACAAGGGAAACATAAGTTTTAGGATCAGGGTTTTCATAAAACAATGCGGCATTCAGGCCTTGTTCAGCAAATTGCACGATTACTTCCTTCGAACGGGTTTCGAATTCTCGCTGTGTATTAATTGTTTGGCTTTTCACTATATCTTGAATATCTTTTCGACTTATAGTTTGCCAATCGTATAATCTGTGGAAATTATATCATTGCTATTTTATAATTTAGTTTTACATTTCACTTTAAGCGATCGTATAGCTATTCATTTTAAATACTTTACCTATCGATTTTATTTAAAGCTACTATGAAAGGACATTTCTTCGTTTTCAGTAAGTTAATACTTTCGATAGTCTGTGGTTCTAAACCATGCATAATGTCTACTACTAATATCGCTATATCACAAAGAGAAGATCCTCTGTTTCTTAAATTGCTAAAGGATTCGTGACCAGGAGTGTCTATGATCAATAAGCCCGGAATTCGGAATTTCTTATCGGCAAACTGAAAAGAAATTATTTTTTATCGATATATTTCATATGAACGTTTCATAAAATAATGAAACAGAAAATACTTACTCCTTTAACGTGTTTCGTTGATTCTTGAATGGCATCGATAGGTACGTTCGTTGCACCAATTTGTTGAGTTATACCGCCAGCTTCGCCATCTTGCACATTTGTTCTTCTTAACTTGTCGAGTATCTTTGTTTTTCCAGTATCGACATGACCTAGAACACACACTACAGCAGCTCTAAGATTCTCCAGTGTCTTGTTCTTCTCTGCTTCTATCCTTCGAAGTTGTATTCGTTCTCTAGCGCGTTCCTTTTTCCTTGCCGCATCTGACACTTTGTCTTCTAAACCACTGTCGTCCCCGCTTTCCTCTGTATCCGACTCACTGCCACTATCGCTCTCCGATTCACTTTCCGAGAATTCTTTCCTAGATATCTTGTTTTGCGCTTCTTTTCTTTTATCAGATGAAAGGTTCGTTCCCTTCACCTTCTTGGGAGTTTTTGGCACTTCGTCTGATTTATCTATTAAATTATTCTTTATTAAAACAGACTCTGTTGAACAAATATAAATATATATGTGACTGTATACAGTTAATACCTTCTTCCGGTTCATCTTCGCTGCTCTCAGCATCCCATGAATCTTTGACATCGTCCAGCGTCTCTTCCGTTTCCTTTGACTGTTGGTCTACAATTTCTACCTCAACTTTATCTGTATCTGTTATGCTCTCATCCATTTTACCATCGTCCTTCTCATCCACGCTGACCTGTTGCTTCACTTTGTTTGATCTTATACGCGTTCCTGGTCTATGTTTCTTGTCCGCTACATCCGGTAAATCCAAACCTTGAGCTTTAAGTGCGTTCAGCATAGCTTGCGCTCTTGCCCTGTCTTGCTTCTGTTTTGTAGTTAAAAGCTTTCCTTCTGCCTTTAATCTTTCTTTCCTCTGTTTCTCCTTAAGTTTCTTCTTCTCTTTGCGTTCCTGTTCAAGTCGAAGCTGCTCCAATCGTGCTTGCTCTCGTAATTCTTCCTGTTGTAATCTTTCTTCTTCTTCTCGTTTTAATCTCTCTTCATCCTCCTTCAATTTCTTCAATGCTTCTTGCATAGCAGCAATAGTCTTCTTTCCAGGACCTTTGCCTATTATGTATACATAATTACACTAAATGTAGACACAAATTAATATTACATCCTAACAAATATAGTGTGCAGCATGTTTATTGTATTATAAAAAATTACAAAACTATTTGCTACCTTTCTCTTTCGCCTCCTCCTTGCCACCTTTCTTCTTTTTCTTTTTGCCTTCATCGCCCTCTGTTGCTGTAACATCCACTTCAGTAGCATCTAGTACCTTTGCTTCTTTCTCCTTTTTTACTTCCTTTTCTGGAGCAGTTGCATCCTTTGCTTCTTCACCTTCTGTCTGCTTACCCATTTCCTAACATAATTGAATGAAACATAAGAAATCATACTATTTATCCTAAATGTAAAACAAAACAATAAAATATCTGTTACATACCATCTTCTTTTGAGCAAGTTTCTTCTGTTTTTCCCGCTCCTTCTTCTCCTTTTTCTTTTGTGCAGCAGTTTTTACAGTAATAACTTCAGCATCATCATCAATATCATTTGCTTCAAGATTTGTAGCAGTCTTCAACTCTTCTTTAATATCAATAACATCATCTTTTTCCTTGTTCTTACCCATCTTTTCTTTCTTTTTCTTATCCACATCATTATCAACACTTTGTTCAACTGGCTCATTCTTCTCTTCTGGTTTTTCTCCAGAATATTCTAATTGCAATTCAGCCAATACCTTTTCAATGTCTTCTGCACTATCATTGCGCTTTCTTCTGGCTGATTTCAAGTGAAAATCATGAGATAATATTTTTTAATATGTTACATGTATTCATAATGTGTACATAATATTGTGAAATATTCTTTTCACGAATATAAACATAGATATATTGGTAACAAATGCATATAGCTCAAAAATAAAAATTGTACATAAAACAGTAAAAAACCTGTATTTTTACAAATTAATAATCAAATAAAACATTTACTTTCTTTGTTGTTAACAAAATTGTATTCTGTTATATAATTATAATGTTGCAAGCATCTAGTTGCAAGTACAGAAAATTAAGAGTTAACCCACTAGAATGTTCAAGAAAAATTAAAATAATGTTAAATTTTATACAGGTCATGATATCACACCCTGCCATTCATGGTACTTTCACAATCTGGTTCACAACTGAACCACTTTCACTTTCCACTAATTTTAACAATCAATGTACTTGCCAAATATTTATATGACACGTCGTTAAATGCACTGACTATGTCATTCGTACTGTATTTATATTCAATAGAGAAGAGAATCGTGTTATCTAACGTCATATTCAAACAGCTATAAAATACGTATCCTAAAGCCTAAGTATTACGATAAATTTTACAAAGCGATGAAATATTTAACGTTTGTTATACTCCTAAAAATACAGCAGACAAACTGAACTTCAACCTGTCAAACTATGAACGTGGTAGAAAAACTAAAAATATCTCATAATCCTTTCCGTATGCAACAGAAAAGCGGTTAAGTGAGGTTAACTTGAAGCAGACGACGTTTCTCACGTGAAAAAGAAACTCTAAAAGTTTGTTAAAAACGATAAATAAGGATAGAATTCGTAGAAGCTGTATCCTTGTTATTTTGCAACATCTGCGAATAAGAAGTACCACTATTTTCTCACCTCTCTTGCCTTTTTTCGGCTCAGATTCCTGCATCTTGATCCGTTTTCAAAATTTTCTTTATGCACGTTCAGTTTATTCACAGGTTTTTAATCGCCACTCTAGTTAAATATTTTTTAGGAAAAGAAGACGAATTTCGACCTTAAATGTGCGTTAGCACAAAACCACTATAAACAAATCATACGAAATTTACAAATTTCTACCTCTCCTTTCAACCCGGTCTGCACAACTATGTGCAAAATCGAACCATAGATCATTCTAACTTTGCTAGATATTACATCACGCAAACCTTTAAGTTAAATCTTCATGCGTGACTAACTGCAACATGCGATAGGATAAGTTATCACTAATAAAATACAATCCATTGAAAATTGTTCTCTAACTTTCATTTCGTAAGAGATAGTATAACTTTTACATACGTACAAACGCATTCTTAACCTTTTTAAACGTAAAATATTATGAAACACAAAGTCCAGTTCGCATGAAACTAATGGCCGCCACCTTTGCTATGTACGTAATTTTTGAACAATTTTAACGAATGAAATGACGTTAAAAGAATTTTATCGCATGTTTCTGTACGTTAATAAATTGTACTATAATACGTTTTATTTGTCACGTTAATGTATTTATCAACATGTTTAGCTATTGCATAGATGTTCCTGAAATTAGGTACGTTGATATTTGTCTTCTTTACTCACCGCCAGTCTTCAAATATAGAGCAAGAAAATGAATTTTGTTCATTTGACACCATGATGAATAAACGAATAACAAATAATTGTATATAACAATATACTTTGCAAAACATTTTACAAAACACTTTACAAAATGTACTTTAGAAACGAAATGTTGTTTGACTTGCACCACTTTCATAACCACCCGACAAATGGATGCTACAACGCTCTCATTGGTTTGATGCACGCATGCGCCATCTGAACCATAGCTGGCCACTTCCGTGAGAAAGCCACGCTCTCTTTTTCTAAAATCGCGACCACGATGGTGAGTGAGCGATGTTAAACTCTTTTTTCGTAATCTAGTATTATTGAAACCATCAGTATATAAATGAAATATTAATATTTGTTATCATTTCATTAAAACCGCTATAATTTGTTTTTTAGAATTATTTTCGTTTTGAAGTGAAACATTTAATATTTATTGTAAATATTTCTAACCTTTTGGTGTTCCATCGAATTCAAACATAACCGTTTTGACAAAACAGATACAGTGAATCCCGAATTTACGCGATTAATTTATTCAGGAGCTTTTTACGTAAATTGAATTGTATACATGTTGCAGAAAGAAAGTGAATCGATTCCAGGTTAAAAATAATGTGTTGTTATCTGATTTTTCTTTGAACAGTCTACACATAAGAAGAAAACTAGGAAGCTCCGTGGCCATGTAAGCCATGGTCATGGTCGCATAGGTAAGATACTGTATGTGATATTATAGAATTATATAGTTCTGTTTCTATAATAATTATTGATTGTAAGAAAAGTAACTGAACAATTAGAAAATATTTTGTTTCATTTTAGGTAAGCACAGAAAACATCCTGGTGGTCGGGGTAATGCTGGTGGTCTACACCATCATCGTATTAATTTTGACAAATATCATCCTGGTTATTTCGGAAAGGTAAATACACTCATTTTATGCTGCTCTATTATAAAAACGTTATTTATATTAAATGATGATAATATCATTATTTCACCGGCGAACTGAATTACTTTGAATGTACGTTGTTGTCTGATGAATCTGATAAATACCAAATATGTAATATTCAAGTGTAAATACACATACATTTCTGGTGTTTAAATTTACAGCTTGGTATGCGAAATTATCACTTGAGGCGCAATACGAAATGGTGTCCCGCGTTAAATTTGGATAAATTGTGGACATTAGTGTCTGAACAAACCAGACTTAAGTATAAGACTACAGAAAAAAAAGTACCAGTAATCGATCTCGTACAAGCGGTAAGATTCCAAAAAAAAATATAGACGTATTTACACATAGAAATCTATATTTATACTTTTATATTTATGTTTGGTTCTCTTTTCTAGGGATACTACAAACTTCTAGGAAAAGGACGCCTTCCTAATCAACCAGTTATTGTTAAAGCTAAATTCTTCAGTAAACTGGCAGAGGACAAGATCAAGGCAGTTGGCGGTGCTTGTGTCCTCTGTGCCTGAGTATGCGGGTATTTATTTCATGATATGTCTTCAATATTTTTAACTAAATATTGTTATTTTTTTTTATAATTAAAAAAAATCTTACAAAGATGTATATTTTATGATGATAGTACGAACGGGCGGACTGAAAAGTGCGTACAACACTTAACCCCGTGTAGAGTGTTCTATTCTGATAACATTTTAAATTAGTTAAATAATATTTTAAGTCATTCTAGCAGATAAAATTATTTACTTCTTTCTGTTACAGGAATTGAAACTTTGACAAATCAACCTGCTGTACATTCTACGTTTATACTCTTAATAAAATTAAAAAAAAAAAAGGAGTAACATTTATTTATTTATTTATGTTGTGTACTTAAAAACATGTTGTTAAGAAATGTTTAAACACTTGTAAAAATTTTAAATATTTACCCATTAACTATGGTGATTGCATTCTATTATTCAATACACATGAAAGTTGGAAAGGCAAATATAAGTGTTAATAAACAGAAGACACACACAGTGTATGAAAGTCCTACTGTATTTTATAAGCCACAGAGATTTACGACGTATAAAGGGTATCCATATCAGTGACATGAAATTGATTCATTTTCTTTTTTATCTTTTATGAACAAAATACACATTAAAGTAATACTTTAAACAAAAGCAAGTCATATTTTTGTACAATTTTTTTTTAAAAAAGAACTATGCTAGGTGTGGTGGTGGTGGAGGTATTTGCATGCCTGTGGCTAAAAGTGCAGGTGGTGGTGGTACTGGATTAAACATAGGAGGCCTTGGTGGAGGTGGAACCGGCACCATAGGTGGTCCTAATCCAGGTCTTATTAAAGGAACTGGAGGTGGTGGTACTTTGCCAACCGATGGTTTTTCATTCTTAAATGCAAACTGTAGGAAGAACTGCTTAGTATCTTTATTCCAATGTGTCCAAAATTTTCCTTCTGCCTTTTCAACTTCTCTGCTGGGAACCTAAAATATGTTGGAAAATAACAATAACAGACACTTTTTATAGAAGTTTACACATTTGAATCTAGAATTATCTTACTTTAAAAGCTATTGTTTCATAGGGTTCCGCAGCAAACAATAAGTACTGCCATTTACGATCTGGTGGTTCAACTCTTTGTTCGTACGCTGACATAAACCTATGTCGTGGAATAACATTGTCCGCAACTTCCGGATAATCAACTTGAAACAATAAACTTTGTTGTCCAGATTCTGGGTCCCGTTGTTTGGTTACCCTGTAACCAGGTCTTCCAATTTTCACAAATTTTTTCGGTTCTACTCGAGGTTTTTCAGGGGCAAGTGTTTGCGGTGCTTCTTTAGCTTCCTTAGCGGCTCTTCTAGCCAAGTTAGCCTGATGCTTTTTACCTTGCGTGTGGGCTAAATAACTACCCTCGTTATTATGTAATGTCAAACACAATTTACATTCGTAAGAACCCAAGTGATTTTTCATAAAATACGGATCTTTATTAAGGTCAATAGTTTCTAATGCAAGTTGTCGTAAACGTTCCCTCCTGTCTCGATTGCTCTCTGACCAAGAAGCAACACCACCGCCTCCAGTTTTCCCTCCTGGACGATTTTGGAAATCCATTTTCGGCTTTTACTTTATTTACTATACTTATTTAACCGTAGAATATATTAACGTTTCTTTTGTATCATATAAACACGCAACGCGTCTCCACGAAACATGCATAGGTTACCTACTAACCGTCAACAGCGTCAACACCATTGGTGTGTTACGTGTTACACCAGTGTGGCCAGATTTGCCATAATCGAGTGCATTGGCGTCGACATTAGTAACGACGAACTTCCTTAGCGTTTAACGGAGTGGTGGGGGAAGCAGACATATCTTAAAACATTCCTAATATTTTAAAAGATGATATCAAAAGATCCCTCGTTAATTTCTTTCATAAGTCATTTAATATCGTAACTTGAACCGCGAAATTAGAAATGTAATTTATATACGTTTAAGAAATAATATGTCTTTCAATTCTTCCTAACATTTATTATTCACATTCGTACAGATATCTAAAAATTTCGGCACTAATTACTCAAGTATGTAGATTGGAATGAGTTTTATTAATTTTATAAATCATAATTAAACAATTTTCGTAACTTAAATATAAACTCGAAAGAACAATTAATACATGGCACGTATCATTATGTATCAATATTTACAGTTATGTGAATGTTTTTCAGTATCACAATTACTTATTTTCTTGTAGCCACCTTCAACGTCATAATATATATAAAAGTTAATTACACTGTTTTTTACACTATCGTAAGAAAGTACAAAAATATAAGTTCTTGAAAATATAAATATCTTAATTTCACTACTATTTACATCATCTTAGCTTAGAAGAAGGAATGAAAGAATATAATACTTGAACGACGGCACCTTACGTCTAACAATACTTCGTGTCAATAATATACATTTTAGCAGAATATTTGGAAGACATTCATTACTATTTGTTGTGTATGTTTCTTCCATATTCCAAAAGCTTCTTAAGCTTCAATGAATTAGCTGGAACAGTTTTTTTCATTGCCCTGTAGGAAACATTGAACGTGATAATAGGTAAATCTAGGAAGTACCAACATTTTTGACAATGTAACAAAACAAAAGAAGTAACAGTTAAATACGGGAATATGTGTTTTAAACGTAACATGCACAAATATGTGAATTCTTGAAAATCATATAAACAATTAAGTAATAACAGACATAATTTCCTACATATAAGAAAACTACATTTTAACAATTGATAGCTTACGTTTGAGATTGAATGCTTTATATGTTGGTATATAAAGTATATAAACTGTCACTGGTTATAAAAAGCAAAAGTACAGTTTTCTTATCTGATATCATCAACTAATAACATCAATTTGCAACTCGTTGCGTATGTAGACAAATAATTTATAGAAACTACATTTGAAATATGACCAAAAAAAGTGTTCCTTTTAGTTTTACATCCTTCTTCGAATTGAACTTCTTGGTGAAGTGTGTCATTAAATTACATCATTGATTAAATTTGGCATGTGTCCTCCAATTCCTTTACTTTATCTTCCAATTCTTTTATTCGTCTGCATCGTGAACGGCATATATCTTTTATTAATTCCTTTTCTTTTTCCAATTTCATTACTTTTGCATGATCCTACGGTAATATTGTTGTAATTAATATCAATGAAGATCAGTGTATATTTTGTATTTTCTCTTACATTAACTGCCCCGTTAGCGGTACTGGAATGTAGCACAGAATTATTACGTATCGTCTGACAAGCTTGATCTCTTCTGTTTATCCGCCATTTCCTACACGTATCGCATTCCCATGCGTTAATATCATACATAGCCCTTTTAAGTTTCCCAATCTCAGAACGAAGTTCTGCATTCTATAAAAATAAAAATTTACGTATGCAATCAATTGTATCCAATAGGAAGTAAAAGACATTTTTATTATACGTACTTTTTGCCGGAATGAGAGCAGAAGTTCTTCCAGCTCCTTACATTTCTGTTGGTAAGGAAAGTTTTCGCTTTGGATTTGAATCTCCAATGTTGCAATTTGCCCATTTTTCGTCACCAGCTCTAATTCTAATTCTTGAATCCTTTTCCTGAATACTTGGTACATTTCTTCGTTTTCATTGATGTCCGTCTCGAACATCACATTTTCTATTTGTCTCTTTTGGTTAAATACTTCGGTTCTACTTTGCCTTCTTCTGTTCATTTCAAAAGCTGGGCTAGTAGATCTAGAACCACTGCTGTTGCTTTTTGACTCCAGCTTGATCTCGTATTCGTTCAGTTTCGTTTGTAATTCCAAATTCTCTTTTCTCAACGCAAGGCAAACTTTGTCATTGTGCAATTTTATATCTTCTAATTGCTTCATGTCAATCTGTGGTCTTGCTATAAATGTTTCAAGTTGATCCTGAAGTTTTTTGTTTTCCTTTTTGAGAATTTCCAGTTTCTCCTCCAATTCGTTTACCAATTTATTTTCTATTTGATGAACATACAACTTCTCCTTTAGGTTTGTGATTTCTAGATCGCGTTCACGTACAATTACAATATGGTCTTCTAATTGTTTATCAAGTTCTTCGTTTTTTATAGCTAAAGCCTTTATCCGATCGACATAATCTATAATCTCTTTGTCTCTTTGATTGATTAACAATTTGTTGCCTTCTAATTCCAGAGCAAGTTTATTTTTCTCTTGAACAAGAGCATCGTATTTACTATCTTCGTTAAATAAGCATGGAATACTTTGTCTGGATTTATACGACGATAACGTTTTTTTTATCTCAGCATTTTCTTGAGACAACGTTTCGTATTGTCCCTTCAAATTAACCAATTCTTTTAAAATTTTATTTTTATTATCCTGAAGCTCGGTTATACGATTACTGGCTCCTTCTAAATTGTTTTGCAACCTTTTGTTTAAATCTCTTAAATCATCCATCTCTGCTTCCGCTTTCATTTTACTCGTACTATTTCTAATTTTTTTTTCCAACTTTGCATTCACATGTTGCAACTCTTCATATTTTTCTTTTATACCATCTAGCTCCTCCACCAATGCTATGTTCTTATTATTTAATTCGTGCAACTGCTTATTCAACTCGACATTTTGTATTTCCTCGGAATTCAATTTATCTTTAATTATTTCGATCTGTTTCTCATTTTCCATTTTCAATTCCTGTATCTCTTCCTTGTATCGATTTATGTTTGTTTTCCATTCCTTAACTTGGTCCTTCAACAATTCATAATCTGGTATGATAGTTTCATATTTGGCTTTATATTCCGAGAGCATATCGCACTTGCTTTTGAGAAGTGCCGTGATTTTTTCAATTTGCGTTGCCTTTTGTTCCGATTCGCGGTTCACTTCGTTGTAAGCCTCCGTAAGTTTTTCAAGCTCAGTGGTTAATCGATGTATAGTTTGATTATTTATTTTCAATTCGGACGCGTTTGCTTCTATGATATTCTTCAATTGTTTATGATTTGCTTCGAGGCCTTCGACGTTACTCTTCAATTCCATATTTTTTGTCTTATAAGATTCTATACTGGAAGCAAGATCCTCTATTTTCTTTTCGTATACCGTTTTCTCAGATTTTATTTTCGACTGGAGTTCTATTTCCTTCTTTTTAAAAGCATCCTGCGCTTCCTTTTCCCGTTTTTGGACAACGGTATTTGCTTTTTCTTGTCGCGCTTTGCTCTGTTTATCAAATTCGCCTTGCAAATTGTTGAAGTCAATTTCAAGCGTTTGTATTTTTTCCCTGAGCGATTCTTTCTCGTAGTCGCTCTCCTTCAAACGACGTTCCAACTGATAAATATTGTCCTGCTGTTGTTTGTGGGTTTTCTCGTGTTTTGTTAAATCCATTTGTAATTTTTCATTTTCTATTTCTAACTCGTTGCTCCATAACACGGCACGTTTCTCTCCATCCGCGCTTTGTCGTTTCTCATCCTCTAGTTTCTCTTTGTCCTTCTCAAACGATTCCCTCATAGCTTTAACTATCTCTTTTTCTTTCGAAATCAGAGAATGTAAAAAGATTATGAAAATGTCATTTGCAGTCTTATTTAAAAAATCCACGGAATTCACTTTATATTTTAGCGATTTCAATTCCGTGATCATCGATTCCTTAACAGTGTTCAATTCTTCCGTCAGCTTTTTATTATCGTTAATTAAAGTTTTCTCCTTATCGAACAAACACGCATTTTTGCTTCCTATTTTACTAAAGTTCGATTCAATGTCTCGAAGCTTCGCAAGGTCTTGTGTTAAATTATAGTTTTCTTCAACATGCTTGTTTAACGTTTCCTTCATTTTGCTTAATTTAAGCTCAGATTCAGCGGTATATTCTTCAAAATTCTTTGTTACAGACTCTAGTTCGTTTTTATATTTAATCACCAAATTATCTTTAAAATCGGTCAATTGAATTTCAAGTTCTTGCAATTCCTGCTTCAATGTCGCCTTTTCATTTTCGCTTTCTTGCAAAAGATTTTCCAGCTGAGAAACTTTCCCTTGAAGTTCTTTGTACAGATTTTCTTGCTTCGTTAAATCCGTTTGAAGCTTTTCTACATCCGATTCTAATTCCTTAGCGCACAATATCGCGCGTTGTTCTGCCTCTGAACCTTCTTTCCCCTCTTTTTCTAATTCTTCGTATTGTTTACCCAATAATTCTACTTCATTTTTGTGTTTATCTTCAATTGTCTTTGTACAAACATCCAACTCATCCCTCTGATTCGTAATTAAGTCTAATTCGTCCTTTAATGACGAAATACATTTATTTAAATCGTCAATCGTATGATGTAACTCAACAATGAGGATATCCTTATTTTGCTTTTCACTCTTCAATTCTTCCACTTCTACTTCCAGTGTTAATTTCTCGCTTTGTATTATTTTTTCTTTTTCAGAATACTGTTTAATTTCCTTGCTCATGTTTGATAATTCATTTTCAAGAATATTCGTCTTTTCCGTGGCTGTGGCCACTGCCATTTCAGTGTTCGACACTTTTTGTTGTAGCTCCTCGTTCATGCCGTTAAGCATCTTTATTTGGTCCAGCAGGCTCGTCTTTTCCATTTTGAATTTATTAAGCAAATACTGACATTTTATATTATTCTTTTTCAACACATCTATATCTTCTCTCAGTTGGTCAATACTGTTTTCAATTTGTTCAATCCTAGTTGTAGTTTTAACCGTGTTCTTCTTTGGTTTAGTGTCATCCACTTCATCATGGAGTTTTTCAAACTCGTCGCACTTTTCTTTATATAGAATTGATAGTTTGTCGCGGTCATCTTTCAGCGTTTGTAATTCGTTGTTCAAGTGTTGAACTTTCTCCTCCACAAAGCTCACATTCAACCCATCCGTAAAGCTGGCATTTAAAGATCCATCAACGTAACTTAAATTCAATTCTTGATTGACTTTCATTTTCAGCAGCTCGGTGTCCGCGCATTTTAGGTCGAACTTTCTTTGTAAATCTTCCAATTTTAGAGTCAAAGATTTTGCTTCGAGTTTAAAAACCCTACGACTTTCGTTCAAATTTTTTAAATGCGCGCACTGATTGCAAGATGAGAACTTCAAGTCGCTTAATTTTGTGTTTAGACGAGTCAGATGATTTATCTCGTCCTGTAACGTTAGAACTTTGTTTGCCAGTACTTCGCGGCTCTCTTCCTGTAACATTTCCTTCGCAGTTTCGTCTACTTTCGTAGTGTCATCGAGCACGGTAGACAAATACGATGCGTTATTACTTAACTTTTCATTACGTGAATTATCGAAATTCTCGATAGTCTCCAATAAAGTATTAGAAAATTTTACATTTTCATCCGTTAACATTGTTACCTTATCCTTCAGTTCCATAATTTCACCTTTTAAAAGCCTATTCTCCGTTCGTAATTGCTCTATGTCATTTTCATCAAAATCCGTAGTCTGCGTTAGAGATATTTTATTTTTCAGAGTATTACATTGTTCTCTTAACTTGTCGTTCTCTTCGATCTTATCCATCAAGTCGGTAGAAAGTTCACTGTTTTCTATCACTAAGTATTCATTCTTCTCTGTAAGCAATTGAACTTTATCCTTGTAAATGCATTCATGGTCGTACAGAAGCGACTTACTTTCTTTAATGCTTTCAAGCTCCTTATTTTTTTCTGCTATAATCACTGATAATTCGATATTTTCCGACTTCAATAATTCAAGTTTATTTTGACATTGAAGCAATTCCTCGTCGTTATGTTTCTCTAGTATTTTCAAACGGGCAGATTTTAACTGGTCGTTCAAATGTATTAGATCACTTTCTAAATTAATTTTTTCATTTGTAACTTTCGAGATACGCGCGTGAAGTTCGTCGATCATTATTTGAAGATTTATTTCAGCTTGTTTTGAACGCTCTTTTTCTACACACAATTTACTTGACATTTCCATATTTTCGTTCGTCAATAAATAAATAGTTTTCTGTAACTTTTCTACATCCTGTTTCAAACCTTGAATGTCATTCTTTATTTCATCCAGTTCTTGAATCTTTAGTTCAAGACCTTCTTCCAGCTTAGCTTTCTCTTCCTCCAACTGTAACATTACATTTGAAGAATATTCGTTGACTTCATTATCCTTGGAATTAAACAAGTCAGACTGTTTTGCTGCTTGGCCCCCCTGGTTCTTTGCGCCACAATGATATTCTTCGCAAATTAATTGTTTCTCCAAGGTTGTAAATTCACGAAGTTCCATAAGATCTTTGGTCAGTTCACTGATACATCCACGCAACGTATTCTTTGGCGTTGTAGGCGAACCTTGATTGCTTGAAGTTTGTACATACGTATCCTGTTTCTCTGGCGTTACGGAGAGACCGCTGTTTTTTGATTTTACAGTTACCACGCTATTTATATATTTAATACATTTCTCCTTGTTTTTATTACCATTTTCTTTGATCTCGTAATCTGTTTCGCATTCGATCAAGTCTAATTCAAAGTCAGCAAACGGTGTCTGAAGTGTCTGATTTATGACATCGACCAATTGCGAGTTGTTCTTGCTATGTGGTTTCTCGGGCGACGCTTCTTTTATCGTTGGCAAACCACTTTTAGTTTGAAACACAGGCAGATATTGTTTGAACATTCCAGGATTACACCGGTACTGCTTCCTTCTAGATTTACATTTAAATTGTTCCGTACGATTCGCGTTATATCCAGAAACAATTTGAGTTTTTAGCAACTTTATACGTTCTTCTAGTACATGATTAATTTGATATTTCTCTTGCAATCTAGGCTCTATATTTTCACGTTCTACGGATGAGTTTCCATTCCTTATTCTCTGAAGTTCCGTTTCAAGTTTAATCAACTGTTTTGCATAACGCATTAAGAGCGATGCATCGGAGACGACTTCATTTTTTTGTGGCTTATTTTTAACGTTCTTGGCTCGAGACGCAAACGACAGAGTTTCATGTGTTTCTTCTAAAGCAACAGCAGTTACTGTACATATTATTGCTGTCAAAGAATTACCACCTAATGATTGCTGCAGCAGTTCTGTTAATTTGCTTTCGCGATAATTAATATTTCTTTGGTCATTTTGTATTTCACTTAGCTGCATAATTACTGACACTAAGGTGAAAAGGGATGTGTCCATTTGTTGTCCTTCGATAGCGTCTATTCCACATGTTCTTTTGAAACCAGCCAAGTCTACTAAATTCAATTGTGATACTAGTACAACATTTTGAGAGTCATCATCAACACTTTGACTTTCAATTGTCTAAAAAAGATACAGTCCTATTATATTAAAATACAGAGTCAAGATTTAATGTATAAAGTGTCCTGTGCAATAATCTTACAATTTGAAATATATTATGGCTACTAATATATTCATTACTATCAGCTCTTTTTATCTTTTGGTTTTGAATTCCTTTTTTCATTATAGATAGCATGCTATCAGAGGTGTTCACAATTTCTTCTTTAGAATCAATAATTATTCGATCACTATCATCTTTGTGTAATTTTAAGTCAAGTCCATTTTTATTCAGAAGATCATTTATTGTTTCATTATAAATTTCTACATACGATACCCTGAAAAATATAAATATTTTTAAGTTTGTATTAATAAGTACATTAAGTTTTGTTAGTGATATTAATGAATAAAAACCTTAACAAAAATTCACGTCCAATAGTATTAGAAACTGCCTTAAATATGTATTGAATACTAAGTGGTATTATTCCTGGTTCTTCCAAAGTACCTATCATTGTATGTGTTTTACCAGAATCAACTTGACCATAACAAAATACTGTTCCATTAAAACCTTTTATAGCAGCATCAATAATAGGTTTTACAATACTGTCAAATACATTAGAATTGGTTCTATCCATATCAAAAGTATGATCTATAAAAATGAAACATCAAAATTAACCATATCATAGATTATATAACAGTATAGTTGTATAAGAATTGTTATAATATTAAAATGTGTTTTAATGATGGTACTTCTTAAAAACAGTTGATATACTAGAGTGATTTATTTATGTTAATACAATATTACTATGTTAAGTAATAAATTTGTTTACGATATTGGAATCTAATGAAAACGTATGTTGCCAATAATACAGTAAATTTATCGCTAATTGATATTTATCTATAGCCTCGCGAATGTTAATATTATTCAAAGAATTAGGAAACTCACTTTCGACATGGCATAATATAATATGGCACGAAACAATTGCTTTCTGGTCAAACGACGATTATTCGCAAAGGATATTGAACGTTCAATCGTTTAATTTACGTTTTGGCATATGATAAAGCCGATCAGTAGGTTAGATTTCGTTGCAATAAAATGTTTAAGAGGCAAAAAAGCCAGTGTCGCGTTACGATTATTAACACGTACCGAAATTAAATTCATTATTTCCCGGCTTAGCCGTCACCGGATCTACAGAAACAATGGAATTTCCTCGTACAATCCATTGTGTTGACGATGTTTTGTCACCCTCCTGTTCGACCAAAGGTTTAAATTTAATTCCCACCTGGACACTGTTCGACATTTCTTCTCTAGCGAAATTTTGAACGAAGCAGCGTAGAACTTATAACAATTAGCCACTTCGTTCTTGAATCAATTTGTACGTCTCTCAACTTTCATCGCATGCCGTCCGACATATCGTAACTGCCATTTGAAATGACGACTGTCTCGACCAATATTTAAATTTAAATTTTCAGCGACGCGATTGGCTCGTTTAGGCATGGTTAAACGAGTACGTGATCGGAATGGGAATATTTACTAGTAATCTATGCTCGTGGTGCATCTATGTCAACGCTTCTCGAAATCATCATTAGAGGGCTAAATACTTCAACCAGTTCTCACAAGGCTTTTATAATGAACGGAATCTAGTAACTTGTATAACTTGAATAATCCCCTGACAATCGATTATCGAGTTCGCTTTATCGAATTTTCAAGGAAACAGTATCGATAACGATGTCTGCTACTGTTGTCGAATGATACGTTATGTTTGTAGCACATTAATTTGTTGATATAGAGAAATATCGTTGCTTATACATTTTCATTTACAGTACATCAGTTTACAAAAGTTATGTCATCAGCGATGTATAATGTTGGAAACACTTTCTGGAAGAGCGCTTTCTGGAAATCGATAATATAAATGTTGAATAGGTTAGCGCACTGTAGAAATCATTCCTAGCAGAGTGTAATATGTTGTAACACTTGCCTATGAATATTTTTTTGGTAAAGAGTATAAGTCTGAGACCGAAATTACCATATTTGTATGCGTATTTTATGTATGAAATTAAGAGCTAGAATAGTTATTAATTTATGTATTTTACTTAAAAATTTAGAAAGTATAAGTACTATAATGGATCGTGGCAAGGCAGGAATTGGGAGAGGTGCAAAAAATAAGATCGCTCAACATCCTTCTGACTTGTTTGCTCTTGGTTCCAAAGGCTCACGTAATGAAAGTTCCGATGTTAAAAGACCAGGTGTTATTCATCCTAAACCAAGTAGTAGTTCTTCAACTTCTGGTAAATAGAGTGCTGATAATGTCTTTGCCTTTGATGTAGTTAGTTTTTCTAATTTTAATTTATGTAAAATTGCAGGTAATGAGAGAAAAAAAGAAGCACCATCGGGATCACTTCAATCTTTTCAATATATTCCACAAAAGAAACCTAAGCTTCCGACGCATGTTACTCATCAACGACCACCTTTCTCCAGTGCTGAGGCTTGGGAACTGGTAGCCATAGATAGTGACCCAGCTGATTTTGTTCCAATGGTTTTGGAAGCCAATGATAATGACGAGGGTGATAAAGTTATAGGCATTATTTGCGGTGCCATCAAAACCCTTAAGAATCAAAAATGGAAGCCCGATGCATTGGTTTATATGGGATTATTATACTTAGCAAAAATTCGTCCATCTATTTTTTCAAACGATTGTATATTACATGCACTCTCGTCATTGCTGAAAAGAGATCAAGCATATAATTATAAAGCCAAAGGAAACCCATTGGTTCCTGTACTCGCAGCTAATTTATTAATGAAAGGATTTCATGACAAGAGAAATTGGCCCGAAATTTTTGTAAAGGTTGTTAATACATATATTATATTAACATTTACTTTGGTTACATTTAACATTGAATTAAAAATTAATTTCTACTTTTGCTTTTATAGCTGTACATTGAGGATGCTTTAGGTGAGAGAGTATGGGTCGATCACGAAGAATGCAAAGGTTTTGTCGATAATATTTTAACGGGATTTAACACGCGTCATCCACCGAAAAGTGTTTTACAGCCAGAACTGTCTGTTCTGACACCACGCGATTGTCACAGTCCATCTACCGTGGACGACGAAGATCCTGGCTCTTCGTCCGTGCAGTTTCCTGGAGATAAAGAAAAAATCGAATTCCCTGTGACTCCTAGATACACTCATTGTACAGAGAATATAGAATTTATTGTACTCGAGGCTATAAAAGAGCAGTTAAATAGGCGGCAACCAGAGTCAATTACTAAGAATTTTTTAAGGCTACTGTCTGCGGCTTGTGGTCTTGTAGAAATCAGAAATATTGCTGTACCGCGATTAGAAATGCTGCACAATCCTAAACTGATGAGACCTGCTCAAGAATTGCTAAGCTACATTTGCTACAATTGCACTTCTCATACACAAAGGGATGTCGAAGTTATAAGTCAATTAGTGAAGATGAGATTAAAAACTAAAGCCGTGATCAATCTGTATCTGAATGGTGTGAAGGAGCTTATCGGATTGCATCCCGAAAACCTCTCCACTATTTTGAAGCATACGATTTATAATGAATTGTCGAACGCACGAAATCCAAACAATATGCCCATGCTAGGCGTGATGTTCCAAACTTTACCGGAACAATCCGCCAAATTACTCGCAGAAATATTTCAAGACTTACTAATGAACCGTGAAGATTATCTCAGACCCCTCCGTGCCTTGCTCCGAGAGATAGTACGCGTATGCCGCCACGACATTAATTTAATTACTTTTGCGCGTACATTGATGGCCGAAAGACAAGATATCGCGCAACAGTTACTAAATTTTGAATTCAAAGAGCGAGTATTCATCTCTATTGCAGATCTATTATGCCTGTGTATGCTATTAGCCATCAGTCCACAAGTTAAGGAGGCTGCTGCTCTGGCGCAAAGAGGCGATAAAAAGGACATAAGCGTGTTACATCAATTTCAGAACATGGTAGCGACAATACAGTTTGAAACAGTATTGTGGTTACAAAATTTAGCACCGCAAATGTACGGCATCGGTAAAAATGAACTCCTCCATGCTTTGCATAAAATTCTAATGCTCGAATCTCCGGAGCAGTATTACAAACTGGACAATTGGCCTCCTGAGTCGGACAGAGTATTTTATTTACGTCTTGTTTCTGATGTTCCTCTGTTGCAGAGCACGCTGTTGAGGCTGTTATTAATTGGTTACTCAAAAGTGAGTTTAGAAAATAGCGAATTGAGTTCTCTTTTTTCGTATAAAAATACCAAGAAGTGCTTAAGAAAGACATTGAATCTTGTGTTTTAGGATAACGGTATTACTCATTCGGAAACGTTAGATTTGGTGGATCAGTTAATAAGACGAGCGGCGGCCAATTCGACGGAAAGCTTCCCGACCTTACAGGCGGATAAATTAGACATAATTGAACTTATTTTCAATCTCTGCATCTATCAGCCACCTGGAACTATAAACATACCATCTAGGTATTTCGAAATACTCGTAATATTATAAATTTGTTTAATTTCTATATTTGTTATTACTCGTTTCTTCTTATTAAGTTATGTACCACCGACTTTGGCGATATCAAATCTTTATTGGAAAGGATGGATAATGTTATTAATACTAGCTGCTCACAATCCGTCTGCCATTGGTGCTGTCGCGTGGAAGCGATATCCTATTTTACGAACTCTTATGGAAATGTGTATTACCAAGTAGGTTTGAATTTAAAATTTTTTTTAATGCATTGGACATACAGTGAATTTATTTTATTATCATATCGTAGCCACTTCTCGTACCCTCCGCCGACGATGGCGTTACCAGAGATCATAGAACAAGAACGTTCAAAAGAATTGCAAGTCGAAGCTATCGAGAAACAAGAAATACTCGAATACGAGTCACACTTAGCCGCTGCATCGACAAGGATACAAATATCCGAACAGAACAGTTTGTTGTTGTCGCAATTAATCACTATGGAACCGACCGGTATCGCTAGAAGGCCGCCTCCAGCGGTGTTGGAACAAATACAATCGTTAAACGTGTCCCATAGATTGGGGCACTTATTATGTCGGTCTCGGAAACCAGACTTCTTGTTAGATATAATACAAAGGCAGCAGCAAAGTTCGTCTCAAAGTATGCCTTGGTTGGCGGATCTTGTACAAAATAGCGAAGGATCTCTTAGTCAATTACCTGTACAATGTCTTTGTGAATTTTTATTATCCACCAGTACTCAGGCGGTGGAGAAGCAACCTAGACAACAACAATTGCTAGCACATTTGCAAATGTTGTTAACCGATCCTGACCAAGATCGACAACATGCTTACGAGGTGTTGGAATACTTCTTAAGAAGACTGAGTAGCCAGCAAACTAATAGTCGTCTTCAAGCGATTACTGGCCTAAAAATGGTTCTTGGATCGATACCCACTGACGAAGAACCTATGGATATAGACGGAGAAAACGAGAAGTAATTCGATAAATTCATCTTTTACGAAACTATTTTTGCTCGAAAGCTAAAGCAACTCTCTTTTCTTTTTTTTTTTGCAGAGAAGTTTGGCTTATTCGTAAGCTACCGACCATACCTCATTTCTTATCGGTACGATCTTTGGTTTCTACTGCTCTTCGTGGTGCATGCCAAGTCGAGAACAATCCGGATCTCGTACACGCTTACATATCATACCTCGCTGCTCATACCACCGATGACGAGCTACCGGAATTGACCGATCTGGCCAATGAGATATCTCAGCTAGTGGTCGAGCGGAGCACGATTATAGCAGCGATTTTACCACAATCGGACTGCGACAATCCGCAAGCCAAGCAAACTTTACACGCCTTTATGGCGATTTTTTGCAATTACTTGGAGAAAGCTCGATCCCCAAGAGGGGAAGAATACACATGGTCCGAGAGTCAAGATCAGATATTGGTACAGTGGAGTACAGGCGAAGAGTGCACTATGCACATTCTAGTTGTTCACGCTATGATTATTCTTTTAACGTACGACTCGTCCGACGATGATGTGCTGTTTAACGTTCTGCTTGAAACGTGGTTTCCGTTGAATGCAGAACCACCGAAAGCTTTTCTGGTTGATACCAGCGAGGAAGCTTTACTCATACCGGATTGGTTGAAATTAAGAATGATCAGGAGCAACGTGCCACGATTAGTGGACGCAGCTCTCAAAGACCTGGAACCGCAACAGTTGGTTCTTTTTATACAGAGCTTCGGTATTCCTGTACCCTCGATGAGCAAATTACTTCATACTTTGGATGCTGGGGTGCAAATCGATCCGGATTCGGTCGGCGAAGCGGTGCTTGATAAGACTTACATGGCGCAATTGGTTGAAGTTCAACATAGAAGAGGAGCTACGGGAGGGCTAGTTTTCGTGCAAGTTTTAGAACTGATGGAGCCACAGTTACCGGATGAAAATCCTGTGACTATCGGACAACTACAGGAACCGTTACCACCTAGTGCAATGGTTCAAAAACAATCTGTCATACAATGTTCCGTTAAAACGGACGTTCCTCATTTGATCAACAGATTATTCATCGAAAATATACCGATGAATCAAAAGATGGACGCGTATCGTCGATTGCACAAAACTCTGGCGAAAGACTTGCAGAAATCTGCGAAAGAAAGTGGCGCTGTTGTATTAGCGATACAACACATATGTAGCGTTTTGAGCTCGATGCAAGTGAAACAATTTTTAGCATCGCTCGTTCACATGCCGCAGTATTCATGCACCCTGATGCGGATAATATTGTTACCTCTGAAGAAGTCATCCACCTCGAAACAGGTGGTTGAATTGGCACGTAATATGTGTTTAAACTTGATACAATTGATAGGCGATGTCAAAGCACCAATCCTTTCGATTTTAAGAGACTTTGCAAACGTGCAATTGACAAAAACGCCAAAGAGCATGGAGTTGACGATGTTAATGCAAAATCGAGACCCTGGATCTATCTTGGAAAGTACAGATCCTGTTACTCTAGAACCAGTAGGTCGCAAGTTGTTAGACATTTGTCATAAGCAGCAAAAGAACGATATCCTTATAGAAGCAATGGCACGACTGTTGGTGAATGATAGTAATGAAGGCGTTCGAAAACCACGAACAGGCTTGCTGATAGACTGGTTAGCTTCTGTAGAACCGGAATTAATCGGCACATGCCCCAATCTACAAATGAAACTTCTGTTCGGAAAAACGAAGATACAAATGATGGTCGACAATAATGTCGTGAGCTCGCACTCATTTAGGCCCTATTTGTTGACTTTATTAACGCACAGGGCAAGTTGGGCAACCTTGTATAAATGTGTTGGGCATCTGTTAGATAAATGCGACGATGGGTAAGGAATATTGCCCAGTACTCGTTGTAATGTCAATGTTCAAAAAGATGGGCTACAAATTTAATGAAATGTTATGTTTATAGATACGATCCAACTGCTGTTATAGATTTTTTGTGGGCGTTAACATGCAATCCAAAACTTTGGCAAGGCAGAGACAAATTCACACCGAAACATTACGTCCCAGAAAATATTTTACTTTTGTATGAAAAACAGTTATTGACGCTTGTGGCATATATAGTCGCGGAGGCTGTTATCATATGCAATTGTCAAAGCAGAAACACCGCACTCGCTCGTATGGATTCTCGTCTTGACTTATTATTACATTGCGTGTCTACGGATGATCGTTTGGTATCCAGCGTCGTACGATATTTGGCTGATCGTATGATGAATGATTCAGAGTAAATATATACCGTACTATGATCTTTCCCCTTTAAGATAAGATGCGTTTTTCTAACGTTTCTGTGTTTTAATTTTTAGCGTGGATTCTGATATGGTACACCAGTTTTTATTACACATGTATATGAAGATACCAAAAGTGATCTGTTATTTAGACACTTTCCAAACTAAAAAATTTGTTGGAGGAGCAAAAATTACAGAATGGACGGGATCCGTGTTAGATTGTATGAGCCATTCTTTATTAACGGCTTTAGCAGCGACGCCAAGACAAAAATCGTGGAACTCCAAGTCTCAGGATTTTGAGTTATGCGCCAGAAAAATGGCTGCTGTACATCCAATATTAGTGTTACGGCAACTTCCGATGTTAGCGTCGTCGTTGATGGGAAGATGTTATTTGGAGTTCAGTCAATTTCGATCGGGGCATCATTTAAATCTTTTTGTACAAGTAATGGGACTGTTGGAGTTGTTACAGCCACATTTGTTTAGCGAGGAGCATCAAGCTGCTTTGGAAGACACATTAGAAAATTACTTTCAATGTTTCCAGGTTTGCCATAAAAATGTTGATGAATAATAATTCAATTTCAGTGAATTAAACATTTATTATATTTCTAGAATTATGGACCGATAAAAGATCTTATACCGCTCTTAAATAGATTCATTACATTACTGCAAGCGTATATTTCTTATGATCCGCAACGGGCATTAAAGTATTTGCAAAAACATGCTCAAATCCTTCAGTAAGTAATGCCTTTGATTTCTTTTAGCGAGTTTCAAACATTAGCTTACACTTACATATAGTGAATTGCAGATGCACTATCCAAATCTAGTTACACTGAGATCACTTGTATCAGGCATTCCAATGCCAAGAGAAGGTGAGGATGTAGAAGAAGTTTTAATTACTGTACCACCTACCCCACCTCCTTCAGAATCCATTATTCCACAGCATTGGCCGTCGTTGTTAACTACTTTATCCAAGCTGCAAGGTGAAGGTATGCATATGCAATGTATCTTAGTTTCAATTAAACAATTCAACAACGTCAATAGAGAAATCTTACAATTAGTATTACAATATTATTTTCAGACGTGTTTAGTTCTCTTCAGGAAATAGAACATCTATCATCTCGAAAACCCTCAGTTTTGGAATCCATAACAGACAATATAGCAGAATTACTTGTATCCCCACAAAGTAATATAAGGTCTCTTGCTCATGTTCTATTAGCGAGGGCACTGAAGCATCGTCCTGCATCGAATGCAAATATATTATCTGCATTCCAAAGGTGCCTGGACAGTCCTAGAGCCGATATTCTAATGTCGGCTTTAGAAAAATTGCCGGACATCGTATTGTGTATGCAAGGCAAGCTATTTCTCCGCTTAGTATTATCTCATTTGATAAATGCACTCTTTGAAAATATGTATTTTGTTACAGAGCATGCTTTACCATTGATGCAAAAAGTGTTTGAATTAGGGGTAAATTCCAATGTGAATACTACACCATATATAAATAGAACCATTGCTCTGTTAAATACACAGCAAGGTTGTTAATATTTTAAAAATTGTAATTTTTTATTTTGTATAAATAAGATTGTAAATTTTTCATAAAAAAAAAAAGTTATTTCACTTATTTAATTTCCTCCAGGTAATAATATTTAATTCTCTACAGGACATGTAAACAAAAAGAAAGTTTATATTTTTATTTATGCATACTTCGATTTTTTTTACTTTTCAGCTTTAACATGTACACTCGGAGAAAAATCCTCGTTGCACTAATACATGATCAATGTTTAAAAATATACTTTTTATATGAGGAATGTCAATTACTCAATTAGATTCTCTTATTTCATAAAACTAGAATACAATAATTTTATGCGCGTATCTTCTCATACAGCGAGGCAAGATTTTTCCTCAAGTGTACATCATACAGTTAATACATTTGTGATTACAAAATTACAGAAATGTATATACAAATTTATACAATAATTTTTAATATAAATTCAATTAACTATAAAATGCTTGTATGTCATAGAAAGGCTTCAGGTGGTACATTGTTTACTGTATACATGTTCATAAATGTTGTAATAGCAGTTCTTATATCCCAATTGGCTTCTTCAAGATATTGGTGACAAAACTTCAAATTCATTGTACTCAGTTCATGCAGAAATGACAACAGTTGTTCTTTCTCTGAAATACTAAACACAGTTGGAACAAATTTTGGTGAAATTTTTGTTTCAAATCTTGATTCACTGTTTCCTGATAGATTACTATTGGCAGGTGTTCCATCAAGATAACACTGATCATTAGTAATGCAGTATTCATTATCTTCTTTTTGTATAATAATGAAAGTCCTGTTGAAAAACATTGGTGGACATGCAATGTCTCTAAATGAAAATAATCCTTGTACAGAAATAGCAAGATGGCTTTCTCCTTCGTACAGTAAATCAACATGAAATGATTTAAAATTATGTATTGTTGGTGGTTGGCTTCTAAGTGCAGAAATGATTCTCTCTGGGCCACGTAATAAAAATTCTTGACACTTGGCATAATCAACAAATTTCAGTAAATTTCTATTTGTAACAAATGTTTTAGTTATTTGTTTATGGACATAATTTATAACATTCCCTAATGTCATGGAGTAAAGTGCATCTCTGTCATACAGTCCATTCATCATTTGTCTATCATCCTGATCATATAAAGTGAAATAATGCTTCACAAATTGTTTGATAAGACAAGTTTTCATACCATCCCTTATAAAGTTGCTTTGAATATTAGGAACAAATTTTTGTTCTGTATCTATTACAATTCCATCTAATTTTTGTAGATGAGGGAAAACATTTTTCACTGCTTGCACATAATCTTGACACTTGCTATATTTTGCACACAATGGATTTCCATCTAGCCATAGTTCACTTATTTTGAATTCACTAAAATAACGTAAATAATCAATATCTCCAATGTGATTGTATCTTAGATCTAACTTGGTCAAATGGTAATTGAAGAACTTCTCAAACAGAATAATGGCTGTGAGTTTATTATATTTTAAACTCAGTTCACGGATGGACAATCTTGAATCACGATTAGTACTTAAGATTCCCACTTTGGCACATCTCAAAACAAACTGCAATACTTTAGGTACAGACAATGGACAATATATTGAATTCAAAGACTTCTCATCCTCAAAATCATCAAGATTCAATACCTTTTTTGTATGTTCATACCTACTATACAATGCTTGTGCTATAATTCTATTAGGATTCAGTTGTAACTCTTTGGAATCTAAAAATCCTAATACAATGTCAATATGTAACTCATGCCCATTTATCATAGCCACACATAAATCTTGCTTTACAAGATTTTCAATGGCAGTGGAGGTGCATTTTGCCAAGAAAGTGCTTTTATTTGAGCTTTCTTCTTTATACATAACAGGAAGTATGATATCAGGATCACAAGCAACAATGATTCTTTTCAATACTTCCTTCGCTTTACAATGTCTTACATTGTAGACAATAAATTTATGCCACAAATCTTGACGCGATGCTACAGCTAATTCTTGTTCGTTGAAAGACGGTTTAATGTGCGTTAAACGCAATGGTTCCGAAATTGGCGTGCCCTCAGTAACTTCTGTGCCAGCCATTATTTTTTATACCGTATGTTACATTAACATATGAGCATTTTCACGACAAACAATAATTAACAAAACTTAAAAGGCAGTTCAATCGAATTACAAAGTTTATTCGTGATTGAAATAATTTCGAAACATTGAAAAGCAGTTGCTAGTCAAATAATTCTATATATGTAAGACATAATTAAATATTGCTTTTTACACGCTTAGTAGGGTAAATAACAACACATAATAAGAATAACAACGAGCCATGTCACGTGAGCCCAGCATTTCACGCAACTTCGGGAAATTGAGAAACAAGGCGAGTGTAACTCTTTCCTTCCTGATCTTGAACAGCTAAAGTCCTGGCAGATAATACGGCCTCTAGCGGAGAGATGCAAAATCAAATTTAAGACTGTTTGGTCTACGAAAGAACTAAAAATAAACATTTCTTGTTATAAAATTAAGGAATTATTATTGAAAATAAAACAATACTTTGGAAATAAATCGTTTGAATACAATTTATCAAGTAAGACTTTATTTTTTTGTATATTTTCTGCCTATGTAGGCAAATATACCATGTTCGGTTTTATTATAAGTTGATATAAGTCGAAACGTAAAAATGCCTGGACAGTCGAGATTTGAAATTGTATGCCGCGAAGCGGGACTTCAGCTGTTCAAGAGGAAGAAGGAAAGGCTTTCGTTCATGTTATTTCTCGATCTCCCGAAGTTTCATGAAGTGCTGACCCAACTTAACATGTGGTTCGTGTGGTAGGATATGTCTGTTTTCCCCACCACTTCGTTAAACGCTAAGGAAGTTCGTCGTTATTAATGTCGACGTCGATACACTCGATTATGTCAGATCTGGCTACACTATCCCCACCACTCCGTTAGAGACTAAGGAAGTTCGTCGTTGCTAGTGTCTACTAGTTATGACAAGTTCGGTGTTCGTGTGACTTGTTTGTTAATTAAAAATATGTTAATTTCACGAGGCGCACAGATATTAAAAACCGCGTCTCTTTTTAAAAAGGTGGAACCTGTTGCAATAAACTTGAAACAAGTTCGTTATGAGTAAGTTAATACATCCGTTATATAATCTTTCTGAATAAAGGTTACTTTTGGATATTTGTATTCGTTATTGAATTTTTAATATGAATTTACATTGATGTTTTAATTTCTTTCTACAAATTGAAATTCAAGGTACAAATAATAAGATCATACTAGAAATCTTTTACTTTAACAGTTGGACTTATCGAAGTGTACCACATCCTGATAGATGGACCATAGTACTCGCAGAATTAACTGGCGGATTTGGATGGTGGTGGGTTCTATGGAATTTGTGGCATGAACATAAAGTTTTACTTCATGTGAGTAAATTTTAGTTTATCCTTTGCATTACAACAATTTTATTGAAATATAAATTATAGTAGTGTCCGCATAAGTGACCAAGCTCGGGACCGGTCTTGGTCAGTTATGTGGGCATGGTTCTCAGAATTTAATGGAGATAAAGAAAGAGAATAAGTGAGAGTGAGATACAATAGCTGGCACCCAAAATCTTATGTACAATGTATCAATAACATTTATGTATCTAGGGTGAAGTACCAGGTTCAATTCCAGAACATTGGACAGATGAAGAATTGGGAATTCCACCAGATGATTAAATAACAGAGGTAGACAAATACAAAACCTTTGGGTTTAATGTAAATACAAAGTCACTGTTGCATTTAGTGGAGTTTCAAACATAGTATCTAGTACAATATCAACCAAATACATAAGTTATTATTTAACTTCTGTATAAAATGCTTTAATAAATCTATCATCAAAATTGTTATATCATTTAAAATAACGTATTCTTTATTTATGAGTATATTACATTATTAAACAATTCATAATAATGTTCATAATAGTAACCTAATAAACTGAACAAATAAAAAATGCGTAAAATAACGCATTTATTTATAGAAATTTGATACAACAAAGAATGTGTATCATGAGTATTCGTGTACTTTATTTTTAATTACATCTTGGCACCTTAATAGTCACTGTTTTGGTTTCAATATATTCATCCAAGCCATCTGCACCCCTAAAAACAAATACGAAACTATAATATTTTTATCCTTGTATTATTTTTTAATGATCAATGTTATACTTACAATTCTCGACCTATGCCTGAGTGTTTAAATCCACCAAATGGAGTTTGAGGAGTCATGGCATCGTAACAATTTACCCTATTCGGTATTTATTTTATTTATAAATTTTCTATATTATATTGCGCATAATAAATAGAAAATGAATATTTTGAATCCTTACCAAACACTCCCAGAATGTACTGCTTGAGCAAACACTAATGCTTTATCAATATCTTTAGTAAGCACGCCAGCAGCAAGGCCGTATTCCGTATTATTTGCGCGTTCTATAACTTCATCGAGCGTTTCAAATTTCAAAATGGATTGAACGGGTCCAAATATTTCTTCTTTGGCAATCCTCATATTGTCGGTCACATTAGAGAACACAGTAGGCTTACAAAAAAAAAATTGAGATAATTATAAAAACAGAATTATCTGAGTAACAGAACAAAAAGAATTTGAACATGAAATCATACCTTAATAAAGTAACCAACATTACCCTGTTGTTCTCCGCCCGTTTCCACCACTGCACCTTCTTTTTTTCCTGACTGAATCAATCCCATGACCTTATTAAACATATCTTGATCGATTTGCGGCCCTTGTTGCGTTTTGGAATCAAAGGGATCGCCAACTTTTGTCTCGAATGCTAATTTCTTGGCGTGTCTAACAAATTCGTCATAGATTTTGGAATGTACAAAAGTACGCGAGCCAGCGCAGCAATTTTGTCCATGATTCGCAAATATTGCATTGTATGCAATGTCTGCTGCTTCCTTAACTATAAATTGCCCTTGGTTATTATCTTACACTGTATAATATAATTATGGTTATACTTTATAAAATACATTATTTACATACCATCAACGTCGTCAAAAATTACCAAAGGACTCTTGCCACCTAATTCAAGGCTAACACGTTTGAGATTACTTTTAGCAGAAGCTGCCATTATCAGGTGACCAATCTACAAGTTACATATGAATTTTTAGTGTTAATTCGTATTTGATTGTAAAGCTAAGAATTATATACCTGTGTAGATCCAGTGAATGCAACTTTACGAACGTCCGGATGTTCGGCAATAGCTGCACCAGCTGTTGGACCATATCCTGTAATAACGTTTACAACTCCTGGAGGAAATCCAGCTTCTTTAGCAAGTGCTGCAGCATAGAGTGCGGATAATGGAGTTTGTTCAGCTGGTTTTAAGACAATAGTACATCCAGTAGCTAATGCTGGACCCCATTTCCATGCCACCATAAGAAGAGGATAATTCCAAGGAATAATTTGACCTACTACACCAACTGGTTCCTTCCGTGTAAATGAGACAAGATTTCCATCTAAGTAATAAATGATGTCAGTGTTTTCTAATCGATATTTAGCGAAGACTTATGAATATAAATATACCTGCTGGAATAGTATCACCCAAAATTTTATCACACCATCCAGCATAATAACGAATCGTATCTATGCTTGCTTGTACATCCCACACTGCATTGTTGTATGTTTTCCCATTGTCCAGAGTTTCAAGAGTAGCAATATAATCCAAGTCACGTTCCATGAGATTTGCAAACTGTACAAATACGATATTAAAGGTCAAAGTTATTCAAACAATTACTTTTTCTAAACATTCTTAAGGATTAGAGTTAATAAGCAATATACTGTATTAATAAGCCTTCCTCGAGCAGATGCATCCATATTCCGCCATTCTGATCCCCTGGCGAATGCTTTTTTTGCAGCTGCAACTGCCTTGTCTACATCCACCTGTACAACATAGAATAAATACATAAAACTAGGTAATTTAATGTTGTCTGACTTACAAAATACAAGCATGAAAGAAAGTATAATGCACCTTGTCACCCTCAGAGACTTCAGTAATAACAGTGCCATTTGCCGGATTTATAGTGGAAAATTTTTTACCACTGTGCGCGTCCACAAACTCGTTGTTAATGAATAACTGAAAATTATTATTATATAATTCGTACGAAACTATTTCTACACGAATCTATATTCTATATGGAAGAATATTTCAAGGAAAGTTAAATCGATCGATGTTGAAATAAATCGTTTACCTGTGTGTATTTGATATCTGGCGTTTTACGTGTCATCTTTTCGTTTGTTTTCTTCGCCGGACCGTCATACAATACGCAATTCGTCTGAAACTCCGTTAAATATGTTGCTATCCCCTCTTGTGCTCTCGATACAGATAAAGCTAGTATCTTATTTTTGGAGAGGAATATGCATATCATTTAGTGTTATCCGAAGCTGATTAATCATATATTTTGTAATACAAAATTTACATTACAAAAGGAGACAGATTTTATTTTAAGAGACGTAAAAATTCAGTATTTTTTAACTTAACGCTCATGTTTATCGAACTTTTAAGATCATATGAAGTTGTTATCTACTTCCCTTCTCTATGTTTATCTAATCAACATTTTCATCTACATGGGAGAGGAAATACGTTTATAACTATGACTGGCACTTGTTTTATTTTTCGGAAATGCGCGAATAAATACATAAGTGATACTATCAGTTGCAGCTTATCTAGAGCAGATTCTGATTAACAACATATTGCACCACAGGTCGATCATTAAAAATTATTGAAATGAATAAAAACATTTTCTGTATAATGCCTTTGTCGAATTTATTTAAGACAATTCCAGGATGAAAGTAAAGTTAAAAAATGTTCGACTCTTTAGCGTAATTTACGCTAGTCTAATTCAATTCGAAATCGCGAAGGTATAATTTTGAGTGAGAAAGGAATGCCTCTTCAGTTGCTGCGGGCTATTAAATCGATAAATGTTGTGCTGTTTCTCGAAGAAATAACCATCGTATTCGTGGTCAAAATTGAAATCTAAGTTTGTACAAATTTAAATTAGGATCCCTAGTTATATTCTAAACTGCATGTTTCATTACATCAGAAGATTATCTACAATTACAGATGTTGTTGACGTCTTCTTGAATTTAATTCCTGTTAATCCAAAGTGGAATTTGACATGGATGTTAAACAAGATTCCTCGAGGGGAGCGTACCAGCAGCTTCCTCACGAAGGAGCCGGTGATGCGGTAAATTAATTCTTTGATATAATAATGTGCAGAATTTTTATCGCAACAATTTTATACTTTTATATTCGTTACTCATAAATAAAATTTGCCCCACTCTGGAATAGCGTTCACGGAGAAAATCCACGGGCTATTTGATCAAGTCATCAACAACAATTCAGTGTAAATATGTGGGCAGGGAATAATTGACGATAATATAATCGGACCTGTTTTCTTTAATGGAAGATTAACAGGTCAACCTTACGTCACTTTCTTGAATAATTAATTGCACAAATTATTGGCAAAAGTTCCATTCGATATTCTTCATCACATGTGATTTTACATGATGATGCGTCGAGATATTTCAGCCTAGTAGTCATATAATTCTTGAACAAACGATATTCAGAAAATGGTAATTTCGAGTACCTTCCATAAAAGCAAGAGTAAGACTCTAAACCAGGGGGATTCTAGAGGCCAAAATAAGACGAAAATCAAGAACACCAATTTGTTGATGGAGGCTTTGTTAAAAAGTTATTAACGTTTAAAGTTCCGCCAGTACTGAATTTTTTTCTCGAAAATGCACAGGATTTCGGGGGTATGTCTATTCACCAAAAATGATTGTAATTGTCCCCCGCGGCCGAAAATAATTTTTCCAGAACGATTCGAAATTTTTTTTTCCGTCGAAAAATTTCACACATTCTCGAATTTTTTTCTAGAATGTGGGTAGGATTTCGGGGGTATGTGTAATGACCAAAAATGATTGTAATTGACCCCCGCAACCAAAAATAATTTTTTTAGAGCGATTTGAAAAATTTTTTTTTATAAAAAATAAATTTATTTCATGGTCCTACATTTTGTTATTTAAATGTGCAATATCATGTATGTTTACAAAAGAAATGTTTTGCGCAGGCCGCGATACCTTGTCCCATGATGGAATCTACTAATGATGAAACAAAAGAGAAACTACCTCCTTACTTTCCTCAACCAGGAGATGAATTTCCAGCAAAACCGGAAGGATCGATGGAGGCTATCGGTCCATGGGCAACTGGTCGTGTAACGTTCAGCCCTAAAGATGGTTTAACAGGAGTGAGACCTGTTGTCGATCGATATTCTGTAACGCAATTCGGCGCACCAGAATGGAGAGCCCACAATCAGAAGTTTTTCAAGCAATCGGACGAAAAGATTCGAGATGCTCAGTACATAGTCAAACATTTATGCTTGCGTTCTTAGATACTTTTTATTTGTACCGTGTGCAGCACTGAAATCACGAAATTCCTTTTAGGCTGGCTGTGAGTAACGCGAAACGATGCGTCGACGAATCGTACAGAAGGGCAGACAAAACGCAGTTAGAATCGACGGATCATTTGAAGAGTCGCGCTAAGGACGTGTATCGTTGGAAAACCGAGCTGGAACACGTAATACTTGATATTACCAAAGAGATCGAATTATTGGAAGGCGAACGACGACGTGTGAAGCACTCTTTGTCGGTTCTCACTGTTCCCGAGTCGATCGCTGGGGAATTTTTGCAATTGCGGTCTAAAAGACTCGAATCCGATCTCATCCGGGACGAGGTCGAGGAGGAGCTAACGAAAGTCAATATTAATTTCGACATGGCATCTTAAATGTCTAGGTTAGATATTGTTGGCATGCAGTGAATTCATTCTTGCAGGAGGTAGCACTTTGCTGGGAGATACGCGATTTACTCGGTAGAACTCGAGAGCAAATAGAACTGCAATTGATCGAACTAAAAGCTGCCAAAGCAAGGATGGAAGTCGACTGGACCGATAAGACACACTCATATGGCATCGATGCTCACTGTATAGAATTAAAAAACGATTCGTCCGTTATACTTTGGGCACCTGGTGCCACCAGATTTCCAGCGGAGTACGTGTTAAAGTCGACGGTGTCCGATTGAACACCGAAACGAGATTCTACGAGCTTTTCGTTTCTTTTTCTGGGTAGACAATCGACACCAGCCAGTTACGAGCACTACACGCGGGAAAGTTTAACCGACGCGGAGGCCGCGAGGCAAAAATCAGCGAACCTGAGGTCCACTTTGAACGCCATATATACGAACTCCATCAAAGATCTTCGTGATCAAGCGACACGCGTGGATCTCGTACTAGGCGAAAAGATTAAGATGACCGAGGAAGTTCGCATACAATTAGAGAAAGAATTACTTCGCGTGAGTTCGATTACCCCGATCGTTTTGTTAGGACAAAAGGCAAATGGTTTTCATTTTTTTTTTTTCAGTGTTTGCACGAATTGGCAAACACTGAGAAAGCGATCGAAGAACTTCGTCATTCGGCGAGAGGATTGGATCGCGCGATGAAAGTGGCGCAAACACGATTAGCAAATAGATTACAACGACGTAATGTTGAAAGCTGTCGCGATACACCTCAATTTGCGTGAGTGATACAGAAATTAAATTTATAACAGTTTCTGTCCAAGTTATTTATCGCGACATTATATATTTGTATTTCGTTTAGTCTCGTGGAGGAAGTGAAATTCTTGAACGAACGCACATCGGCAATGTTGGCGGAACTGAAACGAGCCGAGGAGACACAGGCTGGTTTGGTAAAAGCGAGAAGCGATCTCGAACGAGAAATAATCGTGAAACGTAAAACATTGTACATAGACAAGCAGCGCGGACAATTGCTACGTTCGTTCTATCCTTCGGCCGCTGCCCTTTCCGGTTTCTAACGATGTTCGAACGTCCGTGTTGCAATATCTTAATTAGAAAGGTGAATACAAAATAAAAAATACTTTTCAGAGGAAATATTTAATGGAAACGTATTAAGTACCATTGGTTCTGTAAATGTATTTTGGAAGTTCACGACTTATTCACGCAAAAATATAATGATTCTTAGAATTTATGTATAATAATTTTATAGTAGTTTTGTTTTGATATTTTATACAAAAATGAAAAATATATGACTTGGATGTTTTTGGGTTCCTTCGTGTTATGCTACGTACATTCATATATAATTAAATTAAGTATTACACATTAATGTTTTAAAAAACAGCTTAAATTATCGCTATCCTTTTCGGGATTAAATTTTGTATAAGAAAGATATATAATCACAGTTCATCATGCGGCTGTAGATGACTTGCTACAAACTCGTACAAATCATCCAAATTACGGGCGTCATTGTACTCGGAAATCTTGTGCCCATCGCGGTATAAATACAGAGATGGAAAACCATCTACTTCTTGTTCATTGCACAATTCTTTGCTCGCGTCGAGTGTACAGTCTATCTTAATTATATTTACGTTCTCGTTGTCGAAGAACTTTTTCCCAAGATCTTCCCAAATAGGCGCCAAACGTTTACAGTGTCCGCACCAAGGCGCAAAAAATTTAACGAATGATATGCCGTTTTCAATACCATGTTTAAAGCTCTCGCCAGTTAAACTGAGTACAGTGTGCAGCATATTGTCAGAGTTATCAGTCTTAACATTTGCTTGGTCATTATCCTTTCCAAGCATTTTTGATACATAAGCTTTTAACTCCTCGTGAGTACGTTGTCCTTGATATTTATCCACCTGTAAGTTTACATAGAATGGTTACAAAAGTTTCACAAGAAAAACATAAATAATGAAAATTAATGCAATATTTAATCACCTTCTTTCCATCTTCTATCCAGAGCAATGTTGGATATCCTTTAATAGCATATTGTGCACAAACACCACGGTGCTGTGTACAATCTACTCTTGAAATGGAAACATCATTATTGTTACGTAGGCTGTTAGCTAATTCTTCCCATGCAGGAGCTAATTTCTGACAATGACCACAACTGGGTGCATAAAACTTTACAAAATGATAACCAGTAGAAACATGCTTATCAAATGTGTTCTCTGTCAACTCTAGTAGACCATTTACTGCCTCTGGAGGTGATGGTGCAACATCTGCACTCTAATTCATTAAATTTCAAATGTAAAAACCAAATATTGCATATTATAATTTATAATAAAGTAAAAGTATCTTTGATAATTACCCCGATGTTAATGCCTGCTTGATCATTCAAAAATGAAATTAGAGATGGCAGATCTCTTGTACCTCTGAATTTAGTGCCTTCAGTTTCACCAGCTTTAAAAAATTTCAGCCTATAAAATTATTCAAACTGAAGTTTACTTTTTTTTATAAATAAATGCATGTATAACTTATAATGTTCTGAATATTATGTACAATGGACTGATACTATACGCACGTAGGATAGCCAGTAACATCATGCACACTACATAAACTATTGTCTGTAGTACAATCAACTTTAGCAATCTTTATATTATCTTCTTTATTTGTCATTTCTGCTAATTGCTCCCAAGTAGGTTCAAGCCTTTGGCAATGTCCACACCTGACAAAATTAAAAAGATATTATAACAATTATACACGAATAACATGTATACAAATTTTAATTTTATTGCAATTTTATAATATAATGTTTATATTGTAAATGCATCATTGATAATGATTTTTGTCGTAACATAATAAATATGAAAAAATGTAAAACATACCATGGTGCATAGAACATAATAAAATGATTCTTGTTCTTGATCTCTTCCGAAAAATTGTCTTTGTTATATTGTGTTGTGTGTACATGTTCTTCTTCTTCTTCACTGTTAACTTGACTCAGCATAAATATAAATAAAAGAACATGTTTTTTTAACATGGTAGAAGTTAAAAATATAGTCATAACAGTGAATAAATTAATGCTTGACTAGCTAATCAAATATTTTAAGTAAATATCGTATCCTTATCAAAGGCAGTGACGAGTACTTTTAAAAATTTAAGCTTTATATCATGATTGTTTTAAATTCGAGGTAGGAAAGTTAGAGATCTAAATGCTGCAATGTATTTTCGGAAATTCCAAATTTTACACTCTTCAAACCGAAACAGAAAATTCTTCGTTGCTATGCTATGATAATTTAACAATTCCTTCCGCTTCACACTGATCCTTCAGCCTCCCACAAAAATGGATGAAAATGGATCGAAACCGCCGATTCCGCCCCCTCATTTGATTTGGTACACCGATGGCCAACGTTTCATTATGAAATTACAGCACTCTAGTCTTTCCCAGCAATGTAGGGACTTTTTTAATAATTTTATTAAATTTACTTTAAAATCAATTATAGTTTTCAACAGAAACATTGAATGCACTGCTTTAAAAAACAAGTGCCATAGTTTATAGTTATAAAATATTAGTATTCCGAAAATAGAAAGTAAATAGAAGTATTCATATTTCATCGATCGACTGATTAATTTTATTTCTTAAATTTCTATGACCGGATTGTAATGAATGCAAAATAGAATGCAGATTTCTGAAAATGTAAAATATTATTAAACAACTCATGGATCATCTTTTGTTATATCACAGATGAAGCATAGAATAGAGCAATGTTGTTTTATGTTAGACTCGAAACACAAACGAAATTGATCTCTGTATATTTAAAAATTTTAGATACAGCTTATACTCGTAATTTTAACATCGAAGTATGTTTTTACATTATCGAATGGATATCCTCAAAGTAAAACGATCCATTCGAGTAGAGCATATTGACACTACTTCATTCCATGACTTTCGTGCCTTTATTAATATTGAACGTTAAATTCGGTTCTACACGAACACAAGGGATATTAAAATACGGAGTGTGAACGTAATTTTTAGTACAATTTCTATAAATATTACTTATTATATAAATATTTTCTCGTATAACGTTGCATTTTATTTTCCCGCACTATTGCTGCAAACAATTGTGGCGCCAAACGAGTGAATGCGTAACTTAGTTTCCAACGCTTGTAAATGTTTACAGTCGAAATTGTAAAGAAAAAGTGAACAAGCTTGTCACTGTCACCGTAATTTATTGCTGCATAAACAATCGTTTTATTTCTGAGATACATTATGCATTTTATTCGTATCGTGATTTTATTTTTGTAAGTAAAGACTTAGATTTCGTTATACCATTTGTTGTTATTTCTTTCACAATTGCTGTATCTTATCATGATTTGTTTAGTTAAAAAATTGTAATGTCGGAACCTGGATTATCTTTCGATGACGAACCGCTCTCGCCAGATCTCTTCGACGATGTAGATATGACACAAAATTTGGAAAATTCTGATGAATGTAACATACGTTATTTGCCTACTTGTTGTCTATATAACATATACACTGTCTAAACTTATTTGATTGTTTGATTTTCTAAAGCAAACTCGATGTCCATCGATGTTAATGAACCAGAACTGTCGGATGGTATAATCGAATGGAAAGGAATGAGCATGGATGAGATTCGTAAGGGCTTAGGTACATACGATTGTCAGGAGTTTCCACCTATATCTCCATCTTTATCTCACACAGTATTAATATCGGTAAGATTCAAATTAAACAGAAGCATTCAAGTAACATGCTCTAACATTAATTTGAAAATTTTTTCAAATAGTTACCATTACCTGCTTATGGAATACCAAAATCTTATCCTGCGCATCAAGTGGACAAGTGGTGTCAGGGTTATGTACGAATGCCACATTCAAAGCATAGTGTATATCCAATAGATCAAGTATGTAGTAATATTTAAGATTTAATATAATTTATATCTATATATTTTGTAAGTAATATAGCTGTTCAATCCATGTTTTATTATAGAATGGAACCCCTCGTTGCAGAAATAGATGGGAAATAATACAGGAATCTTTACTTCAGAATTTTGTTTCAACTCAGCAACTAGAAAGTGCGATACTTTCTTACAATCACATATACGCGCAACGCTGGGACTTTGCTGCGCTGCATCATTTTTTTTCTGAGGTAGTGTTTAAAATTCTGTGTATCTTTTTAGAAGCTTATTTGTTGAACGTTCTGATTATATGATAATTTGAAACTAAAGATAGTTGATCAAGAAGAAACACATATTTTCTTCACGTGTCTTTTGCCAAAAATGGTTCAACTTGCTTTACAACTGCCTGTTCTGATAACTGGTCCAGTGCCTCTTTTGAAACGCCACACTAATGCAGCGATCAGTCTTAGCCAATTACAAATAGCATCTTTACTGGCTAATGCATTTTTCTGTACATTTCCAAGACGTAATTCAACTAATCCACAGTCTGAACATGGAACATACCCACGTATTAATTTTAATAGGTATTTCATTACGTAATATTTAATTAAAGCTTATAAAGTAACTAACTACGTATATTATATTTAATACTTTAATGTATACATTTATATAGGTTGTTTTCAGCATATAGGGAGGAAAAATGGAACAAATATGAATCGGTAATGGAAAAAATGAAATGTATAATTCATTACTTTAGAAGGGTAACATCCAAAGGTGGGTACGTTAAGACTCTTCTTAAGAACATAAGTGAGAAATGAATATATTAATTTTATTCAATTTAGTTCTAACAGCGAGAAGTGGAATTTGAACTGTACTGTAATTTTTCCATAGAGTAGCCCCAGAAGGTGTAGTAACAATTCAACGACGTTACATTCCAAAATCAGATTGCCCGAAATGGGGCGAACAAATACAGAAACTCTTACCACTACACATTACAAGCAAAGGAACGATAGAAACGGAAGGAGCTGGTCTCCTGCAAATGGACTTTGCTAACAAGTAAATTCGGTTTTTAAAATCGCCATTAAATCGTATAAATCTAATATGAATAATGTAATCTAATTTGTCATTTCTAAAATTGATAATGTATTTTTAGATACGTGGGTGGCGGTGTTCTCGGTTTTGGATGTGTACAAGAGGAGATAAGATTTGTAATTTGTCCGGAGTTAATGGTGACTATGCTTGTCACGGAAGAATTAGACGATACAGAAGCACTCATTGTTAGTGGCATTGAAAGATATAGTAAATACAAGGGTTACAGTAACAGTTTTAAGTGGTTGGGTGACTATATCGATGAAACACCTCGAGATAACAGTGGAAGACGATTGACCTCAATCGTTGCAATCGATGCTCTTTACTTTAAACATCCACAGTCGCAATTCAGTATAAGTAATATAACAAGAGAACTTAACAAGGTTAAACATCGATTACGACATGTGAATATAGATTTGTTGATTAATTACGGGATGCTTGATAGTTTTATTTTATACAGGCATACGTCGGATTTATCGGGTGCGAAAGTAACAGAAATAATCTCCCTGCTATAGCAACTGGAAATTGGGGATGTGGAGCTTTTCGTGGAAATCCAAAATTAAAAGTATTGTTGCAGCTAATGGCTGCAGCTGTAACAGGTCGAGCTATGGTTTATTTTACGTTCAGAGATACAAGGTTACGGGATAGTGTTGCAGAGATGTATTCGCATTTCGTGAAACACGAGACAACTATAGGTATTGATAAAATCGGGCGCTTCGTTAAAATATTTTAAATATACGCGGAAATTCATTATACTATCTTCTTTTTAGCCCATATTTATTCTTTATTAATACAATACCAAGAGTTCGCTCCGACCGAGGAGTTGGATTTTTATCGTTTCTTACATAATCGAAGTAAAATAAAGCCTTTATCGCAATTTTTTAACAAGAGCCTGCAGACGAAAATTTCTGCAACGAAGGAAGTTATTTTTAAAAGAAGTAAAAGCATTAGCATCGACGATAAGCAACATTTCCATTCGGATGTTAAAAAACAACAAACGGAAGAAGACACGATACAAGGATGGTTAACTAATTACGACAAAGATATCGTAAGTACGGAGAAAACAGGAATCGCAAAGGATGCGTATACGGAAGTTAAAAATATTACGGAAAAAGAACAAAATCAGAACAGGGATAGTACGGAGGATCAAACGGAACAAGTTCAAGATAAAGTTAGCATAGAGAAAAGGAGAAAGCAATCGTTATGGAAAATTTTAGAAGATACTGTACAAGCTAAAGCGAACAACGAACAGCGACTATCTGGTCTTGAATTGTTAGATACAAAGCAAGAGCTTGTTTCTTGTCAGGCAAGCAATGATTGTAATATATTGCCAGAAGCTGAAGGCCAATTGAATTGTATACCTACCGAATTGTATGGTACATGTGAATCTACTCAAATTCCGAACGAGAAATCTACAGTATCTCATAAACGTGATTCGTCGGCGAAAAAGACTGGACAGAGAAAGATCTCAGATTTTTTCCAACGAACGTCTTGAAGATTTAGAAATATTTAAAACTAAATGTTCGCTTTGATTGAAGATGGTTTAACAGAAAATTTTCTTATTGCACGTAATTTGTATATAGTGTAATACTAGTAAATAAAACAGTACTTGTAAATAATTTTGCACATACACTTTTTCTTCAATCGGAACCACATTGATGATTGACGTAATTACATATACGAGGGCTATAAAGTAATAAAACTATAAACTTACTCAATTTTATTCCACTCCTTTATATTTTATTACTTAATTTTCTTTTGCAGTAAAATATAGTTTTCAAAACGAAGTGATAAATTAATTCCAAGTCTGATCCACTGTAATTGAACAAAAATATTAGTTTATTTGCATTACTATGAAAGTGGAAGTACAGTTTTATTTGAAATAATTCATTTGGTATCGTTTAAAATAGAGACCCTTTAAATATTCTTTCGAATACTATTGCGAGGGTTGCTTGTTTAAAACGATATTTGAAATTTTCTTCAGCTCCGGTATCAACAGATTTATAAGGTGAATAGACCCGCGATTATTGACGATCACGTGATACTTATCGACGTATTTCGTTGGCCGTGGACGAAGAAATTGGTGGAATACGAAGATGGCTGCTACCACTGAAATATTAAATACTCTCGCAGAAACAGTAATTTTTCGAAAGAAAATGTAGAATTTCCTGGGTTGCGACGCGTTTCAGGTAATAGCCGATCTGTTCTCAGTGAGTCTTGCGTATGTTTGTGCGGCGATGTACGAGCCTTGTTCGCGAAAATCGTGGGCGGTTACGGAGAGTCATTTTAACATCGACCACTCTAACTTGACATTTTGACAGGCGACAGACGTAAATATTGAGCCGAGCGTTCGATGAACGACTGTGTCACCGATTAAAAGTGAAAAAATTCCCGTGACGTGTGTAAAAAATATTGACTCGTCGCGTTTAATGGATCGAGAAATGACGTTCTCTGTTTGTCCCACGGCACGATGTGCTATTTTCACATGTTACAAGAACTCCGATATGTTAACATTTCGAATGACAGCACGATAAGCTGAAACGGATCGAACGACCGCTCGTTAACGTTTACCACTTTGTATGGATTTCCTTTGATTGTTTTAATTCTGTTCGGTTTTTAGCGATACTTGTTGTATAACGGCACACAAGACTGAATATTCGATCGTTTTTAATATTATCGCTGTGATAACGTATATTTGCGTTACTTTACATTTGTATATACTGTTTCAATATACGTATTCTTTCATGGATTATCGGTTTCTTGTATTGCTTGGCAATTTAAAAAAAAAATTGTTTCTTTTCTATAGAATTTGTACAATATGATTAAATATGAATCTTAACAAATTATAGATTGGTATTTCGTGTATTTTATGTATATATATCTGATTTATAAATGTCACAGATGATTCCAAAGTATTCTAAATTGTTTGTAGTCAAAGTTTCTTTTATGATCAATTTTATACTTTCCATTGTATTTTTATAATTTTATTAATGTTTTGGAGCTGATGTTTAAAAAATTTGTTATATGTATTCTTACAAGATGCTTTATCTTATTAGACTGTATTTTATAAATACCATCAGTGTATTGAAAATGTAGATTTCATTCTGTGAAACATATAAAATGTAAGAATTATAATCTGTGTAATATCCATCCTAACATGGATAATGTAAGTTCCAAATATATTAGAACTGTTATGTTCTATTTAATGAAATATTCATTTTTGTATAATAGTGTTATATGTAACATATATTTGTATCATTTTAGCAAATTTTAAGTATGAACATAATGCGTAAATTACGAGGGGGTACCAGTGTAGGAGGAATGGGTTCTAGCAGTGCTGGCAGTTTAGATGATTGTGTGGGAACTACAAATCCTCAACATACTGCTTTGGGTCTTATGCATCTTAAGAAACTATTTTCTGAATATACCCATCCTCTGCATCCCCTCTCAGATGCTGAACGTGACGATAAATTATATAATATGTTGCCATTATTTTGCAAAGTAAGTTTTTTACACATTTTAATAACAGAAATGAGTCTGTGCCACACGTGTATCAAAGAAATGCAAGGTCAATGAATATTACTTACCAATTTTAAACAAATTGATTTTTAGGTATTTGGATCTAGTCCAGCTGGTGATATGAGTGAGAAGTTTTGGGATATCTTGGCATTTACGCAACAAGTGTCTAGATTAATGGTATTCGAAATTAGAAGGAGGGCAAGTAATCAGAGTACTGAAACAGCAAGTTGTGCCATTGTAAAATTTTTAGAAATTGAAAATAGCGAGGAATCAAGCAATGGATGGATGTTATTATCTGCATTAAACTTGCTTGCAGCTGGTGATACTTCTCTAATACAGGTACAGGCTGTACAAATACACTTTAATGTTATAACTAATATACCCTGTATTAATATGATTGGTATATCTTATTAGGCAATGACTACTGCTTCTGTTCCATCAACATTAGTAAAATGTTTGTATTTATTCTTTGATCTGCCTGAAATGATAGAAGATGAAGCTGATATTACAGATACGAATAGCGAATTTACTCCAAAGCAACGTAGAATATTGTTACAGAAAATATTTGTTCAAGTAAATATTCGGAATAAATTATTTTTTAAACTTTTTTCATTGAAAAATTAATCGATTTTAATTCACAGCTATTGGTGAGATTATGTAGTCATCTTTACCCAGCAGAAGAACTCGCTCGTAAAGACGACCTCACTTTACTATTCTCGGCAATAACTAGTTGGTGTCCCCACTATAACGTGATGTGGCGTAAAAGCGCAGCAGAAGTATTAATGACCTTATCCCGACATGGACTTACCCAGAATGTAGTGACCTATATCCACTGTAAGCATCATTTGGCTATTGTATTAATAATTTGATTATATGTTAAACAATAACTACTTTTATTATAGGTAAAGGATGTATAGCGCTTTGTGTCGATAATATGCAACGAGTACCTGAGCTGGCACCATTGGAAGTAGTAGAAATGTTTGTCACAGTATTTTGTTTCTTAAAAGATTCTAGCGAAGTTTCTCAAACGCTTCTGGATGATTTTCGGTCGTGTCAAGGATACATCTTTCTCTCAGAATTTTTATTAAAGTAAGAGTTAAAAATGATTTGCTGATTCAGATACTATTGCTTATTCGAAATTTTATAAATATCTGTATTTTTCAGACACGCTCCGTCGAGATTAGAACAAGATAGTAGAGCAGAAGCACAAGATGCCATTCGGAATTTAGTTCTTATGCTAGCATCTTTAACGATGTGTGGTCATACAGAATTGAAGCCGAGTCAAGCTAGTATGGGATCTTTATTTCAGATGCTTGGCTTCACTTTACCTCAACCAAGTAATAGAGGTATTTAATGATTTAAGAAAGAATCGCATATATATATATATATATATATATATATATATATAAAAGTATATCTTCTATTATGTATATTCCATTTAAAAATATTGTGGTTATTACAGGAGGAAGTGTTCGAAATATTCAAGCATTTCAAGTATTACAGTCTGTATTTCTAAAGTCTAATTCACCACTTTTATGTTGTACCATTCTTGATGCAATATCTAGCGTATATCACAGTGACAATGCCAATTATTTTATACTGGAGGGACAAAACACGTTGTCCCAGTTCGCAGAAAAGATTCATTTGAAAAATAGAGAGATACAAGAGAAGTTTTTTCAGTTACTGGAATTTATAGTGTTTCAACTTAATTTCGTGCCTTGTAAGGAACTTATATCTTTATCTCTACTACTTAAAACAAATAATTCAACTAGTTGCAGTATCTTGTGCATGGAAACGCTGCTTAATATACTCAGGTAACATACTAACTACTTTACCATTAAATTGTTATTTTGAAATCTTATCGATTTCAATAATCCTTTCAGACATAACAATATATTTAAAGATGTGTACAGAGAAGTAGGTATGTTAGAAGTATTTGTTACGTGTCTTCACCGTTACGCAACTTTACTTAAGGATAAGCAAGCTGCGCAAGATCAAGGATTAGGTAGGAATCACATTTTCACGTTTCTCGTTACTTGCGTTTAACTTCTAATCTCAAACGAGTAAATTCTTTATTTTAGAATACAAAATATGCCCAGAAGATGAACGGTTGGGTGCCTTAGTAATGGAAGCTTTGACGACGCTATTAGCGGGCAACGTTCAAAATGCTAATGTTTTCAGAGAGTGCAGTGGAGCACGTTGTGCCCATAATCTCGTACCCTATACGGATTGTCGATATCAAGCCCTTGGCATTGTTAGAGAATTAATACTTAGCGCAGGGGGAGACGATGACATGGCTACATTACTAGGCGTCATGCATTCAGCACCTTCCAATGCCTTAATCTTAAAGACACATATATTAAAAGTTTGTTTCTGATCACAAATATTGATCGTTCCGAGTTTTGAACAATATAATAAAACGTAATTTTTTTTTCTTTTAGTCTTTATTGGCTTGCTTACGGGAATCTCACCGAACTAGAACTGTTTTTCGGAAAGTGGGAGGTTTTGTCTACGTGATGTCCGTTTTAGTGTCTTTGGAGGGTCAGTTGGGCACTCAAAGATCGGAGGGTATCGAACCTTGCAACGATGTAATAAAGAGAACACCGCAGGAAGAAGCACAGTTACTGACACTTTTGCACGTTGTATTTCACACAATAAGTACAGCCATGAGATTTGAACCGGCGAACGCAAAATTTTTCCATCACGAGGTAGACTCTCTTTAACATTATTATCAATGCTTGTAGATTTTTAGTAACTTGTTAATATAACGGATCATTGTATAGATATGCCAATCAAGTTTGTGCGACACTTTGCGACTTCTCGGATGTTTTTCGACGCAAACGAAGCTTACTGAAATAGATCTAATTCCAACTGCAAATTACCACAATATGTTATTATTGCTCTTTACCGGAAGCGTATTAGAACCCGTATTTCCAGATGCCATGCCAAAGACGCTCGCATACGCATGTTTATTACTACGTCTTCTGTACGATGTAGCACTTGACTCTTTTGATAAGCCAAATTTGGCAGGTTTAGGAACGAGATCGCCAAGCCATAAACAAAATAGCGTCGAGGTGATATAAAATTTACATTTTACAACATGTAATGATTTTCACGCATTATCGATCCATCGAACTGAATCTAATATTTTGTGCTTTATTTTTAGCAACAAAAATCCTTCGATTCTCCGGGTAGTGGAAAGAGAACTGTTATAAATTCTTTAAATCTGAATCCTCCCGCTCCAGAACCGATAGTAGTACATCCTGGCATAGTTGTCGGAATGTTGCACTTGCTTCCATCAATCTCGGAAGCAACCAATCTGCAAATGGCCCTAGCTTTGCAATTGTACGTAGCAGAAATTATTAAAAGCCTGGTGCGTTCGGAAAGAAATCAACAAATTATGTGCGAGGCTGGGATGGCCGGTGAATTGTTATTAGTAGGTAGAATTGCGTTGCAAGACGAAACACATCCTCTCCACCAACCATTACAGTATATAATAGAAAGACTCGCCGCACAATCTTTAGAGCCACGCGACTTAAGGTAAGACGCGAAGTGATTTTATCAAAGTAAATATAGGATTAATTATATACGTTTATTAATTTCAGAGAATTTTTACGTTTGGGCGATCCATTATGTTGTATATCGCTCGATGACATTGAACCAAATAAACCTAGAGGTGGACCCGTGCCACTGACTCGTATTAAAACATTAGTGTCGATGACGACACCAAAGGATTTTCGTGCGCATGGTTCTTGTACTTTGCCACCTTTTGTAGAACTTGATATGAGTGCAGAAGGATTTGCATGTTTATATTTACCGAGTGTTGCACCTCAAAGTACAACCCCACCTACGGTAGTGGCTGCTGACAGTAGCGTACTTGGTGGAATCGGTTCGGGTGACAGATTGTTTCCTCCACAAACTGGATTAACTTATAGTACGTGGATATCTGTTGATAAGTTTAGCGATTCAAGAACTGATCCTCACTGTGTAAGATTGCTGACCTTAGTGCGTACACCGCAATCGGCGAGAGATTTAATCTGTTTGACTGCAGTTCTTAGCGCCAGAGATAAAGCTATTATTGTATCTACGCAAGAAACACCGATGCCGCAAAATGTAGGCGAATGGGAACCAGAAGGAACTGGCGAATGTGGCGCAAGAGTCTGGTGTCCTGATTTACTTCACGAAGGGCAATGGCATCACATAGCTATAGTATTAAACCGTGCTGTATTAAAAAATTCAAGTTTCTCGTTGTATCTGGATGGTCAACATATTCACAGCCAGAAGCTTCATTATATTACACAAGTTCCTGGGGGAGGAGCGGCAAATTTGACTGTAGCATCACCGGTGTACGGTTATATAGGTACACCTCCCTGTTGGCGACGCTATTCTAGATTGGCATGGAAGCAGGGACCGTGTCACTTAGTAGAGGAAGTGTTTAATTCACAAAGTATAGCGACACTGTTTAAATTAGGTCCGCATTATATGGGTAGTCTACAAGCTCCGCAGTTATCAGTTCAAGAACCTTTAATGGCTCTTGTTGCGGAAGAGAAAGTTGTATTTGGATTAAATGCTAAAGCGATGTCTCAATTAACATTAGCTAAAATTAGGAAAGTTTATAGCCGAGCTGATAATAAGTCAATTGCCAAGCAACTTGGTATGTCATCGCACGAAAATGCCACGCCTATCAGGGTTCTTCATAATTCATCAGGACATCTTAGCGGACCAGCGAGAGCACTGGGAGGCGTAGTCGTTGGGTATCTTGGTGTTCGAGTCTTCAGTCCTCGACCAGTGGCCACAATGATTGATAACGTCGGTGGATGTTCAGTGTTATTAGGTCTAATAGCCATGGCTCAAGACGTAGAATCTCTGTACGCGGCTGTTAAAGCATTAGTTTGCGTCGTGAGATCTAATCAAGCAGCTCAACAAGAAATGGACCGTCGAAGAGGATATCAAACATTAGCAATGTTGCTGCGAAGGAAATGCCCTCTTTTAAACAGTCACATTTTGCATCTCACGTTTAGCCTGGTCGGGACGGTCGACAGTGGCAGAGAAACTAGCGCAATACCCAACGTTACAGCATTCCAAGATCTTTTATGTGATTTACAAGTTTGGCACGAAGCACCAGGAGAACTGTTAAGATCGCTGTTGGAACATTTGTACGAATTGATCGCAGAATCGAGCGAGAAAAGAACAAATTTACGTTTGATGAGGGATTTGCAATTGGTGCACAAACTGTTGCACATCTTGAGCGATGTAAAGCAAAGTACTACACGGCAAATTTTACTTGCCTTGCTCAGTATTTTACTAAGTCAACCGAGACAGGCTGATTTACTTTGGTTTGGTCAGTTCATTGTAGCTACGTTGCCTCAATGCTCGGAAAAGCATTTAATCCTTCGCGAAAGCGAAGGGAATAAAGAAGGGGAAGGGGAACATATACTTTTGCGAAATCGTTGTTTGCAACTTTTGCATTCTTTGCTGTTTAATGGTCCAAAACCGAATGTAAATATGTGCGAAGAATTATCCAAAGTGTTAGGTTTGGATTGGATATTACTGTTTCTTCAATCTGGCCTTCATAGTACGACAGTGATATGGGGATTACGAATTTTGGTAGCTGTTTGTTCCGTACAACCGATATTACAAAAGTTTAAAGAAGGAACCAGCAACGGTAGTTGGCTGCGCCATACGGATCACAACAAGATGGCACTAGCACTTGGTTGTCACCAACAAATGTCAGGTGGAGAGAATAAACCATCCGGTCTTCATGTACCAGGATTTCAACATTTGGGATGGCTATTACCGCAGCACGTAGACCTTGTCCCAGAGCTGTACTTTCTTTTCATCGCTCTTATGATGGGACAACCAGTGAAATTATTGCCCACGGATTCGAAGGTCATATTAAAACTTGATTTGGACAATGTTTGGAACTTCCTGTTTGGTGTCCCAGCAAACCACACTCTATCCACATTTGCGAGTAGAATTAATCTTTGCCCCGAAGCCGTAGTTACTCTGTTAGCTATGGTTCGAACAATGCTGAATAATTACTCGATTAATCCTGAATCCCTGCCAGACTGGTTAAGCGACTATCCAGTGACAATAATACAGTTCCTGTTCTTCCTCTATCATAATTTTACGGATTTCATGCAAGTGTTTATGTCTGCGGAAGTATTGGGCGCGTTGGCTGGTACTTTGTTTCCAAAGCCTGCAAGCTCTAGTCAAGATAGCAGTGGAGCTAGTACACCAGCGGACGAGCAAGAACCGGTATTAGTGAGATCCCCATCAAAGGATATCGGTTTGACCAATCATCCAGCAAAGAAGTTCGTCATGGACTTTTTACGAGTAATCGTGGTAGACTCTCTGTCTCTACCGGTCACTGCGAAATCCGCACCAGCTATTGATTTGGTTTTGGAAGCGTGGCCAGAGCATGCATCTACAGGACAGCAAACACGCTATCAAACGGAGATTCTATCTATTCTAATGGAGCATCTGTTAGCTGCCGATGTATTAATTGGAGAACAAGCAGCGTTACCTGTAGTTCCTGGAGGATCAGTCAATAATATAACTAACAATGTATGTTATGTCGCAGCCAGAATAGTAGATAAATTGTGGCAAGGTATTATATACTTTTCTACATTATTAATTGACAATATTTTGTTAAATATTCACAATGTTTGATGTTCGATGTACAGGTGCTTTGACAAAAGATCCGCACGAAGTGTTCGATTTCATTGTCAAACTAATCGGACAAGCAAAAAGACGGCCTGGTGTCGTCAGTATGGAAGGCCTTCATCATTGTCTGAACAGAACAACACTATTTTTGCTATCACGACCAACAGATTCAATAGCCGATCAAATGGCTGTATTAGAAGCATTGCATAAGCTCACGACTCACAGGTAGAATCGATGTCCGGTGATTGAACCATTTTTAATTATACGACTGTAAGATATACCCCTTGCAGATTATTGGTCTTCGGCGCTGGTAATCATGAGTTGGAATTCATTGGTTGTTTGTCTTACTGTCTGCTGCAATTGACAACCGACGTGAAAATCGTGCTCGATAATATAAAAACGTCGTGGCACATACATCCGCAAGTCGAAGCCAGCGATGATAGGCTGACTTCCCATCAAGGCCATAACTTGATGGTTGTAGCCGCGACAAGAGTTTGGGAAGAATTATACGTATGCAAAAAGCCCGCTATAGAAGAAGTTTTCAAGATTACTCTTTCGGCGCCTGTAGGTAACGAACGTGCCCCCGAATTATCGCAAGTGAGAGATCAAGTGCACGAAGCTGCAACTAGGCTTTGGTTGAATTATGTTGTTATGGAGAGGAAAGCTCTGTACAGGGTCCCTTGGGAACTTCACAATCAAATACAATCGGTAAGTATTCAACGCAAGGCTACAGTGTCTTTAACACTAGAAAGACTGAAACTTAGTTTCAAAATGACTGCTTTTGGGCAATATAGGTGTAACATATTATATGTTGTACAAAAAGTCACAAAATTCTAAGAAATTGTGTCATTATATACATAATTGTTTTTCTAATTTAAATTAAAAAGCAGTCAAAATGACTTCCTTGGGCAATCTGGTGTTAAAGGAGTACTCGAATCCCAGAATTTTAAATATCGATCTTTCTTTGACCCCTTGACATACGATATATGAACGTGTGGCGTTTTAGAAAATTCAAAAGGTAACTGGAGGTTTGACGAGATTGGCAAGTCGAACGAAAGTCCGTAAAGAGGAATCTGTACGTGTTAGGTTAAGATTACACCAGAACACTGTAGCACAATGGACCGAGCAACACATTGCATTGGTCCGCGAGCTTGCCGCGGCAAAACGATTGCAATACATACAGACTAATCAACACACTCAACGATACGTGTATCAAGTAAGAATATAATTAAATATGAAAGAAACGATACATAACAATGAATTTATTACTAATATAAAATGTTGCGTAGGAATGGTTGCAAACTGAAACAGAATTAACGAGGGAACGCGGTTTGTGGGGACCACCGACACCCACCAGACTCGACAAATGGATGCTGGACATGACGGAGGGTCCATGTAGAATGAGGAAAAAGATGATGAAGAACGAACTCTTTTATATACATTATCCTTACCGACCCGAATTAGAACATCCTGACAACGTAAGTTACCTTTACTATAAAACAATCGGAACCAAGGAACTCGAAATTTACACGTTTGTACTGAACACAGAAACAACTGAAGTATAAGGTTGCAACGAGTACCGACAGCAAGGAATATTACTTGAAACAACTTGGTAATTCGTCCGGCATGTTCGAACGAGAACGTGATCCTGTTATAGACGACACCCCGTTAAACGTAAATGAAACTTCTACTGAGAGTGAACCCCCAATGGTACCGTGTACGCTAGAACGTCATGCCAGTGAACCGGATGAAGCAACAGAGGATAACGAACAAGAAGAGGAAAATAATCAGACTGTTCCAGACAATCAAACTTTGATACGACTGTTAGAAGAACACGAGAAGGTTTGTTAATTTCCTTTTCTTGTTGCAAATATCGCATCTCGTCTATTGTTTTAACGTTTTTCTACATTTTCAGATAAGTCACATGTTTAGATGCGCCAGAATTCAAGGTTTAGACACGACCGAGGGTTTGCTGTTATTTGGAAAAGAACACTTCTACGTGATCGATGGGTTCACATTGTTGAAGTCCAGAGAAATAAGGGATATAGAAAGTTTACCCGAGGCTTATGAACCAATTTTGCCATCACCGGGATCACCTAGAAGATCCAGAGCGATGAGGCAATGCTCGAAATTTAATTACGAAGATATCAGGTAAGAAATCTTCAAATATACATAAATATTTAAATGAACATGTTAGTCCGCTGGGCTTTGCAAGTTAATACGTTTTATTTTACATTCTCTATCGCAGAGAAGTACACAAAAGAAGATACCTATTACAACCAATGGCATTGGAAGTGTTCAGTGGAGATGGTAGAAATTATTTACTAGCGTTTCCTCGTAAAGTAAGGAACAAAGTTTATCAGAGATTCATGACATTCGCAACGGCGATTGCTGACAGTGCCCAACAATCTGTGGCCGGTCAAAAGAGAACAGCGAACGTGGAGCAGGCCACAGGACTACTTTCAAATCTAATTGGCGAGACTTCGGTTACCCAACGATGGGTGGTACGTATTTTAAATAATATTATTATTTTTCTCACCATATCCTTGTTTATGATTCACGAAAGCGATTGTTTTCCAGAGAGGCGAGATATCTAACTTCCAGTACTTGATGCATCTCAATACTTTAGCTGGTCGTAGTTATAACGATTTGATGCAGTACCCAATATTTCCGTGGATTTTAGCAGACTATGATAGCGAAGAATTGGATCTCACTGATTCAGCAACGTTTCGAGACTTCAGTAAACCTATGGGCGCACAAAGTCCAGAACGATTATTACAGTTCAAAAAACGGTACAGAAAATTAATCAATCCTTATAACAGGTTACTAAACAAATAATTGAACGTTAAATTTAGATACAAAGAATGGGACGATCCGCACGGGGAAACGCCTCCTTATCATTATGGAACACATTACTCTTCCGCGATGATAGTATGTTCTTATTTGGTGAGGATGGAACCGTTCACGCAACATTTTCTTAGGTTACAGGTTCGTAGAATCAAATTGCCCAACGATTAAAATTAAATGCATTGCTGGTAAATTAATACATGTTCTCTGGGATGATTGTTTAGGGTGGACATTTTGATCTGGCGGACAGAATGTTTAATAGCATAAAGGAAGCTTGGCTTTCCGCGTCTAAACATAATATGGCCGATGTGAAGGAGCTTATACCGGAGTTCTTTTATCTTTCCGAATTTCTCGTCAACTCGAATCATTTTGACTTAGGTGAATATACCATTTTTAATCTTTTCACTAGTCAAATTTATTATTTTGCAAATTAAGCTTTTATGAGAAAAATAAAATTGAATATAAATTTTCTAAAGGTTCTAAACAGAGCGGCGTACAATTGGGAGACATTGTACTTCCGCCATGGGCAAAGCAGGATCCGCGTGAATTCATACGAGCGCATCGACTTGCTTTGGAATGCGATTATGTGTCGCAACACCTTCACCAATGGATCGATTTGATATTCGGTTGTAAACAAAACGGTCCTGCCGCGGTTGAAGCTGTTAACGTGTTTCATCACTTATTCTACGAGGGCAATGTTGATATTTACAAGTACGACCCCTTTTTTTATACATTTTTATTTCGTAGCAATATTTTAATAATTTGTTTTTTGTGGATTTAATTGTGGTATGTATCTTTCAGTATCGATGACCCTTTAAAGAAAAATGCTACTATCGGGTTTATTAATAATTTTGGCCAAATACCGAAGCAACTGTTTAAAAAACCGCATCCAGCTAAGAAGATGACCCAAAGGACTAGCGTTATCGATCCTGGACCAATCACACCTGGTTTAAGCATAACCACGTCCGACAAACTATTCTTCCATAATCTTGACAATTTGAAGCCGTCGCTTCAGCCTATCAAAGGTTCGTCACTTTCGCCTTTCATAGTAGATACTTTTGGCATATTTTTTACCGTTCCTCATCTTTCTTTGACGTTGATGATTTATTTTCTCAGAATTAAAGGGTCCGGTCGGACAAATACTTCATATCGACAAAGCAGTATTGGCCGTTGAACAAAACAAAACGCTGATTCCTCCGACGTATAACAAATACGTTGCATGGGGGTTCGCCGATCACTCTCTTAGAATAGGAAACTATGATAGCGACAAAGCGATATTTGTCTGCGAGGCCATGATGCAAAATAGCGGAGAGATAGTTGCTTGTGTTTGTCCGTCTTCCAAATTGATAGTAACTGCTGGCACAAGCTCCGTAAGTTATCGCTTAGATGTCACGTTTACAGAGCAGATTCTTTAAGACTTAAATCGCTTCGATAGGTTGTAACGGTTTGGGAATATACCAAGAGACAACTTTCTATCAAACAATGTCTGTACGGTCACACAGACGCGGTTACGTGTTTGTCATCAAGTCCAGCGTATAACGTGATAGTGTCAGGATCTCGAGACGGCACAGCAATTATATGGGACTTATCTCGATGTCTGTTTGTTCGTCAACTTAGGGGACACGCCGGACCGGTGGCTGCAGTAGCTATAAATGAATTAACAGTACGCTTATAGAACAATTACTTTCCACTGTTATGTAAAAATGTTCAAAAGTCGAGGTTTCACTGTAACGTTACGTTTCTCAGGGAGACATAGCTACATGCGCAGCCACGTGGTTGCACGTATGGAGTATCAACGGCGAAGAGCTAGCAAGCGTTAATACGTGCGTGGGCCGAGCAGACAGGATGCAACAAATTTTGTGCGTCGCGTTTAGTCAGACACACGAATGGGACTCGCAGAATGTTATTATGACAGGATCCACCGATGGCGTGGCTCGTGTAAGAATAACACTATTATAATATTACGATTAAGAGAAATTGTCGCGAGTATATAACAGAGACGAGCGAATGATTTAAAGATGTGGTCGATGGATTACGTGCAAGTGCCTGCAGAGGAAGAGAAACCGGAGGAGGTTGCAACCGCGAAGGAGAAGAACACGAAGTTGAACAAAAATGAAAATCAGAACGAAACTACGAAGAAACGAGTGCACGAATTAGTTAAACAGATGAGCATTTCTGCCGAAGGATCAGGTAAGTAACAACGAAGACAATATATTGTTGCGATTGTGTGCGTTCATTTGTTGTTTACATTGGTAGCTATGCTTGCAAAAAGCGGCTCGGAGAGCAGTCTCTCCGAACCCGAGACTTCTAAAGAAGCATCGAGATTACACGAGGAGAAAGAAGAATGCTCGGACAATGAGTCGAGCAACGGTTCCAGTAGCAAACCATCGCCCCAGAACAACAACACATCCACCGTTGTGCTTCGAAGAAAAAGTCGTGGAAATCCAATGTTTCGAAAAAGTGAGGGCGGTGGACGCGCGGACAGCGAGGGCACACAAACGAGGTAACATGTACATCTACTTCGATGCTTCTCATTTACAGAATACATTCCCAATCATTATAGCAACGATCAAATTATTCACACAGCGAGTCGTCCAACAATATCGGGGATTCTGAGGGGGCATTACGGGCTAGTAAAAGCGACACAAGCTTAACGGACAGTTTCGTCATGGTCTCCGAAGCTGACACAAAACCTAAAAGAATTAATCCACAAAATATTTTAAGAGACGGTTTTAAGTGGCAACGGCAATTAGTGTTTAGAAGCAAATTAACGATGCACACCGCGTACGACCGTAAGGATAATACAGAACCAGCGTCTATAACAGCTCTCGCGGTGTCAAGGTAACAAAAAAGAAAATTGATTTCTTAAAAGTTCTAAATTAGAGGGTCCCTCTAAGCGACTCGCTGTTAATTAATTTGCAGAGATCATCGAACGGTGTACGTGGGGGATACGAGAGGAAGAGTATTTTCGTGGAGCGTGTGCGAGCAACCAGGACGCACGGTTGCCGATCACTGGCTCAAAGATGAAGGAGCAGATTGTTGTGTTGGTTGTGGAGTTAGATTTAATCTTTATGAAAGAAGACATCATTGTCGCAACTGTGGACAAGTCTTCTGTTCAAAGTAAGTTAGAAAACGTTATGGAAGTTATTGGACATTTTTTTTACGATCCGCTTTCGTTCCTGTTTTTGTCCATACAGATGCAGCCGATTTGAATCGAAAATATCGAGACTCGGAATTTTAAAGCCTGTTAGAGTTTGTCAAGGTTGTTATTCGTCATTACGCTCTCAACATTCCGCCGAGAGCAGCGCTTAATGTAACAGTATATTATACAGTTTCGTGTAAGTAACCGGTTCGAGGGTGGTACAGTTCGAATATGTACATACATAATCACGGGTACCTCGTCTATGTCTTAACCCGTAATTTTTATGCAAAAAGACACACGAAACGCGCCTTTACCTTTCGTTTTCGTATATCGAACGACACCGTTCTCACTTGGAACATTTGCATTTCAACGAGCGACGTCGGGGTAAACTAATCGCTGCTGCATTTCAATTTTTCGTGCAATCGTGTCCTTCAGTCACTTCGGATATCTAATCACGCAGACTGAAGTTATTGTTTCATTTCTTTCCCCTCTCTATTTTCTTATCATACAATTGCATCATATACTTTCGCGGAATCCATCAAATCAAATCTAACATATTTTTCACTTAAGATTTAATTATATCTGATGAACTGGGACATTTCCTAGGAATAAACGGCCTGTTTAGCTTCATCGTCAGGTTTGCGACCGATGAACGTTTAAAGCCGATATTTGCAAAATTTACATGACATCGGGAATGTACCGCATTCCGAAACGCCGATACATGGCTCTTCGTTCTTTAGTGTCTCTGAATCTTGATCGTTTTCTGATACTTTTTTACGCCGCGTGTGTGTTTGTACTTTATACACCGAAGAATAATATGTACAGTTGTCGCCTTCAGTTGTATATTTGACGTAAATGCCGCACTTACTTTCGCTTTTTCTTTTTACTTTTTACTGAAAAGAGATAAACCGTCGGATAATTTATAAACACGATCATGTATAGCGGAACTTATTTAACACATTTAATCTGTGATTATTTTCTTTCCTATTTTAATTTAATGAACATAATATGATCAATAAATTTCAAGCGTGATCATTGATAATTATATATAATAAACAAATAACTAAATATATATATATATATATATATATATATTTATATATATATAATAGTATAACATTGCATAGATATATGTACAATGTTATACTATTTAGGCGACTAATTTCTCTCTGTCGGAACGCTTACATTGTTTCCCGTGTCTGACTATATTAGGTAATTATTGTTAATATTTATTTTAAATTATAGTAGAATAGTATAAAAGATGTCAATATTGTTAATGGAAAAATATAAGATTTAATATTTATCAGATTTACAAAAAAAAAAAAAAATTATATATCTATACCGTGTATTATTTGTACTGCTACTCTTTTGTATTACGTTTTATCTATTATTGCTATTTCATGAAATGTTACGCGTTTCTTTTTACGACAACGTCGTGTACATAATGCAGTAATAATACGCGGTGTGATCGATTTTAGGAATTGTCGATGATGTATAATTTATTATTGCGTCGTAAAAAAAAAGGCAGGTCTTTTATTTTTCCATTTTATAGAATTGAATAAACGTTCAACAGCCTGAAAAGTCAAGAATACATGTATTACGATTCGAGAAAAAAAGCAAGATTAAACAGTTGCAGTGCACCGTTTGTGACCGCTGCCTCTACAGGTATAAAAACTCGTAACTTTATAATAGACAATACCTTTAATTACGTAAAAGTGTTATTAATTGTAAGCCGGTTGAATGAAACCAATAGACTCTAAAACCAACAGTAATATATTCTAAACAATGTGGTAAATGTGGAATACGCTCGTTTGTTCACACAGTTAATATATATTGTAACCGTATCTGTAAAATTAATCGTGGAAACAGAGATAAATTACAAAAAAACCGTGTTCTTGTATAAGCATTTTATAGAATTTTGGAACAGCGAAGAATCGCGAATACACGACGTATTTTCGTTGAAGATTGAGTTTATCTAACGATTAAGAAGAATATTTGAACACCGACTAAACGTGCAACAGAATTTGTATAAATGCGAAGATCGCGGTATTAAATGAAAAAAAAAAAAAAAAAAAAGAATTGTCTCCCTGTACGAATAACAAATTCTACCATTTGTATTCTATCAATACACTTCCATTTTTCTAAAGGCACAAATTTTATAAAGAACGAGGGATAGCGTGATGACTAACAAATTGAGAACGTGGGGAACGTTAAGTACACTGCAAAATGTTGTTTTAACATGGTACTTCAATGTTACTAGTCGAATACATTACGAGCACAATGTTTTACGAGCATTCTTTCAGGAAAAATGTGTTTGATACGAAGGTCGAAACGTAGGAATTCAGAAAATGTGGGTGAATTTCAAAGCAACACTAAAAAAAAAAAATCTCTTAATTATGCAAATACATAAAAAGAGTTACCACGTATCTTATGCTACTAATATGTGTGTCATTATTACATGCCAGTTCTAATAAAACATTGCCAATTATCCTTACTTTTGTACTCCTACATATACACAAACAAAACAAAGCTTATACTTAGTTCTGCATTGGAATTGGAAGGCTTGCAGTCAACAACAATCAACAAATGTTGGCACTGATACCATAAAACGTTCTTTTCTTACTTTCTTTTTTTTAAATCAGCCAAAACTGATTTACAAAGACGGCCGTGAACAAAGTAAAATCATTAATTGCATGAAAATGTATGATTTAATTAGGAATTGTTGCAATGTAGATAATATAATTGGAACGAAATAATTATTTTATCATATTCAGAAACAAGAATAATTTCTAGTCAGATATATCGAGTATCTATTGTATTGACCTTGATTCGGTAAAATTCTATTTTATGTTTTTTAACAGTATTATTTGTATTTGTATTTCGATGCATTGGTGTCTGTGTACCACATGTATTATAAAATAGATCTTTATATACAATTTATTGTGTATTTTATTACATTTTATTACAATCAATGAGGGCAATGTTCAATATTAAAACGTATTTTAAATTGTGCAATTATTGCGCTACATAATATCGAAGGCGGGATTAAAAGAGTAAACTTGCATAATATTATGTGCGTACATTATATTGTTTATACGCGTTATCAAACTGATAATATATGCGTATGAATGATACAATATATGCATACATACTAAGTGATATAAAATAAAATTTATTTCTATATGTATTTGACAATATTGCTTTCCTCTTATGTGTATATAACAATATTTTATAATACGATTTAACTTGTTTCGATTCTTTTAATTCTGCTATCATACGAACTCCAGTTAGATATGCGTTGTGTAATATGTGTATAGCTATAATGAGTATATAACTTCTCAAAGAGACTGTCAAAAAAAGTCGTTTTGTCAGGATGCATAAAATTGTATTTTCTCAAGCATTAGGAAAAAGCGGGCCGCTATTAGTTTTATGATGTCATGTATTAGAGTTTATGTAGTTCCGACAAACTGACGAGGCATATTCGACTTCAAATTGTACATATATAGAAGTCTATAAAAAAAAAAAACCAAAAAAAAAAACATATAACGTATAATTCACGTAAAGATGTATAATAAGTAGAATTTAGAAAATCATATGTGGAATATCCTAATAACCAATGTTAAGTACGGGTATGTATGGATTCGTACGTGTACGTGGAAAAATACCAATCATCATTATACATACATAGATATATATATATATATATACACATATGTATATATACATAATAAAAAAGATATTTTTAGCTTTAACAATTATTTATTACTTTCAGCATAGATAAAGATGCAAAGACACAAACAAGTGATATAGATGCTATATCAGAAATAGTATGCTTGCAGGAATTTATCAGTCATCTGATAATAGAAAATGAAAGTTTAAAAAAAGTATGCTTTGAACGCTATGTCGTTAACAGAGAATCCACGCCTGCACAAAATATACGAAAGAAATCTAATAAATTTGCAATCTATGGTTGCAAATGTAACAAATGATATTAAATAATGTATATATACATATGTATATATATATATACATTGTTGTAGGTAGCTAGTTCTATTATACTGTTAGTTGATATTTAAAAAATATTGTATAGTAGATTCTGATCTGTATAATTACAGTGAATGGGCCAAAGTTGTAACAAATTCATTTTCTTATTGAACCTGTCCAACAATGTATAAATACGGGCATTTGAAAAGTTAGCCATCTCTCATATAAATAGTGTTTGAAACTTTATAAATGAACTGATCTTTGTTTGAAAAATCGGTAAAAAATGCATCGACAAATTTACATTATTAGGAGAATGTTAGGAGAACTGAGCGCCTTACCGCGAAATTACAGCTTAGACTTTTTTACAGCAGGCCTGATGCTTCTTGATTCTGAATGGATGAAACTTTCTACTACACTTATTACACTCTACAAGCTGCGAGTGATATTCTTCCCAATTTACATGAGGCAGGTTGAACTCTAGAATAAGAAAATTATGGCGATTGTTTCATGGATGAGTCAAAAAAAAAAAAAAAAAATTGAAAATAAAAACGTTAAGCATTTTAGAGTTTACCTTCAGGCAATGGAAGTTCTTCTTCAGTCTCCATTATAATAAAGGATGTTGGTAATGATACTTCCGAGATATTGCGCGAACTCACGTCGCTATTAGTGTTAGGCGGTGTTCTGGGTAATTCGTATGTAGGTTTCATAGGATTAAAATCATTTTCTTCTACAAGCATAAATGTTTAAGTACACAATTGCAATTACTACTTGAACATTATAATTGAATTTCTTACCCTTTAAATTAGTATTTGTATTATTCTTTCTTCTCATCTCATTGACTGAACTCACTGCTGCTTTGCTTCGATTATATTTTGGAGTTGTCATACCTTGTCCTATATTTTCAAAATTTTCATTTGTTCGTTCTTCTATTTTCAATTCTACTTGTTTCAATTCTTCATCCATACAAACAGGTATTTCATTAGGACTGCACATATTCAATGTTTCTTCTTTTATGTCTGTATCACTCTGTTTTTGTTTCCCTCTTTTAGAATTGTTTCTCTTAGACCTATTTTTTCTTAGTGATATACCACTTTGACAGATTTTGTCATTAATCTGTATATCTCTACTATCTTTATCTTCTTTTTCTTTTTCTTCATCATTTGAAACAGATGTTACCTGTTCAGAACTATTAAAGTATGTTGGTACAGTAAGATATTCTGTAGAAGTTGAATTGTGAAAAATATTCTTTGAACCAGAGATATCTTCATGGAATGTGGTAGTATCAGAGTGTTCCACATTTTCTTTATTTTGGTCTGCGTTTCTCTGTTTAAAAAAAATTATATTTTTAGTTTAATGTATGATTAAATATAAATTTTGTAAATGAGTACAATTATAAATAGAAGAAAACGTTATTTACCAGATTTTTGCAGGAAACACTATTGCATTTACACAATTCACCACACGGAACACCTTTTTTTATGCATCCACATGCTTTAGTGGAACAGCTTTTCTTAGATTTGCAACCACAGAATACATGTTTATTAGATTTCCTTTGTACATTTTGTGCAGATGTGGAAGGATTCTGTACATTAGTTTGATTCTCTGTCAACATCATACTATTAAAAGCATACTTTTTTAATCTTTCATTTTCTATTGTCAGATGTTTGACCAATTCCTGCAAACGTACTATTTCTGATATAGTATCTATATCACTTGTTTGTGTTATTGCATCTTTTTTTATGCTGAAAGTAATAATAATTGTTTAAACTAGAAATATCTTTTTATACATAAATAATAACTATGTAATTATATGCAAAACACGACGCCTGAGGAGCATTTGTTATGTGTCAAAAAGCATCATATTGCAGTTACAGCATTAAATTTATTTAACGATTCATAGAAAAAGGCATAGAAGTAAGTGAATTACAATACCGTTTAATTCTTGACGAGTGAGACATTTTATGCACTTGAGAAGACGAAAATTACAAAATACAAGCAATAAAGAGCTCGTAAGTTCCGACGCACTTTGGCACGTACAGAAGTAGCGGTTGAAACACTTGAAAGTTGTTTTTCAGATTCAAATTCTCGATGATGGAGATGGAGCCACTGTAGAGTAAGGGAGGATAATGGCGTGTTTCCATGAGCCGGTTTTTTTACACAAACTCACGATAGTGGAATTAGCGTAGCCTAAAAACTAAGCTAAACTCTATTTTTAATGGCATGGAGGCCTTTAATACCTCGAACCGTGTAAAATGGTAGGGAAAGTAACGAATGCTGCTATTGTTTCGTTGCTTCTTCCACCACTCCGCATGATGCGAGGTACTGAAGTCCTCCATGCATGTTGCCATCCCCCACTTATCCTGTATGTACATATCATGTGATATTGCATATATTAGGTCAATTAAAAGTAGTTATATCTATGTCGTGTTTGGACTCCTTTTAATCAGAAAAATCTAAAAAATGCATTGGTATGATTTTTAGAAAGATAACATGATAATTACGAAAAGTAGAATTTTATATTATATTGGATGATTATTTTTTCATTATAACGGCATTTTTTATATACCGTATTCTAAGTCGAATTTTAAGAGTTCGATAGCAACAACGTCTTAATTTTAATTAAAGCATACCTATTAGAACTGATATAGAATCAAGCCAAAACCGATATATCTATAACAGTTACAGCATCTACTCACACAAGTGTCTCGATCAGACGCGCCATAGTACTCAATAAGATCTACGCGCTGGCGGTGATCATTAGCCCTTGGTTATTCGTTGGTCAAGGCACCTGTAACGATGCAAAAAGGTCAGCACGGTGATCTATACATAACCGGAGTCGACAACGATAGAGTTTGGGCGTACGTTTAATATTCGTAGCGGAAAAAAGAATTTTTCGATCGATCGTATTATATTGTTATAAAAAATTCATAAAGATACCGTCTGTTTTGTCGCCACGAAGGTGGCGTAACCCCTCGACTGATCCCGCTGAAATTCTTTCGGTGAGAGATGAAAAATACGAGCCGAGACGTGGATCAGAGCGAGGACTCAATTCCTTCTTTCTTTTAGCGGCGGTGTCTGAGGCTGCACGATTAGATAAGACCTCGGTTCATAGTGCGTTCGAGATTCAGAGCGCATAAGAGTCCAAGAGGCTCGAGGACCGGCCTCAGTTAAAGCTGTGTGTGCATACCGGCGAATTCGTTCGGCGAATCGCGAACAAGTTCCCCAGCCGCTGTAACGGCGACGAGCGTTTCGACGCGAGTGTTTCGCAACGTTACGCGCGACCCGCGCAATACGTTTGCCGTCCAAGCGCCTCGCGAATCGCGATCGCTGTTGGATTCACGAGGCCTGACACGGTGGAAGCGAATCATTTCGACGACCAGCCATGCCCGAGATCGAGACATGAATCCGTGGTCCAGGAGGGAATCGCGTGACGAGACGAGCTCGAATTGATCGTAACTCCGAAACCACTTCATGAGTACGTCCGTTCAGCCGCTTACAATTGTCTGACCGTTGGTAACGAGAGCAAAGGGACTCGACGATGCCAGCTTGCACCAGCGAGAACATTTCGAGACTGTGGTCCTCGAGTCCGCCGATTTCGAGGAGCAGCAGCATGTCGCCGCTCATACCCGGTTCGCCACTGTCAACGTCGCCGCCGTTGGTCTCGCCGATATCGACGTTAAAGCGTTCGATGTCCAACGTTTCGAACTCCTCGAACCTGTTGAACGGTTCCCCGTCGTCCAACAGCTCGGACGCCCCGACCGTGATATTTTCGCCGCGACGCCGGCAACAGCAACAGCATCAGTCGCAGAGGATACACATGTGCTATCAGGCCCAACCGACACAGGGACAGAATCACAATCGAAACGACTCGTTGCTGCTGAAGATACTAAGCGCGTACATCGGCGTGTTGTTCGGTATAGTTCAAGGAATCGTAAGCGTGATCAGTTACGCGATATGGGCGCCAGCGCTCTGGGCATCCGTATGGGTCTACATGCTCTGGGTAATTTTTCAATTGCCTCTCACCGCCCTGAAATGGTTCATCACCGTACTTCACACGCCCGCCTCCGAGAGGGTACGCAACAAACGATGCGTGCTGATCAGCGGTGGAAGCACCGTGCAAACGGTCCACCTTGCTCGAAATTTCTACAAAGCCGGCGCCAGGGTGGTGATATGCGAACTGGACGGTCTGTTCGGTTTGGCAAAGTTCTCGACCGCGTGCTCCAAGTTTTACACGATACCGAAACCCGGTCCTGGAAACGTGATCGAGTACATCAAAGCTTTGAGGGACATCGTCCAAAAAGAGAAGGCTGCCTATTACATACCGGTCAGCTCTAGCAACGCGGCTTACTACGACGCTCTGGCGAAGACCTACTTGGAGGTAATGGGTTGTGAGTGTTTCGTGCCCAGTGCCAGCAAGGTGGCGGCTCTGGACGATCCCTTGGAGCTGCTGGAAATGTGTCGCACGCTCGGGCTACCCTTGCCGTGCTATTCGGTTCTGCGCTCGCAACAGGACGTCTCGAGGCTGTACGAGCAGAACACCTTCGCCGCTGGCAGGTATCTGATGCTGGCCGCTGGACCGGCCGGGATGAGGGACAGAAACAAGATAGTATTGCCACCGACCCTCAGGGAGTTCCGGAATCAACAGCACGAGATCACCGAGAGCAAACCGTGGCTGGTGCTTCGCGATCCGAGCGGCAAACACTACATCACCTGCACCACGGTGAAGGATTCGAGGATCGTGGCCAACGTGACCTGTCTGGTGGACGAAGAGCGTGGTTTGATCCCGGAGGAACGACCGCAAGTGACGCAGTGGCTGGACAAGTTTTCCAGAACATTCGGCACGCGGATCAACGGCCACATGAGTTTCCGGCTGGCCGTGGCGGACGATGGAAAGCTGGTACCGATCGGATGCCGGGTAGGTGTGAGCCTACCGTACATCTGCCACACGGGGATTCACCCGCGATTGGTGTGGAAACCGTGCAGACACTTTTCCAGACAGAATTCGGGGATCATGTCCACGGCAGACAGATGCTTCCTACCGGATACGGCGTCCAGCGCCCTGAAACGACCGACCGGGGAGACCGTGCCCCATTTGCTGGGCACCGTGCTCGACAAACGGGAAGCTCTGTTCACCTACTGGGACCCGTTGCCCTATTGCGCTTACTATCATCTTCAGCTACCGTTTAGGCGCTTGGCAGGCATGATCAGGGCGCAGCCGGCCCAGCACAATCCACCGTTGGCGTTAGTGCAGTAACCGTTAGCTAACGCTTACACGAACTCTAACAGAGTCTGTTTAGGATCGGAGTCAGAGCAACGGGCGTTTCGATTGCTCTTTGAGACACAGTGCGGGGCAACCTTCTCGCGAGCGAAGGTACCTAGGCGTAAGTCGAATTTGTCGATAAGATTTTGTACAGTGATAGGGCTCGGAATTACCTAATCCAGTGATTACGATTCGGCGGGCGTACGGTTAATAATTCACGAGATATTTGACCAATGTTTTGACGATCGTTTCGACAATTGTGCGTTGCTGGTAAACCAACCAGAGTAAATTACTAGTAGAGTTCTCGAGATGTAGATGATGCAGATGTGACCGTCCATGTTGATTCGGAGATCAAGTTTGTCCGGAGGAATGTATCCGAAGTCGAAATCGAAGTCATCTGAAACAGAAAATGATCGATGAGGAAACATCAATTAACAGATTATAATTTGCGAGTGAATTCAAGGATGAAACGTGAATGGAAGTTCGTTTACGACCGAACCCGACTCTAGACTCAACTGTGTTAATGGTGGTAGCGACAGTTGAGAATGAAACTCTTTGAGCGTTCAATTGTATCGCGTATCGTCGCGTGTAAATAGTAGCAGCGTGGATAATCGGTCCAATAATACTATGCGCCACGCTCGTTCGTAATTTTTTTTAATTCTTTCCCTTCGTTTTTCTCTCAGAGCTCGACATTTCTTTCCCCTTTCCTCTTTTTCGTTTCCCCCGCGGCGAGCGAGTCGACTTTGAACTCCCCGCTAGATAAATAACGGACACACGACGACCGATCCGCGTGCACGCGCACGCCGCAAAACGATTATACATTGTACATTTTATATTTAATATTTTTCGCGCCCCGTCGCGTCAAGCGCGGTAAATTGTAAATAATTGCGACCGTGGATTGTAATTTGCGACAGTTGAGTATCTCCTACGGGCGCGCGGAAGATTATCGTAAAAGCCGTGTGGCGTTTCCGATTCTCGAGAACAACGCGACCTTGCAGGATATCTGTATTTATAGTATTTTGATATTTTATAAGAAGTCGGACAATCAGGTTTGTGTAAATACGCGTTGCAGACATCACGATGTTGGCGAGTCAATAAAAACATTTTTTAACTTATATCGTAGGTATTCGTCTTATGTATATCCCTCAAGAATCCATGGATCCGAATCAGGATCATTCTGATGTGTGTGTGTAAAAAACGCTCGAAAGTCGGGACCACCCTGAGGTTTGTATGCGTTCTATCGATGCAACGGGCGTATCTGATGCACCATTCACGACAAACAGCTTCGAGGAGATTGTAAGCGCGAAAGAGCTTAATCGGATTTGCTCGTTTGCGCGAGAGAAGCTGTAAATAATGCTCGTTATAGATGGAAGTGTGACCCGTGGGGCAGCCGCAACTTAACGGACTTTGAGTGACTGGGGTCGCCAGTTCGAGAGATGCTGTCGGGCACTATCGTGCATCTGCTTTTCTCCTTTCGTCTCGCCGATTTTTCTCGCCTCTTCCATCCCGACGAATCGTTATCGCCGTCAGCTGTTGTCAGCTGCCTGTGTAATTTTGCCACTAATCTCCGCTCGACTCCCTCCCACTTTCTCCCAATAATAATTATCGCCGAAACGAGCTGGATGCGGTTCGAGAGCAATGACGTGTAACATTGGGTCGAACGGAAAGTTCGTGCGTTTTCATTTTAAATAAACACTGTATTGTTTTCGCGAAAAGTGATTTATTCAATCAATGACGTAATCTGCATCAGCCTCTCTTACTTTCTCTCACCGTTCCATGGATCTTTTAATACCATGTGCATGAGATAGCGTTCGGTGGTTTTCTGGCCGTCTTTTCAACGATACGAGACGCGATCGCGTGAAACTTTCCTTTCGCCGAGGGCGAAACGTCGGCTTCGATCGTAAATATCGGGAATACGATCAACGACGGATGAAACACGGAGTCGTTTTCGCGACGAAGAGCAAAGGAACGCGGAGATCCGAAGACGCAGGAGCGAAGTGTGTAACGCAATCTTATCATGCGATAATATTGAAATGCAGTTCCTTGGCGACGGCCGGTGAAATAAATCAATACGCAGGCCGCTCTATTTTTTTTTTTCTTCTCCTTTTTTTTTTCTTTTTATTCCATTTGGGGAAGGCACGCAACAGGAACTGTTTCCTTCGCCAAGAATTATATAGATTTTACTGGCATTCACGGCATTTAACGAACACAGTTCGTTGCCTTTCGAAGGATGAACGAGCTAATAATGCAGAGTACATAAATGTATGAAAGAAACACTTTTTTTGCGGAAACGCGAATTACTTGAGTACACGGTTTCGTTCGTAGCTTCATTTTTTTCACTTTGCCCTCGTAACCGCATTGAATCAGGCTAAAACTATGAAATGCAAATGTACATAACTGACCTGTGCAACTGTACGTATCGAAGACACGATAAAGAGGTTCCAAAACTTTACGAAATTTCCCAAGTATCATCGAATTAGTTCGAAAAGTACTGTTGTTGTTCCTCTGGCCTCGTGTACAAAATAACTGAAAAAAAAAAAACGATACTTAGTAATAAATTTAAAAGACGATTTGTCGAGTTGTCTTCTATTTTTTATTTTAACGTCGACCCTTGTTATCCGAGGACAACCGAGCGAAATAAGATTATCGCGATCCGTTCTCTTTCGTCTTTACAACTTTGCTTGCACGTTTAGACAATTATACACTTCGTTGACTGTAAAATATCTCGTAAAAATTTGACACGTGCGATCCCGATTTCTTGAAATGTAATGGGACCGATTAATTTTTGTTTACAGTTCACGGTCGTGTTTTACACTGTGGTGTGATTGATAAAACGGTCGACAATGACGCGAACGAGCAAAACCAATAAAAAAGAAAAGTACGATTTGAAATAATTTTATAATTTCTTTTTCACACCGACAATATTATTCAACGTGTTTATTTTATATCTAACGCAGTCTAGAATAACTAAAAGACTAAACGCCGTTCGTAATATTTAACGAGCAAATATTAAACTTAAGTACCATAAATATTTTTTACTTTCTTACGATTAATAGAATTTTCCATCGTCGTAATCGCTACGATAATTCGAGCACGTGTAAGTTTCTTTCTTACCAATTTGTTGGAAAATCAACTACGCGTAATTATCGTTTTCTTATACTGTTCTTTTTTATTGAAATTCTTTTACATTCTCCTGTTATCGTCATTGTTAGTTTTTGTTTTCGATCACGCGGGGGGGAACTTTGTACATTTAATAAAATTTTTACCAATTATTTTCACTATTTGTCCTTCTTTAAAAATACAGAGTTACACGCTGCTTGTTTTTTTCTTTCTTTTCTTATGTTTCGAAGTCGAAAGCTTTCGAAAGTATTTCGTTGCGGTTGCGTTACGGTTAAGAGGTTCGGTAAACGGAGCTTTAAAGGCACTTGGCTCGCTTTGTCTGCGAGCAGGAAAAAGGAAAGCCATTTTCTTGGGGAACGTGTGCCGCGTGGTTCCAGGCACGGTTCTGTGAGAACAGATTCACCTGACTCGCATACCAATGGTCTGCTTACTGCCGCCGCTTACACCTTACCGACAATTTGCCAGCGGCTGGAACGTTTAACGCATCGACACGATCCTTGCGTGGGAACAACGCTTTAATTAAACGCAATCTGCCATCCTCTTTTTTCCTTCGTCCGATCGAGCCATTTTATTCTTGGATTTGTCGATAAAAACGGTTACATCATTTTTATTATGTAACAGGCGTTACACACGGATTGCGTTATTTATGATAACCGAAGACTAAAGTATAACTTAGATAAGTGAGACGTTCAATTAAATGTCCTGATTGGCTTCGCAGAAGTCCGTCATCTTTTAAAATTCTAACGACGGAGTACCGAGCGTCTCGCAGAATGTGGGAATCGTTTTAGCAACGGATAAAGAACACAGACTATTGTTTACGATTTGTTGATCAGTGTTATTGGACACTTTTAAGGCGACTCGGCCCTTGGGTTTCGTTCGAATCATTCACTCTATCCTTTCTCGTCTGTCTACTATAAGGCTGTTCTACTTAAAACGCATGGCGCCGACATAGCCTCGTCTTCCGGATGTTTACTACTTGCTCGTGCCCTCGTATATACTCGATACAAGAAATATAGCGAGATTGACAAATTTTATGGTCCCTAATTGTTACAATCAACATAAAGAAAAGTTCCCCTTTAACGTACTTGTCACGTGTCCACTACTACAACTAAATCGTATCTTTGATATACGCCATTCAAGAGTTGCGTGAATCAGAAAGTAAAAACAAGCACACTACTCGTGGAAAAATTCCAGCTCACAAAGTGATTACCTTGTTTTCACTCACTACCGCTTAGTTCGCAAAGCATTATCGAAATTGCGTAATTATGCAGATTATACTCGAGGAGCGGAGAATAGCATTACCCTGCAATGTATTAAGCTCTTTTTAGCATGCTCAAATGTTTCAAGTTTACTTATACAAACTTGGAACCTTGGGTCAATAACATGGAACCCAATATATCAAATTCTCACACCTATCTCTACGCTGTCGAAAACGTTCCTCTTATCAGTGTCAACGAGGTTGTTTACCTTCTGATACAACAACACTATGTCCTATCTTCTAATACTTATGGGCGGGGGCGCGCGTCTTTGAACATTCAAATAGGAAGTTGCCCGAGTTTCCAGGCAGTTCTTTCAACGGTAGCCCGTGATGCTGTGCCCCTTCCGTCGCTCCGCGGAAAAGAACGATCGGAACAACAAAACTGTGGAACACGATGTACGATACTAGTTGTTGTATCTAATCTCAGCGACGTCGAAGAAGCGTCCGGCAGAGTGCAACGAGAGTAAATATTGTAACAGAAGGGGGAACTTTCGGTGTATCGATGGTCGGCTATTAATACTGTACGGTTCTTAGTGCTACACGCAGCATCGGCTGTCTTCGATAAATAATAAACGGTGTTTTCCATTACGTGCGCCCGATTGTCGTGAATTCGAACGAAATCGGCGGTAAGATTGTCGCGGCGATAGTCCTCGATCTATCGACGTAAACGAGAAAACATGATCGTCGTCGCGTTATTTTTCGCGTTCAGCGTTCTCGCCGCGACTGGCCAGGGGTACGATGATCAGTGTCAGTGGAGAACGGACGAGCAACTTATCTGGGAATACGACGTCAGAAGATCTTACAGGATCGGCGGATACCAAGTGCGTGTGATTGTAATTCGAGCATGATAAAAAATAAAACGCTTACTTATTGCCGTTTACTTTTATCGCTGAACGCTTTTGATCCACCGACAACGTGTATTGGCTCTCTAGTTTAGGGGATACTATACCCCGCGACAATAATATTGGAGTTGCGTAATAAGTCGTCGTTGATTTAGAACTTACATTTTAAATATACATTAAAAGTGCAGTTGTATACGTACTGGATGCTTCTTACAAAGTAATGTTGCACGCCAGACTTTTGAGTCGCACAGTATGTTTGAGGGCTTGTTGCCGCGCAGATCTGGTACTTCTTGTATGTTTTTGCTATCTTCTTCCAGATAAGCGCGAAGTTGAAACGCCTGAGGTGAAAATAAAACAAAAGGACCAGAATACGTTTCGTAGACGCTTTTAATACTTACAGTCGCTTGCAGGAAGTCGAGGCGGAGTACGGGCCGGCGAACGTGACGATCACGTGCATAGGAGTGGACTCTTTGTCCGACGAGAACAACGGAGCCATGTGGGTTACTTCCGGTGGGATAGGATACAACTTCATCAGGATTAAGTTCAGATCGAAGTACTCCAGAGGACTTCGTTATCGAGTCTACGTTTACGGGAAACCGTACTGAAAAGACCACGGCAGCTTTTATTTATTTACGCACGGCAATTATGTATGATTGTACTTCAATGAATGTACGTTAATAAATTTTTACCAAACTTCGACCATCTTGGAAATTTTACTGGGCTGCGACTAAATAAGATAATTTAAACAATTACAATTATAAAAAATTATACTAAAGAATAGAAAACAATGTTATATATATATATCTGTATGTGCAGGTATGAATTATGTTTACCTCGACTTCCGTCAGCCATTGTGGAACCAATCAGTGTGTAAGCAGATACCGGGTAGCAGCCCCTCCTAGGTCCCTCCCTCTCGATCGGTGCTAGAAAAGATTAGATTGATATTTATAGATGAACGCTAATAATTGTACTGTTTCGATAAAACAATGACGACGGTTGCGACCATCGATCGTAAATCCACGAGATATGTCACGATTAGGTTCGCAAAGGTGGAATGTCGTGACCAGAGCGATTGGACTGGATAAAAGTTTTCCGTACAAGTATACGGAGATCGGGAAACCATTAAAACGAAGGTACCAGCCGCAGATTCCCTCCGACAAGTTCGACGAATAATGAATCGGAAGAAATATTTTTCTCTCTGCGTGCACGAAACAGCAATTCTGCGACGGGCCATGCAAACCGGAACTTCCGGGTTCTCAAATAATCGCAATCAGACGAAGAACAATTCGCCTACCTACGTATTGCGTTACCGTTTCCGTGGTAATTTTTCCAAATTACTAAGGAGACCATATAATACAATTTAGTTGTTTAAGTGTTTATTCGTTACGCTAACTGCGTATAACAAATCACGGAGCAAATTGAGATGTTTCATCATCCGTCACTTATCAGTGTAGGTAATCTGTTTTGCCAATCAAGCAAGATAAGTATTCAAAAATTGCTGTATGTATTCGCTTAGCATTGGCTTTTGACCCAAACAAAGATAAGTAAATTTTCTTGGTTCAGCAACATTTGTCTCCACGAATTGTTTTTAATCTAGATGATGTAACTATTGCAAATAGCTTTGTGCACAGCTTTTAAAATCTATTTACTCCGATGATCCTGGCTGTGTTTATAAATTCAGATATCTCCGATCTTTACATAAGTATAAGCAAAGTATACAGTAATAGTATACTGAACTTAGATGTAAGTTCTAACCCAGGTTACTCTGTTTCAGAGTCTGACCATGGAGCATGGCCGTCGAAGGGGTTCCTGCAAGAGGGTGTTCGTTTCAAAGTACAGGGCAGTTGTCCTGAGACTCGCAAAACTTTTCTCAAAAGTAAAATGTCTGGCACACTGAATAACGCCTGTAAATTCCGAGAGGCGAATCGATAAGACGAAACAATGGCTCGATGGCCTGAAAAGTTACCGGTCATAAATTACACGATGTGCACGGCAGGCACGTTATCACGACGCCCGTTCGCCGTGCATCGTTAACTGACAAAACTGAGTTTACGACGGTATCAAAGTAGTCGCCGTATTCGACGGGAACAACCCTTCGGGTCCGTGGATGGGGCCAGAGCCACGTAGCTCGCGTGGACGCGGCCAGGCACGCGATCACACGCGATCAGGATAACGGCAGGAGGATCGCGACGCCGACGCCGACGCCGACGCCGACGCCGGCGCTTCAGTGAAGGCCAGACGTCCGTCCGCGTCGAACGCAGTCGTTGCCCGTCGACAGGCCCTGAAGAAACTGTATCGCCGCCAGCCATCCTCCATCGTCCATCCCCCGTGACTTCTCTAGATATCGCCAACAGTCATTGACGTCTTCTCACTACGACAAACCAAGATGTCACGGGTGAGTCGTCGCGGTGAAAATAATCCACGATTAATAGTAGAACTTTGTCCGTCTGCGCTGCATTTATCGAAAACAATCGCTGCACGGTGTATCGTTTGAACTTGACTGATCTATCGAAGAATTCCAATTACTTCGGCTGGGTACTAGATAATGTATCGGTCCGGCGGAAGGAGACACTGCAAAATTAAGTACCTAGATCGCAAAGTATCTTCGAACGAATTCAAACTCGAGGGTACTTATTAGCAACGAAATTAAATATCGTTGATTACTTGAGCTGGTAGTAATGGCTTTCGCTATCGCTAAAGCTCGGGGCTTACTTTTTTTCCAGGGGGCGGAAGTTTCTTGGTTCGAGAAACGCGATTTCGATTAGACCCGGCCGCGGTAGCACGAGTTTGAAATTAATTCTGAAGTGCCGGCTCGATAGTGCTCGCCACGCAATTAATCAACAAAATCTTCGATCGTTCCGCGAGATCTCCCAGGTACAGGAAACTTGGCCCCCGAGAAATGAGATAATTAGCGCCGCTAGTTAACTAGTTTCGCTACGGCGAGGATTGATTGACTCCTTCCATTAACTCGAACCCCATACAGCCTGACGCTATGGAGAATCGAGTAAACGAACCCGACACCGATACTCTCCGGTTTCCATCGCCCTCGGGATAATGATCTTTGACCTATAGTTGTCTATCGTTAAATCTAGGAGTTTCCAATAAGAACGATAAAACACCATAAAATGTTACCGAGCGGTATAGTTCTTTTTGGTTGGTGAACTCGATGCCCATTTCTTTTAAAACGAATTTAACGATTCAAGAACATTTCTCGACAATAGAAACCCCATTTCTTATTAAAAGTTTCATTGATTTTCTCTTCTATAGAATACACGGGGGCGGGAGGGAGGGGGTCAAAATCGTGTTCCCTGGAAACGTATGAATAAATTATGACTCGGTGTGGCAACGGGGTGACCATTGTCCAGTTTTGCGAAGGCGTGACGCATTCGGCGTACGCTCGAATATAGTAAATTAGCTGGGCTTCGGGGTTGATTCTGTCACGTGTCACGGAACACCACTCCCGTCAGCTTACCACGTGCTGACTGGCGTGCCCAGAACTGTCGCACATTTTTTTAAAGCCGCACTTCCCTTCCATGTTACCGTCAAATTCATTGACTACCTGAAACATTAGAATCCATTTGAACATTTGTATCGGTGAAAGGGTGCTAGCAATTAACTCTGTAATAAATTATATAATACCCAAATGGAAGAGACAACGTGTCGAAACAATAATATAAAACGAGTTCACTTTAACGAGTGGAACATGCGTAAGCGTAAGTTTCTTACACGCAATCAGCAGCACGTATGTAGGGTCCGTCTGCGGTCGATACTGCTTAAGGCAATCATTATATTATATATATTTCCTTTTCCATGGAAAATGTTCACTTTTCGCGCCTCAGCGTTAAACCTTAAACGTGGAAACGAGATAAAAGAAAAGGTAAATTGCAGGTGAATTTTGTCGAACGAAACTTGCAGGAACAAATAGCACAAGTTCAGCGTTTTGAGAGTATGGTCTTCGTCGACACATGTATTTTTTTATTTATCGTACACGGATAAAGATTAGGGTGGACCTCAAGGGTGCAGAAATTAAGTTTTCAATGTACAACATTAACGAAGATACTCGTGTAACGGTGACCCTGTGATTCGTTGATATTTCGTCTAACACTACTTTATTTCGTCGGCAAAACACGAAAATCTCTAATCAATTAGGCCACGACAAATCACGCGTAGGCGAGTCGAATTAGTTGATGGGCTCTCGCAATCGTTTCCCCGCGTTGCGTGAGTCGTGTCGTTTGGCACGTGAACTGGGCAAACGATGAACATTGACCATGGTAATTTCCTCGGCTCCGTAAGACGTTCTATTCGTCACGTCCCGCCGTCCTTATTAATTAACAAGCTCCTGATAATAGCGTATTAATTTCTCCCCGGCGTTATTAATAAAACGTGCCAGCTTCCTCGACGACCCGTGACGAAGACACATTAAACGAGCGCAATTATTGATGTTTAGGGATCGAAACGATACAACGACCGAGTGTCAGATCTTTCCACGAGGGAAACAAATTTTCCTCAAGGGGATTTCCTTGTGTCTCGGTATCAATGAGCAATATTACGAATTTTTCTTCGATAACAGTGCCCGACATAATAAACCGAACATTTTGGGGAAATCTATATCGAAAGTTCGAAGCAGGTGTGGAACTTTTCTACTAAAAATTATCTCCACAAACATCATTTCTCCGCACTGTAGAATGCAAGTGACTAATTATACACGTACAATTGTTTGTTTGTTACATTTACGTAAGATTTATATGGAATGTTAAAAATGCATAACTTAATAGCCGCTAATGGCTTTGAAGCTGATGCGACATTGGATAAACGAATAAAAAATGTAGAATATTTAATATCTCGCGAGTAAATATAAATACAAGCGAAGGTCGATATTTGATCATCGCAGAATACAAGATGCTGCATTATTCATCGGTTGTTCCAAGCTTTCGATACGTGTATTCGATACTGTGTATGTATTTCAATTACAAAATCGTTCGATTGTGTCCACCCCTGCTTGTAAGATGACCTCTATAGTAGCCTCGCTGGCGATACATAATCAGGCGCCTCTGATAGGCGATTCACAGGCAAATTCGCGCACAGAATCTTGTATCTATGCAAAACGTCGCGACTGGACATTGACCGTTGTTAATTTCCGCGGGCGAATCTATGTCGTTTATTTTCTTTCCGCCTTGTAGACCGTCGGTTCTTATCTCGGTGTGTGCGTGCCTTGATGTAAGAACGTTTAGGAATTTTTTTTAGGCAAGTTTCGCTAGACATCACATTACGAGCGCAGATTAACTCTTTTGAAAAAAATAATTTTCCAACCACCGAGTTAGAAGGAGTCAAATAACTTTGTTACTCACCGAGTTATTTTTGATGCATACACTCGACGAAGTGGGGAGAGCGATTCGGTCCTCCCACAATCTATTTCGCGTCCCCTGATTGGTCGAAAGTTTATCAATCTTTCGCTATGAAACGGAACGTTTGCGACCGTCGAATCTTTCGAAATTTATAATTATTTCCAGAGGTGCATCGGCATAGTTTTGTTACTAATTTTGAAGAGAAAAATCAAATGAAACGATTTCAGACTTTTTATAAACACTTTACGGTAGATTGAAATGTAAGATCCATCTCGATTTCAGGGCGAGTCGATTAAAAATCATAGAAATTTCCGATGCAACTATGAATCTAATCCGGTATTCGAAGCGTTTAATCGAAGCTCGTTCAGTCATGGTCAAGGACGAGCACAGGCGTCCCTTTGCAAAACTATGTGACCGTGAATTCTCGCGTAGAACGACCCCGAATTCTCTCACGCTATGCTCTTTCGATGCACTTATCGGTGGCAAGCGTGGGCTCGCGATCGATATCAACTCATTGCAATTCTTTGGTGCGAATTCGGAGATTCCTCTGGAAACAAAAATACACGGAAATTAAAATTAAAACCAAAGGATCGCCGATCGAAACGGTTTTTAAGCACTTTCCAATTCCGTGCAACAAGATTACGCTTATTTGACGTAATAAATATCTCGAAATTTGTTGCAGATATCATATTGAAATTTGAACTGTATATAAATGGCGCCTTCGTATCGCCTGAACCAAAAATAACTTGATATCATCGATAATTTCTTTTTTTTCTTAATTATTATTTAAACGTCAAAGTTCACAAAATTCAACATTTGACTTTTAAAAAAACACAGATTCTAGAGGTTTCGTCTTTTTTCAATCGATTCTAGCTACAACTACGTAAAGCAGCTAACATTAAACATTTAGATAACAAAAACTGTACATCGGTTCCGCTTTCTATTATTTTTCAGTTATTTCTTGCAGTGGTTCTGCAATATTATTATCAAACTAGTGTCCCTATAGAAATTTCGCCCACTATATCCCGTCGCGGAGAAGCGTTACACTCTGTGCGCTCAGTATCCCAGTGTCGTTATCATTTACAGGATAGAAAAAAGTGAGAAAAGTGGAAGGGGACACGGGGGAGTAGATGAAGTCTCAACGACCCGCGGAACGATCGTCTGCAAAAACTCGTTTAGATAGGAGAGGCGGGCAGTTCAATCCGGTTCATTCGTTTCCTCCGTCGGTTTGACACGGTTCAAACTCCACGACCACGAGTGCGTTTATTGATTTGACAATTTGTTGCAGAACCTGTATCGAAACAGAAAACACAACGGTATCGATCGATTTACAGAAAAATGGCCCAAGGTGTTGAAATTTTTCGGCGAAATTAACAAATTTCAAATCGTTCTTAAAAAAATTATTTTTAGTTGCTGGGGTCAATTACAATAATTTTTGGTCAATAGACATACCCTCAAAATCCTATCCACTTTCGAGACAAAAATTCGAGAAGGTGTGAAATTTTTCGACAAAATTAAAAATTTTCAAATCGTTCTGGAAAAATTATTTTTAGTTGTAGGGGTTAATTACAATCATTTTTGGTCAATAGACATACCCCCGAATTCTTACGCGCTTTCGAGAAAAAAATTCGAGAATGTGTGAAATTTTTCGATGGAAAAAAAAAAATTCAAATCGTTCTAAAAAAATTATTTTTAGTTGCAGGAGTCAGTTACAATGATTTTTGGTCAATAGACATACCCTAAAAATCCTATCCACTTTTGAGAAAAAAATTCGAGAAGGTGTGAAATTTTTCGACAAAATTAAAAACTTTCAAATTGTTCTGGAAAAATTATTTTTAGTTTCAGGGTTCAATTATAATCATTTTTGGTGAATAAACATACCCTCGAATTCCTAACCAGTTTCGAGAAAAAAATTCAGTAAGTGGATACATTTGTCGGCAAAATTAAAAATTTTTAAATCGGTATAAAAAAATTATTTTTAGTTTCAGGGGTCAATTATAATCATTTTTGGTGAATAAACATACCCTCGAATTCCTAACCAGTTTCGAGAAAAAAATTCAGTAGGTGGATACATTTGTCGGCAAAATTAAAAATTTTTAAATCGGTATAAAAAAATTATTTTTAGTTTCAGGGGTCAATTATAATCATTTTTGGTGAATAAACATACCCTCGAATTCCTAACCAGTTTCGAGAAAAAAATTCAGTAGGTGGATACATTTTTCGGCAAAATTAAAAATTTTTAAATCGGTATAAAAAAATTATTTTTAATTGCTGGGGTCAATTACAATCATTTCTTATAAATAGACATATCCACGAAATCCTACCCACTTTCGAGAAAAAAATTCCTAACCGACGAGCGTACCGGATTTAACACTAGTCTGACCCAACACGGTTAGCAATTACTGCCAGGACTGACCTTCCTTTCTCCATATAGTTTGTTCAATATACAATCTTCGCGACAAAAGTTAATCACAGCCAAATAAGTCCACACAAACTCTTTTATAAACAGATAACTCTATCCCATATACGATTACACGCGCGCGTACGTACGAAATATGTACAAGGACATAAGTGGGGTCACAACCGCGTATCTTTAAATACGTGTAACTCGAGAAGTTACTTACTATATAGGAAAGATGAATAGATAGAGTGATGAGGATGTAGTCAGCCTTCCAATTTTTTCGCCATTACTTATTGCTGTTAATCGAATAATTAATATTCGTATCATTTGCTCAGATTCAGGGGCACATCGATCTTCGGTACGATTCACCATTTCCATCGTGGTTCCCTGAACATTTAAAAAACATCATTGTAAATGTTTAATATTCCGAGGGTTGACTATCCCCGTAAATTCGTTAAATTCGATGAATTCGATCGTCGCGGGTTTCCTGACACCGTGCAATCACGAGAGTCGAGTTTGAAACTCGATATCGCTCCGGTCGGGACACGTGATCGGAAACGGGCGGAAATTTTCAAACAAGAAAACTTTTCCGCGTCGTTCACCGTTCGTTAATTGTTATTACTATCAACGCGAATGATCGAATGTGCCCAACGCGGTTTATCTTGTCGCGATTGTTAGTACAGCTGCGGGATTCTCATAGGGTTGCTTGAATGGCGGCCACCGCGAAGTCGGCCCGTACGTTGAACTTTGGAGGTCGTTTCGTACGGTTCAGGCGCGAAACTGATTGCACTAATTGCGACACAGAGGAAATGCAAGGGATAGCGCGTACAGATAAATACGATAAAGCGATATGAAACAGTACATCCGGGTATCTCTATTACTTTTCGAAGATACGAGAATATCTTAAGAACTAATTATTATGTATCTTAGTATTCACGACTTCTAGTATTATACCCTGTCAGTGAGAATGTCACAGTTTTGCTGTGAAGGAATTAGAAGATGAGTAGAATCGATTCTATTTGTATCGAGATTCGTTCGACAACGTCCACGTTTCCGGCCAAGAAGAAGGGTACCCTGAACGCTTAAGCGGCCGGTCAGACGAAAGAGCCCATTTAAAGTCGTGTTCACGAGAAGTCGTAGAAAAGTTGGGACAGTGTATTTGGAGGGTGATATCCTCGCGAGGAGCCAGGCTCGCCATATACATATCGATTGGTGCCATTCGGTGCCTGGCAGTGGGTCGTGCTTCTTCTACTTCCATTCGCGCAGACACCGGATACGACAAAGCTCTGCTAGCCCGAAAGAGGAAAATTGAGGAGGCGCGACCACGTTCGGACTCGTTTCGTCGGCAAATCGCTTCTGCAGACTGTTGGCCAACTTAATTTACTGTAGCGCCAAAAAATATATTGAGTCGACACATACGTAACTGCCGTTTTTTGCTTCTCTTTTAGAGCTACAGTTACAGCTTGTTAATTCTTAATTGTTATTAGGTCTGAAGAAAGAGGGTGCGGTAAAACGCAATTTTACCATCCTAAGTCCAAAAATTTCTTCTTGTGTGATTCTCACCGCTGGTCGTTTCCCTTGCAACTTTTCTTCTGTAATTATCTCATTACGCTCTTCTCTCCATGAGGGGTGGATTTTGATTCTGGCTGAGATTGTTAATTTTCATCTATCCAGTCTCTTTCTTAGCTTAAAAAAGAACAGTGAGATTGGGAATGAGAATCGGAGATCGAAGCAAGGTAGAAAGGGGTGGGAAAAAGAGAAACACAGACTGTGCAACTACGCTGTCATCGCGACTTGATAACACTTTCTTGGCAGGTTTGTTTGTTGCTTTTACGCGGAGATTAAGATGAACTAGCGTAACTATAACTGGTTTGAATGCGTCATCTTCGTCGTCGTTACATCCTTGTCATTCTTTCTTCCTGGTTATCATTCCGGCACGTGCGATAATTCCGTCAGGAAAAAGATCGTATCGGAGATCGGCGCATAGAATTTAAGCTTCGTCCACAAATCGATATGAATTTTTTGCGATCGTAAACAGCCTGAAAAATGGAAATAAATATTTTTAGAAATATTTCAAGTTTTAAACGTATGTGTTTCAGCCCTTATCCAAAGGTATTCCACAATTATCGACGAGAGGACAAATGGAAAGGCGGCGACCACCGTTTCTCAGAGGCCATAGCAAAACGAAAGAGGTATTTCGGTTTGTTAGTTTTCGAGAATGTGCTTGAAGTATTGCACGATTTAATTTATTAAGATATTAAACTCCCTATTTAGGAAATCCAATGGCAGTAAACACAAATTGTATTATTTGTATAAATAAAATATATTATTATTGTTGTATGATCTCCTCATTAGATGATTTTTTCCAAATGATCTTGAACAACAAAAAAATGAAAATTCTTACGTTTTTCAGAAGATGCTTGCGTTAAAGGAAACATCTTGTACACTAATAAATTTATAATAATCTATTATTATTTTGATTATTCATTATGGTTTGCATTACTATGAGGCCAAATACATATTTTAAAAGTTGTCATTTATGTAAATTTAAAGTTTGAATTAACTCTATTTTCAACTTGTAATTGATCTACAATCGTTCAATATACTTAAATGCACGTACATGCACTATAAGTGCATCAACACGCAGATCGTGTGTATGCACTTTATGTGCACCCTACTAAGCAACAGTAAACAATATGTAAACAGAAACATAACCTGAATGACGAATGCATCGTTTTATGTTTGAGTAAAACTATTTTACTATGATATATTTGAAGCAAAGAAAAAAATACAAATGTAATATTTAAATTTAAATTGCATTGATTTGTAGAAAATTTGGTATACTTTCCAATACGGTCTTTTTATCACATTCTTTATCTAAGGAGTAATACTGTTGCAGACGGACAAAAGTACAGGTAGTAAAATGGATTCTTCACGGAGCACGATCAGTGGTAGGGGGGAATGCACAGGTGAAGAAGATCTGTCACCAGATGTATTGGTGAGACAAAATTTTGAGCTACGTCATCGTCTTGAAGAGGAAGCAGCCAATTATAAAAGACGGTTGGACACATATCGACAAGCACAACAGCATCAGGCTGCTTTGGTTTCCCGTTTGCAAGCCAAAGTAAGCTTTATATTCTCCTGGATTTTAATTGTTGTACTTACAGTAATAATATATGCTTTCAGGTTTTACAATACAAGCAAAGATGTTCAGAACTTGAGAATCAAATGGCAGAGTCTGTTATATATGATTCTAGTAAAATTGTAAGTTCTTTGCCTCCAGCAACCTCTGCTTTAGATGCAGCACACCATACATTGAGGGAGATACGCGAAGAACAAATCCATGACTTGGATACTGCTTTAAAAAAACTTGCTGATGAGCGCAAAAGGCAATGATCCTTTTTACTTTATCTTAAGCAAAAAGTGTACTTGATGTAGATGTTTACAACTAGAATTTTTTCAGGTGTGATAAACTGTTACAATTAAATACAGTATTGAAAGATCAGTTAGAAGAATCACATCAAACTAATGAAGCAGTCACCAATGACCTGCAAAAGTTAAGCAATGACTGGGATGTCTTAAGGGAAGAATTGGCTATCAAAGAAGAAGAATGGAGGGAAGAGGAACAAGCATTCAATGAATATTATACTTCAGAGCACAATAGATTATTAAATCTCTGGCGCGATGTTGTGTCTGTAAAACGATTATTTGCAGAAATAAAATCTACTACAGAGAGAGATTTATTAAAGATGAAGAACAGCATTATTTCCACTTTTAACGACGTTTCATCGGCTTGTAGCAATACAGGATTTGCTATGAAAATGAATGCAGCTGTACAACCAATGGTAAATTTAAGTTCTCTGTAGTTGTTATTGTACCTGAAAAGTAGAATTTTATAATACTATAATTCGATCATATGTTAGATATCACAGCAAGTTCAACAAGCACAGGAACAAGTTACAACCGATTTGAAAGTGGAATTAACTGCACTCAAACAACAGTATGATGTGGCTCAGAACGAGATTCGAGTTAAAGAAGATAGAATTAATCAACTTATTCGTGATGTTCATACTCTGGTAGATTCTACAAACTAACGATGTTAACGAAATCTACTAGTAGAATTTCGCACGATAACAATTATGTTCTACATTTAGGAAGAAAGATGTGGGGAGGCAGAAGCAGAAGTGCATCGCAATGTACGTGTACAAGACGAAGTTGAAATTCTACAGTCCGCATTGAGAGACATAGCACACGCTGTAATCCAAGATGCAGAAGCACGCGACAACGAAAGTACACAGGCGCCTCCTCATCTTCACCTATCTCCCAGTGCACCAATCCCTCAAAGATCACCAAAAAGAGGTACAAGAAGCAACACCACTCCAGCCTTTGCTGAGAGTACAATCAGTGCTGTACAAGCAGCTCTGCATAAATATCAATTGACTATTCACGAGCTTCAGGTGTGAAGATTTTATATTGTATGTTTCGGTAAATTGTAGGAATAAAAATGTATCTTATAAGGTGTCTGCAAAATTTTGTATTAACGCGTTTCACTAATTTATCGTGACAGGTAAAATTACAAACTAACAAAGAGCAATTAGTTACGAGTCGTAAACAGTGCGAAAATGCAGAAGAGAGTATTAAAACTTTGGAGAAGAAAGCAGAGGAATTGATCACTGAATTAGATGCTGCTCGATCTCAGTGCACGCAACTGAGTCAAGAAAAAGATATGCTACAGAAGAGTCTGGATACTGTAAGATTGGAGAAAAATGTACTTGACAAAAGTAGAGTGGAGATTAATAGTATGGTGCGGTTATTTTCTGTTGTATAAAATCATAATGATATTTTGTTGACGTACAAATTGACGCGAAACATTTGTTTTCAGGTGGAAAGCTTAAACAGCGATTATGAAAAGCTTCAGAAAACTAATAACAAATTACAAAAGCTTTGTGATAATTTGGAAGATGAGAAACTGTATCTCCAGAGTGAGCTCACTAGAGTGTCCAAAGAAGCAGAATTAAGGTATGATAAATAACAACTTTAATTCGTATTGTTACTAAATAATATCACAAATTGATCCATTAGGGAGCTAAATCTCCGTTCAGAAGAAAGCAGATGCAGTAAAATGAGGGAAGAATTGTTAACTTTACGAGAAGAATTAAATAAAGCGTATCTTGCAAAAGATATGTTGGATCAACAAAAGCTGGAAACAGATGGATTAATTTCGCAAATTGAAAAAAACAAAGGTATTCGTTTTCTGTTTATTATGGGTTAACATTTTGCTAATTTGAGTATCGTTTAGGTGACTTGGAACTTGAATTAGAACGCCTGCTGTTGGATAAATCTGACGTGCAGGAAGTTTTAATGAAGTTAGAAACAGTCTGTAGTAACCACGAGCAAGAGAAACAGCGATTGCAGGAAGAATTGAAAAAGGTAACGGAAGATAAAAATAAGTTGGCAAGTCAATGTGCGGATCAACAGAATGATTTGGGCTCACTGAGAAAAGAGCTACTTCAAGCGGAACAAAGTAGGCTCGATTTGGAATCAGAAAAGGTTACTTTGAACGAGAAAGTGAAATTTTTGGAAATCGAGAAGGAGAAGATCGAAATAGAATTGGCACAAGTTACTCGTGAACGTGGAGATTTGAGCAATCAATTGTCAGTTTTAGCGCGAAAAAAAGAAACGTTAAATGAAGAACTAATGAGAATTAGGCAAAGATTAGAACAGGCTAACGAGATGAATGGTAGGATCAATCGAAATTTGGAAGATCTTGTGAAAGACAATGAAGAGAAACAGGTAAATTTCATAAATTACTATAAAGATTTTATTTTATTTTTTTAAACAAATGTGTTCTTATATATTCAGGTACTTCTGGAAACAAACGAGAAAGAAGTTCAACGATTACAAGAGCAACTCGCATCTATGCGCAGTGAAAAAGAAACCTTAGAAGGTGTTTTATTCGATACTCAAACTAACTTGGAAACTATGCATGTGAAAAAAACGTATTTGGAAAAAGAACAAAAAGAATTGTTAGTAAAGCAGGAGAGCTTAAAGGGGCAAGTAGAAAGACTGACGAAGGAATTAGAAAACAGCGAGAAACATGCGAAAGAAATGAAACAAACTTTGACGCAACAAAGCGGCGACCAAGAAGCTGAATTTCATCACATTATTTCTAATATAAAAAAGCATAGTGAAGATAATATAAAAAAATTGAACGAGGAAAAGGTAATACGTTTACGTAATAAATATTGTAGACTTCTGACATTATAAGAAAATTTAACTGAATTTATTTACAGGAGTACATAAAGGTAAACTTGGAAAAGCGGCTTCAACAGTCTTTGTCGCAACTTGGCGGGGAAAAAGACAATGAGATAAATCAGTTGCAACAAAGAATAGATGAGATGCAACAACATATAGAAAATCTATGCCAACAACATGAAGAAGTTCTCCTTAGGGCAGAGAATGATAAACAACAGGCCCTTCTTATGGGTACTAAATATTTTAATTGCAATATTACCATAGTTTACTAACTTGACGCAATAATATCTTTTACAGCTCATCATGATCAACAAGCATTAATGGAAAAGCTCGAGGGCGTTTTGCGTGAAATGCAAGAGGAGAAGAGCAATGTGGAACGAGTTAAAAGGGAAGCTGCGTCGCGTGCAGAACAAGAGCGCAACAATACAAATCAATTGCGCGACGAGTTGAGTCGTCTTAAAACAAAATTGGACGAGACTAAATTAAAAGCTGACGAGGAGAAAATAAAGCTCGATCTAAAAATTGAAGAACTCGGGAAGGAACGCGAATCGGCCCAAAGGGATTCTGAAGAGTTGCAAGTTCAATTGCACATGACCGAAGATAGAGTCGATAGCTTGCAAAATCAGTTGCACGAAACAGTTAGAAAGCTTAAAGATGGTAATTTTTATATTTATATTTCGTAATAATCTCCTATTATCGCTTCAACTAGCATAAATTTTCAGTCGAAAACCTTAACGAAACGTTACGCAAGGAATTGGTGGATGTTAGGAGACAGTTGGCTGACTCCACGTATGAAAAAGAAAAATACAACAACAGTAACAAAGAATTGCGCGAACATGTGAAACGTATTGAAAGTGAGAAAAGAGAACAGAGCAGGATATTAGAAGAATCGTATCAGAAGATTGCAGGTAATGTATACGTATGCATAACGTTGAGTTGTATTGCTATTCATATTTTATATGTTACAATTACAAAGCACTGGAAGACATGAAAGTAACTATAGATGCAGAGAGATCTCGTCTTCAATCGCAGCTTCGCGATGTGGAGCGAGAGATGTTGCAATTGCAAAAGCAGTTACGCTTCACTCAAGATGAGCTGCAAAAGTCCCATCAAAATAACCAACAAGCACAAAGCGACGAGAAGGAATTGCAAGCACGACTGACGAACGAGACAGAAGAAAGAGAACGGTTACAGCTTCAGCTGCATCAAGTAAAGAAACAGGTAAATCGTAATCAATCGTTAGTAAAAGTACATGTTTCTTTATTCAACAACATTTTGTGAACAGCTAGTAGACGCAGATAACAGTCTGGAGGTGACGAGGCAAGAACTTGGAAGACTACGTTCACGTTCCGATGAAGAGGATGAAAGGTGGAGAACCAGAGAACAAGAGCTATTGGTCCGACTTGAGGATTGTCGGTGTCGTGAAAGAAAACTCGAGGATCAGAAACACAATTTAGAAGTTTGCTTGGCCGATGCCTCCCAGCAGATTCAAGAACTTAAGGTGAAACTAGTATTAAAGTTTCTAATTTTCGAAACTCAATTGTAAACTATTTAGGCACGTCTTGGAGGATCCGAAGGACGAGTTAGAGCTTTGGATGCTCAATTGTCGCAACTGGAAATTGCGAAAAAGGAGGTTGAGCAAAAGTTGAGTAGCATAGGCTCTACCTTACGTCGTATCGCGGGTATTCAAATGGATGGAAGTGTTAACATGCCTTTTAAATTGATGAGCCCTTCGAGAAGATGGAGCCCAGCAAGAGGTACATAATCAGCAAATTGTTATAGATGATTAGCAGTTAACATATCTACGTTATAATTCAGTTCAAGACCACACTGACTCCAACAGGGATGTCATATTTGAGGTTGACCCTGAAGTTGTTAGAAAGGGTGTGCGATCTCTGATGCAACAAGTGGCTCAAATTGAACGCGAGAGGGTACCTAATACTTTCTTTCGTTGCAATTTCTAATTATCGTTTAACTAATTTTACAATATTCGCTTGTTCGAATTTCAGGATGATTATAAAACCGAATTGAGTAACTTGAAGAAGCAGCTGACGGAAACTGAAGAAATTCAAAGTAAGTCGGACACCCAAATAAATATGCTATTAACTAATATCAGAATTCTACAAGACGAACGGAAGTCGTTGGAAGTAAAACTTTCTCAAAAACAAAGTGGTTACGAAATGCAGGTATGTTTCTATAATATTTTTATAATAATATTCGTTCAGTTGCTTATGAAGATATTTTAGTTGAATGCATTGCAACAAAAGACTGAGGAATGCGAACAATTGGGCGAGAAAGTCGCAAATCTGGAATTAATGATGAGCAGCAGTTCTGAAGAGAAGTCACAATTTGAAGTAAGAATATTCATCGTTCTCTATGAGAAAATATATATTTTTTTTTTCATTATTACACGATCGACAATTTTCTAGGAGAAATTAGAAAAATTGAAGCACGTTTTGAACAGAACAGAAAACGACAAACGTAATTTGCAAGAAGAACTTAACAGAAGCGAATCCCGTGCTACGAAACTGGAATTGCAGAGAATGTCATTGGAAGGTGATCTCCAAAGATTGCAAATGATGTTCCAAGAAAAAGAAACACAAATTCGTGTATGTTGTTTGCATAACTTTTGATCTTATACGAGAAAGTTATAACTATTATATATTTTTCTTAATCATTTCATAGAAACTACAAGAACGAAATGAGACTCAGAGTCGGACCATGGCAAGTTTAGAAGAACGTTGTGCTTCGTTGAAGTCTACGATAGAACAACTAAATCTTGCGTTAGAAAAATCATCCAACACAGAAACGGAATTGAAGAACGACAATAATTCACTACAACGTCATGTTATGGAACTAACATCTTCTTTGCAAACTGCTAACGAAAAAGCTAAACAGGTATTGAAATATAATACTTTAACGTTTCGTCTATCGTAAGTGCCAAGAGTAATCGCTGTACGTTTCGTTTTAGTTGCAAAAACAAGTAACGAACACTGAGAACGAGCGTAGAATATTATCAGAACGCGTAGAATCCTTGCAACAGTCTTTAAGCGATCTGAAACGTACAAACCAGACGTTGGCAGATCAAATTGCTCGTTTACAAAATGAATTAGCAAACAACGAAGTGCAACGTTGCACCTTAGAATCCCAATTAAGAGTAGTCAGTTATCCGCAAGAACAAACCACGAATAAAGACGAAGAATTATTGCGGCAATTGCAAACAGCGCAGAGAGAGAGAAGCGAAATGAGAGGAAAAGTGGACGCTCTCAGTGATAAGGTAAATATTTACAACAAAGGAAAGAAATTTATGAAAAAGATTATATAAAATTTATACCCTTTGTATTCTAGATGAAACTGTTAGAAACAGATAAACGCAACTTAGAACGTCAGTTGTCGTTGCTCAAATCGACCAGCGTCCGGAGCAAAAGTTACGAACGTCCTGAGAAAGCACACGCAGAATTATTGGGCACAAGCTTCGACATGGATCACTATGAACAAGAGAACAGAGAATTGAGATTGAAAGTCCGTAGATTGGAAACTCAGCTTGCAGAAAAGGAAGCTGAGCTTATAAGAGTGAAGTCGAGTTACGCTCATACTCATTCGATATACGATTTTACTCGAGACAGAACAGGCGAAATTGAGAGATTTAGGGCCGCCCAGTTGCAAGCCGAAAAATTGTTAGAGGCAAGGGAGCAGAGCCATCGCCAACAAGTCTTACGATTGGAAAATCAGGTACCAACTTTCGCTTAGATTTAATTATGTGGAGTCTTCATGAATATTTGTTGTATATTATAAATCATGTAAACAACAGATTCAATTATTGCGGGAGCAACTTAATCAAGAAATCAAACGTCGACAATTGTACGTCCTGCGAAGCTCAAGAGCTGGAAGAGAAATGCAGCAATTGAGACAAGTATTAGGCGACTCGTTGAGAACAGTTGCGCAGGATCCATCGTTAGATGCAGTATTATTGGAACACGAAGCTCGAAAGTTGGATTCTACTCTGACAAGTACCACCAGTTTACCGCCATCGTTAGCTTTACCTTCACCACCATCGTACGATAGATCTTCCACGCCGGCACAATTGAAATGAATTACAATACTACTTCAGACTGACTTAGATGTGAAAACTGCCCGTGTTCAAAACGATGTTTACTACAGAATAGTCTATAAATAATTCTTTTATTTATGCGAACATGGCCTGGCACAATTTATGCTAGTCATAAATGTACTTAAAATTTATTACCATATCATCCGTATAAACCTCAGATCAATGTTAATTAATAATATTAAGATGAAAGGTATTTTAACATTTTGATAATAGTAGTTTTGGCATATAGAACTTTTTACGTGAATTTTTTTATACAAGTTTAGAACTGTTTTAACTGGAAAGTCGATACAATGTTATAAAATAATCTAGATGCCTGAATCGAGATCATTCTGATGCTGCAGAATAATCCGATCATTAAGAGAGTTCTTCACTTTTTTAACTATTTCTATACCATGTTACTCTTGTCATTCCCAGCAATTCAAAATTTTTATAGGAATCAAGGTTCATAAAAAGAACTTAATCTCAATCCGTCCATGCATTATGATAACTGTAGTCTTTTATCATTAGCATTACAATAACTTTAGTATTTAAATATAAATTAACGATTGACTTATTTTAATATTATATTGCCGTTTTAAAATACATTTTCGGATTGCCAAGCATACGCTAATGATCCGTACAATGGGGAGCACTCTTGGAGTAAGTTGTACCGGTAAGAATAATGCTATCTTTAGTCTCGTCCTGAGACCAAAGAGAATCATCAAACAAGAGCATTGTAGAGATATGCTTCTGATTATGCAATAGACGAGTCGCTAAAATCTGCCATAGCATAAAATGTAGAGAATGGTACCTTATAAAAATGTACCAAGAATGACACACATTAGTTGGCAATGAATGGATTGTGTCTATTCTTTACTGTTAAGAATATAGACATCTAATCCACCTAAAATATTTAGCTGGCTTAATTGAGCTGTTCTACTTGCGGATCATAGAATATTAAAATATTTTTAAACAATCCTTCGTATTTCACAATTGAAGAAACAATAGAATATTGTATTACGTTCATATTTTTAGAATTCAAATACAATTGTCATAGAATTTGTCAACATATTTATTAGAAAAAATTATCGTAAATCATATTTAAGCATTGTAAGTATTCTATGTACTGTTTATTTATATTTATATTTTAAATTATTGTTCAAATTTGTTGTTACCACGACTATGGCGCACAAAATAAAAATGTGTGCAATCAAATTGACGATAAAAAGAAATATTGAAGAAAGGAGCTTTTACGATACTAGTCATGACAAAATAATATTATTACTTTTAATATTATATAATTATACGATACGTTAATTAATGTTCACTTTGGTAGAAATACATATACGTATATATATGTATAATAAATAAACTATTGCAAATTGAAAATTTGTAGCTATTTAAATTGCGTACTTCATTAATTCTCGAGAAACATAAATTTCATTTATTTACGAAAATAACAGCTCGTTAAAATCTCGTATTATTAGTTAATAGTAATTCGAATATTGAATTAAGTAGTGAGTCTCTTGTTGTTATTAAAAAAGGAATATTTAAAAGAGGAGACTAATATTTTTGAATCATAATCTAGTCCGACATACTCGGGCAGTCTTATAACGGTCGATCTCACTCGATATTTTCCGATCTAATTCGAAATTCATTACTTAAAAATAAAATCATACTCTGATTTAATTTTCTTATTTATGTATGTTTATCTCAACTTACATCAGCTATTTCGGCATCAATTAATATATAAGTTCGGGATAAAGCTGCATCAAGCGCCTTAGTTTCTCGATTCGTTCAAACGTTTGAATGTAACGGCCATCTTTTCGAATTTTCCCGATCCAATCCAAACCGATCATTTCACACACACTTACAGAAGTCCTACGACTCACTGTGTCGTTTCGTGGTGTAGTGTATTTAGGTGAAAATGTACCTATGAAAATATGTATTAAACCTAGAATTCTCGTAGGAAAATCACAGACTGTGAATGTTTTACAATTTTAAATAAAAATTCTACTTACGCTGATATTACAAATTATTCTTTATATCATGTTATATGCTTTTATATTGCAATTGATACAGAGATAAATATGTACGTCTCTTTGGCGCCAATATTGTACTCCGAAAATCACTAGAATTCTCGTAAGAAAATCACACACATACTGTGAATATTTCATAATTTTAAATAAAAATTCTACTTACGTTCGTACAACAAATTATTCTCTATATCATACTTTATGCATTTATATTGCAATTAATACAGAAATAAATATGTACGTCTTTTTGGCGCCAATATTGTACTCCGAAAATCACTAGAATTCTTGTAGGAAAATCACACACATACTGTGAATATTTCATAATTTTAAATAAAAATTCTACTTACGTTCGTATAACAAATTATTCTCTATATCATACTTTATGCATTTATATTGCAATTAATACAGAAATAAATATGTACGTCTTTTTGGCGCCAATATTGTGCCCCGAAAATCACTAGAATTCTTGTAGGAAAATCACACACATACTGTGAATATTTCATAATTTTAAATAAAAATTCTACTTACGTTCATATAACAAATTATTCTCTATATCATACTTTATGCATTTATATTGCAATTAATACAGAGATAAATATGTACGTCACTTTGGCGCCAATATTGTACTCCGAAAATCACTAGAATTCTCGTAAGAAAATCACACACATACTGTGAATATTTCATAATTTTAAATAAAAATTCTACTTACGTTCGTATAACAAATTATTCTCTATATCATACTTTATGCATTTATATTGCAATTAATACAGAAATAAATATGTACGTCTTTTTGGCGCCAATATTGTACTCCGAAAATCACTAGAATTCTTGTAGGAAAATCACACACATACTGTGAATATTTCATAATTTTAAATAAAAATTCTACTTACGTTCGTATAACAAATTATTCTCTATATCATACTTTATGCATTTATATTGCAATTAATACAGAAATAAATATGTACGTCTTTTTGGCGCCAATATTGTACTCCGAAAATCACTAGAATTCTTGTAGGAAAATCACACACATACTGTGAATATTTCATAATTTTAAATAAAAATTCTACTTACGTTCGTATAACAAATTATTCTCTATATCATACTTTATGCATTTATATTGCAATTAATACAGAAATAAATATGTACGTCTTTTTGGCGCCAATATTGTACTCCGAAAATCACTAGAATTCTCGTAAGAAAATCACACACATACTGTGAATATTTCATAAGTTTAAATAAAAATTCTACTTACGCTGATATTACAAATTATTCTTTATATCATACTTTATGCATTTATATTGCAATTAATACAGAAATAAATATGTACGTCTCTTTGGCGCCAATATTGTACTCCGAAAATCACTAAATATGCTACATATATTGTACAATTTTATATTTAAATAAATTTTACTTAAAATCAATTTCACATGCCACTACTTTACGTAGTTTTTCTAAAATATTCCATATGAAAAAGAAATATTTTTGTTTGTAATAAAATTAACTGTAGCAACGCTAGTATTAATTTAAATATTTTGGGGGCTACATAAATATTTAGTCCTTATTTTATATAATTTTAATGCATTGTATTTAATATTATTTGTAATTATTTTACGTGTATGTACGTGTATGCAGAGATAAAGAAATGTGGATTACTTGTTATCCCATTACTAAAGGACTTTGGACTCTAACTCTAGATGCAAATTAGTTTCATTTTATTTAATACTCAATTAAGAAACAGTATTTACGAATCATAATTGCAAAGAATGTTCGCCACGAATTTTAGAATGTTACGAGCTAGTAACAAAGTGAGTAAAAGAAACTTTAATTATCTTGATCTTCGTTTGTTATGTGCTAACCATACACACTTGTTATTTAACATTCTTTTAATTAAAAATATTAATTTTCATGGAAAAAGGCACGTAATAATAATTTTTACTATTTGTAATATTTTCAAGACTACTCTTTTTTTAATAAAACAAATTCTCATTGGCAATGTAAATGAACAGCTGTCAAGAATTTTGTATAAAAAGAGAATCTTACATTTTTATACATCTATTTATACTTATAATTTATGATAGTATACATAATATAACAACTAGTTTTAGAAAGTTATTATTTTTTACAGCTATAATTTATGGTTATAATTTGATGTGAACTTTGATTAAAGCAATTGTTGTTTATAGTTTGGTTCATTGGCACGTTACGAGTCTACATTAGTTATTGCAGAACATAATAATGAATCATTATTACCTATTACTTCCAATGCCCTAAGTGTAGCAAAAAAGATTGGTGGAGATGTCACTGTTCTTGTTGCTGGAACTAAATGTGATGCAGTTGCACAAGCTGTTAGTAAAGCAAATGGTGTTTCTAAAGTGCTAGTAGCAGATAATGATGCGTTTAAAGGATTTCTTCCAGAGGCATTAACTCCACTTATTATTGCAACACAAAATGAGCATAAATTTACTCATATTTTGGCTGGTGCCACTGCTTTTGGTAAAGCATTGCTACCAAGAGTAAGTATATTTGTATCAAAGCATTCGTGTCATTTTTGCATATGCATTATGTATAACTTTTTTTTTACAAGGTTGCAGCTAAATTAGATGTATCTCCTGTAAGCGATATCATTGGGGTTAAAGCACCAGACACATTTGTTCGTACAATTTATGCAGGGAATGCAATTCAAACTTTAAAATGCAAAGATAAAGTAAAAGTAGTGTCGGTGAGAGGTACTGCATTTGAAGCAACACCCCTGGAAGGTGGTAATGCTAAATGTGAACCTGCACCAGCCGGTGACTACAAACCAAAATTGATAGAATTCATTAAGCAAGAGTTGTCAAAGTCCGATAGACCAGAATTGACATCTGCAAAGGTTGTTGTTTCCGGAGGAAGAGGAATGAAATCCGGGGACAACTTCAAATTATTGTACACATTAGCCGACAAACTTAATGCAGCAGTTGGTGCATCTCGTGCTGCAGTCGATGCTGGCTTTGTACCCAATGATTTGCAAGTTGGACAGACTGGAAAAATCGTTGCTCCCGTAATTATATAATTACCGCGGCTATTATTGCTCTTAAAATATTTTACATGTAATTTGTGTTTTGTAGGATCTCTATATTGCTGTGGGTATCTCTGGGGCAATTCAGCACCTTGCTGGTATGAAAGACTCAAAAACAATTGTTGCTATTAACAAGGATCCAGAAGCTCCGATCTTCCATGTAGCAGATTATGGCATAGTTGCTGATCTGTTTAAAGTTGTCCCCGAACTAACAGAGAAATTATAAATTTAAAAAGAGAATTAAAAATATTTGTATTATAACCGTTTTTATAAAAATTATATAAATACATATATTCCATGCTTTTTATTTACATTCAACTCTGCCTTTTCTATTGACTTTTTAATTTGTTTAAATTCTAAAGTTTTATAATACCTGAAAACTACTCTAAATATTATTCGAATTTAAGTTCTTCAACCATTTCCCTATACGTTATTTCATGTAATTAATAAGTTATAAACGATCACTGGAAGCGACATTTATTTCAATATTGCGCTAAAATCTGCAAAGAAACAGTGTCGCCATCTAATATCAAGGTTTCGAACTCAAAAAATCGTCCCAGGATCACAGAATGTGTGAGGAGGTATCCGGAGTACAGCTACCCCCACTCCTGCTACTTCTGATACGCAGTACCTTGATCATTCATTAATTACTCCTTTCCTGGGATTCAAATATGAATTTTTAGAATTGAAGAATGTAGTATAGACCCTTGGCAACATTCAAGGACCGATAGATGCCTAAGGTGTCGCGTTAAAAGGTTAGAAACAGTGGGCCGACTTCCGATACTCGTTAATAACGTCATAATTACGAGCGAAATGGTTCTAAAAACTATCCTGGAATTTTGCCAAAGGTCCATACTATATTCTTAAACTCTAAAAGTTCATAATTTATTCCCAGGAAAGGCGTAATTAGTAAATTAAGGAGCAACAGCAGTGAATTATTGATTGTTGGATGGTGGCGCCAACTAGTGGCGAAAACAGCGTACTATGTGTTTCTCGGCTTATAATGAATTGTTGCTCCTTAATTTACTAATTACGCCTTTTCTGGGAACAAATTATGAACTTTTAGAGTATAAGAATATAGTATGGACCTTTGGCAAGATTCCAGGATAGTTTTTAGAACCATGCTATGCTTCATTAAATAGTTATTAACGAACATCGGAAGTCGGCCCACTGTTTCTAGCCTTTTAACGCGACACCTTAGGCATCTATCGCTAATAACTAATTAATTAGAGCAAGGAGCGTTGTAAAATCGGTCCGTGAATGTTGCCAGGGGTGTCTACTTGGTTCTGTAATAGCCAAAATGTGTGTGTTATTGTTGGAAAGTTGATAATTCATCGATTAAAGCAGACAGTTACACAGCCGTAAATGTTCCGACTTCCGATATTCGTTAATAACGTCTTAATTACTGGCGGAATGGTTCTAAAAGCTATCCTCGAATGTTACCAAGGATCTATACTACATCCTTCAATTCTAGAAGTTCATATTTGAATCCCAGGAAAGGAGTAATTAATGAATAATCAAGGTACTGCGTATCAGAAGTAGCAGGAGTGGGGGTAGCTGTACTCCGGATACCTCCTTACACATTCTGTGATCCTGGGACGATTTTTTGAGTTCGAAACACTGATATTAGATGGCGATACTGTTTCTTTGCAGATTTTAACACAACTATAGGTCATTCATGTACGTGAGCTCGTAGTATATATGCATTTTAGCAGTACGAATTCCTGATATTAGATGGCGATACCGTTTCTTTGCAGATTTTGACTCATGTATATGCAACATACAATCACAGATCGAATGAACAGACAATCCATTTAAAATTTAGAATAATAATTGTTTATTTCTTTAATTTTCTATACATTTAGTTACAATGAGATATTTGGTATTATTTTTAATGTCTTCCATACAAGGTCATGTTACTATTAATCTATAATAATTACAGTTCTGTAGTCAAGTACTCGATGAGAGTGAATTTGTAAAGATATATAAAATATTACAAATAAAAATATATTTATTGTATAATGTATTGTGATGTATCCTTGGCCAAAGACAACAGTTAAATTTATAATCTTGTAATTTCATTTGAAGCACATAATTCAATGTCTTCTGGTATAGAATTTTGTCTGCTCTTTTCATAATAATGGGTTATTATGCCAGCACCTAGAGCATCAGCTATGATGTTCAAGGTGGTTCTAAAACGATCTCTGAGAAGCAATATTTTAATTTATTACATCGAATAAATGATTTAGATTATTTAAGTAGATTGATAGATGCTTACACAAGCCAATCAATAGCAATAATGAATGAAACATCTTCTGCTGGAACCCCCATAGAATTTAGTACCATTATCAACATCACATAACCACCACTTGGCAAACCAGCAGCACCAATGCATGATATAGTACATGTGATGCTATAGCATTTTTTTTTTTAATGTTAACATACAAGTGTAATTGTATTTAATTGTTTTGTGTTACTTCGTGAGAATATCAATGGAAACAATTATAATACAGACCTGATTATTACGATTTGAATGAATGAATATTGTATTCCATGCAATTGAATTATGAAGATTGCACCAACACTTTCATACAATGCTATACCATCCATATTTATTGTAGCACCGATTGGAACAATAAATTTACATATTTTAGATGGTATTCCAATGCGTTCTAAACATGCAATTGTTATTGGAACTGTAGCTGTACTAAAGTATAATTTTTAGCTATTTAAAATTTTGTTGAAAAGAAACAATTTCAACAAATTTTGTTTAAATTGTACATATTAGATTTATTATGATTAATTACCTGGACGATGTACTAAATGCAGTGGCAAAAGCTGATCCAAGTTTAAATATAATTTTGTACGGAGATCGGCGTGTACATATAAAATATAACAAAGGGAGCAATACAAAGCCTTGTATGAGTAAACCACTGAACACAGTCAATGTATAAACTCCCAGCTGTTCTATTACACTGGCAAAACTTTCTACTTCCAGAATTTTGGCAGAGATAAGAAAGAATACGCTTATTGGTGCTATCCTATATGGTATAAATGTTATTTACTAAAGTCATTAATTTTCTCCGTTGCATTCGGTAATTATTATCTTTACATTATTGCCCAATTCATAATTTCCATCATTGCTTCTGATAGAGAATGAAACATGTTTTTTAAAGGTTCACCCTTGGCATCTATGTTTCCAATTGCCATACCCAGTATCAAACTAAAGAATACCAAGCCTACAACATTTGTTCCTGACACATCTTTATGATTTATTTTCCATTCATCTATTGGTACTATAAAACAAGGAAGAGTATAATAATTACACTTGTTTGTTGGTTCATTGTATACAAGGGAAAGCTGTTTGTATTATTCTAACATACCTGATTTATTCACTGGTGCCTCTAACACAGACTGATACTAAAACAATATCTTTATATAAGATGTATCATTTAAAACAAGTCACCTGATCTTACAAGTAAAATCATATTGTTTTTTTTGGCTTGTTAAAATAAAAATTCCATTACCTGATTTATGCATGCATTCACTATGTTATCTGGTATCAGATTGCTATGATAAAAGCAAATAAAATTGAATAAATGTATGAAAGTATATAATAAGATTGTATCAGAAATGTAAATATGAATCACCGAAACAAATCTAAAATCGTATCTTCCGTAACGAAATATTTGGTAGCATTTTGTAATACAATATTTTCATTTTTATTCAATCTTCCAGGTTCTATTGTTTCAACAAGTATAACACTTAATGTTATTCCAAGTATTGTTGTTGTTGTGTAATAGTACAATGCCATTACTCTAATGCGACCTATGAATATTACGATATTAAACGATATAAAAATGAATTATATTGCTTAATAACGACACCGTTAATTGTTTCACATTTACCTGATTTCTTCAAATTGCAAGTAGCACTTACAATGCTAGATATTAAAAGAGGTAATATCAAACAATTTACTAGTCTCATAAATAATTCTCCTGGAAACCTGAGATACATTAGATTTCGTTCAGACCATGGTTGGTCTGTGGAAACCTTAAGGATGAGACCTATTACAATTCCAGTAGATACACCAATAATTGTATGTAATATTAGATTCTGTTTTAATAAATTCTTTAACACATTCATTTTATATTAATTTGTTATTAATGTTCACAATCGATAGTGCAGTAACTTGCATATGATCCACATGGATTCATACTTTATATTAGAATAAATAAATGATACTTAGTCCGCTGATATAAACGTTAACTAGATAAAATTGTCTAGCACTAATGAATATATACAAAGATAAGAACTCTTATCTGATAAAATGATAAAATAAAAGCGCGGTTTTATGTAGTTTGCATCAAGTCTTCTTGTTTATCATATTGTCATGTAGTTTTTCGAAACAGTAAAAAACAAATCTTATTCTCGACAGTAAACGTATCGAGATACGAACGAGATTTTGTCCGATTGTTTAATTAATTATTACAAAATTACATTATCGAACAGCAATTGTAGTACATAAGTAAGTAAATAAGTAAATAATGTTGATATTTTGCTTTTTATTTATTTTGCACCTATTACAATATAATAAATATGATCGTGCACAATACGTGAAGGATGTGTATTTACACACGTTTTTAATTTTCAGGCCATAATTTTACGTATTTGTAACTGAGTTCGCATTATTATGCTATATACTTCTTTAATCATTTAATATAATTTATACATATCTTTACAATTCTGCATCATCTTTTGAGTTAATCATTAAAACATCACATTATGCGTTATGCATTCCATCTGCATCCAGTCTTCTGAAGAAAAGTGTCATAATCTATCGTTCTTCCATTAAAATCATGACTATCGATCCTTAAAGTTCCAATAATTAGTTCATTGTCGTTTATATGAAGTATTAGTGAGATCAGTAAAGAAATTTATTAACGTTACATTTATACAAAGTCATGTTTCGTAAGTTTACATATCTAGATCTACATATTTTCCTATGCTGCTTAATATTTGGTTTTTTTTTTTGTATAGTACGCAATTTTCATTTTCCCTTTTAATCAGGACTCTTATAGATCTTTTTTGTTTTCACTTTTTCATGTGAGGTAATTTGATTTTGCTCAAATAAAAGGAGAAAAATTTGTTTATTGACTTTCGCTTTTTGGTGATTACGATTCGCCAGGCGCAATTACGGATCCCGTTGCCCTGCTGAGGTGGTTCTGTCAATACAACCTATAGCACAGAAATTACGAATGCAATTAGATCCTCGTCTATTTTCGTAATTAATTATGAAAATTAATTATTACGCATTACAAGTGAACTCGACACAACAACACAAACACACTTAAACGTAGATTAGTGAGACCAATTATTCTGAAAAGATTAGAATATTAAAAGTATAAAAATTCATGGTCGCCGGGTGACTAATTTTATTGCAAAAATCTAATGTTATACATAGTTATTCTTGACCATGCAAAATGTATAAGTTATGATTTAGTAAAAGGAATGCAAAGATCTACTGATACCACTTCCAAAATTGGACACTGCAATTACAGTGCATAAGGTTTATCTACATCTATTTCTTATAAACTGTGTAATCATTCGGATATTGTAATGTCGTTTAACGGAACTACAACTAAACTCTCAAAAATAAAAAGAAACCTAAGAACTTGTCATTCAATAATCTTGAAATTAATATTGGGAATCGAATTAAACGAAATTCAAGGAATGAAAATATTTAAATTCTAATTCTAAGTGTACGATTCAATGAGCATTGTTGCAATATATTTATGAAGCATAACGAAATAATACAGTGCATTATAAGAAATACAGCAAGTACATCATTCTAATCATTTATACAATCTTATAAGAATCAAAAATCTGATTATGACTTCTATGGTTTATTCTTTCTTTACACATGTTTTAAATACATAGTCTATTTAAGACATACATTGATTTTATGATCAGAGATGTTTTCTGCGATCCTCAATAGTAAAACTGTTAATACCTGTCCCTACAAAGGTGTTTCCTTTCGTGCCTCCGCCTTCCACTGAAATCCATTTACTCGCGTTGTAATAGGTTTATTTCTATTAGTTGCATTCTCAATTCCATTTCTAACACCCGCTACTAATCTCATGGCTGGGTTGGAAACCAAGCCATTGCGCTTTGGTTTTGCGTTACTTGCACTGGAACGAAAAAGAAATGATTCTGCTTGAAAGATTTTTACGATTATCGAATACAGTGAGTCCTTCGCTTTTATATTGTATTTAATTTACTTTCAAATTTCCATAACTCTAGGACTTACTGTATAAAAAACACCGTTTAAAAAAAGTAGCAACGAGTGATAAACGAACGTTTGTAGTTAATACATTAATTAAACTAATTAAAAGTTTGAAACATTAAAATCATTACCTGCCAGGCGTATGGTCCGTAGTATGTTTCACGCTTCTCCCAACACCTGCTCCGCTATTTCCCAGAATTATCCTCATGTGAGTGTCTCTAGTGAAATGGGTATCGGCCGAGTTTCTCTTTTTGTCGAGCCCGTTCTTCTTCTCTTTACCAACATTTAAACCTAACATTTCGTTCGTCAATTCGAACGGTTTACTAACGTCATTCTTATCGATGATCTCGGTTTTTATGTTGATCGGTTCGTAAATGGCTGGCGTGTGATTGTACCCTCCGATCTGTGTTTTGTACGGTATATTTTGGTTTCCGGTTAACAAAGACACCCCCAGCTGACTTTGTATCACGTTCGCTGCTATTTGGGCGCTCGGTGGACTCGTGTTCGTAGGTGAATAGGGTATGAGGCTGTCGCTTAATGGCGAATGAGGTGGCGAAGCATAGATCGGGCTCTGCGGTTCGCTTTTCAGAGGCGACAAGAGTTTGCTGAGCGGTCGACTCTTTGCTCCCCTCGAACATTGTTGGAGTTGTTGTGTGAAAGATAATGGTGTCTAAAATTATAGGAGTCAGATAACGTCTGATTTTTCTTTTTTCGTTCTGTTTTGTTTTTGTTATAAAGATCATAGCGTGTATAGATCGAGTTGGTTTCTACATGAAGCGAATGTGGAATTTTCGTTCATCTTATCGAACGTCATACGTATGTTCGTGATTCGTGCCAGTATGTTGTACTCGTAAGAGAGAGACAAGTATTTCCATGTCATTTGTTAAGAAAAAAAAAAAAAAAAAAAACAAAAAAAAACGTCGAGAGAAACGATCTGTACACGAGTGCATAGAACAGAATTAACAAAACATGCAGCAAGTTAATGAAACGTGTGATGGATGAATTGATTGGAAGTGGTATCGGATTTGAAAATTCTTCAAGTACAGTTACGAGTTAATGGAAAAAAAAGCATTGAATACATCATTGTTACCTACTTTTATTACCTGATTCACCATCGAGTTCTGATTGAATTTCCCTTGGTCGCTTTTCGTGCTGCCGGTCAAGTTGCTGCTGGATTTACTGTTGCTAGAGTTATTGCCCAGGGAAACGCAGCTTCGTCTTTTCGTCGAGTCTGGCGATTCTGCAGGACTATACTGCGTGGAGAGGGGATTTAGGATCGCGGACGATGGTTTTGTTTCTGCCGTTGAGTTTGAGGTTACCGAAGTAGCGCTACTACTTCCACCTGTATCAAATACGCAAACAAATTATAACAGAGTTTCGAGATAACGTTATACTTGATGTTGCAAACTTAACCAACCTCCGTTGATACCAGGTCTTAGACTTCGTTGATTGGCAGAATGTTCTTCGAGTAGTCTCACCACAGTGTCGTGGCCACTTTTAGCGGCCACTTTTATCGCATTTCGACCACAGTGGTCGGAATGACTGGGATCAGCACCATGATTAAGAAGCGCTCGCACACAGTGTTCGTGGCCTTCTTGTGCAGCAATACCTGATTTATAGTTATAGATGATGACAATTTTAACGACTTCAGCTTGTTCTTTGCTCGTTTCATCGTTTGGAATAGTAAACAGAAATTAATATCTTACCTAGAGCTGTTGCGCCTTGGTTACAAGTGTGATCAGGGGTGGCTCCGTGTTCTAGAAGTAGTCTAACAATGGCAGCGTGACCCTGCCAGGCTGCGGAATGAAGAGGAGTTCTGTTCTCGTTGTCACAGGCGTTTACATTGGCTCCACCTTCTGTTAGCAATAAAGCCACCATCTCAACGTGTCCTTGCCAAGCACTTACATGCAGAGGAGTTCTGCCCTGTAAAGTTATGATAAATTTTTGATACGGATCTGCAGCTATAACAGATTAAATTAATTCCGTAAGTAAAATTAGAGAACATAATGACGCAAAGAAGTCTCAGATCTCGTCGATACTCACTGTGATATTCGAGATTCTACGCAAGGATGTTACTTACTTCCGAATCTCTGCTTTCGATATCGGCGCGTGCGTGCTCCAACAAGAAGCGCGCCATTGCCAATCTGTTCTCCAAGGCGAGGATGTAGAGAGTGCTTCTGCCGTCCGCGTCTTTCGCGTTAACATCAGCATTGTGCGCCAACAGTACTCTGACGGTGTCGTAATGCCCCTCGAGAGCTGCAAGTCTATGATCATGTTTTATTGATGAAAAATATTTTACGCAAGGCACTTGGACGAAATGTTACGTTAGAGTTTGATATCAAGGGCAAGAACGAAAGCGTACCTCAGGGCTGTTTTCCCGTCGTGAGCGTGTTGGTCGATCGGCGCGTTGTGCTGTTTCAGCAACCTTTCGACCAACGTGTAATGGCCCTCTTGAGCGGCGAGCATCAGAGCTCCTTTTCCATCGTTGTCGGTTTCATCAATTTTGGCTCCAGCCTCCAGCAGCGCTTTACAAACGTCGATATGACCTTCGAACGCCGCGTAGTGCAACGGTGTCCAGCCCGAATTGTCTCTGTGCTGCTCGTCTAAACCTGAAACATCGTACGTTTCCACTTGGTAACACGTGTTTCATCGGTTAACGATCGCAAGATACATTTGATAGATTCGTTCTTAGAGCAACAAGAATACGGAAATAGACATCGATATGAAATAGGAACACCTGTACCTCTGTCTAGTAATTGTTTCACCACGTCTGTACCACCCTGGGCAGCAGCCACGCTGAGAACGGTCCTGCCCTCGTTATCGATGCTATCAATGTAACATCCCCAGAATAACAGAAGAGCGACAACCGATCCATGGCCCATACTGGCTGCTGCCCATAAAGGTGTACGTCCGGTGGCGTCACAGTGGTCTATGTCTGCATCGTATTCCAGAAGCAATTCGCAAACGTCTCTGTGACCCTCGAACGCTGCTACCAATAGCGGAGTCATGCCGTCTTTGTCTTGATGATCAACGGCTGCCCCCCTCTCCAAGAGTATCGTAACCACCTACGATGACAATTCGTCAGAAGTATAGTCCGTCAGAATATGAACGAAAATTAGTCAAATCGAAAAATGATACAACCCCTCGCGTCTGATAGAGTGTATTGTGTGTTGTTTGCGCAATAGCAAAGTTTAGTGTTGATTTTAACATTGATTTATATATTTTTTTAAACGGGGGAGGAAACGAACCTTCGTATAGCCATGGTTGGAAGGTACACACAGAGCAGCGACGCTGAGGGCTGTTCTTTCATCGCTATCGGCGTGATCGATCTCCGCGCCGAAGTTTAGAAGGTATTCGACAATCTCACTGTGACCCATGTAGGCAGCAGCAATTAAGGCAGTTCTGCCCTCGTCATCCGTTCTGTTGACGTCGGCGCCGTGCTGCAGAAGTGCTTTAACGATGTCCTCGTGGCCACCCCACGCAGCTGCTCTCAGTGCGGTTCGTTGATCCCAGTCAGCGCAATCCACCAATGCCCCGTACGTCAAGAGCATTTCGACCACCTACATTTTCGTGTTCAGATTTTATTAGATTTTCATCCACCTTTTGATCGAATATTAAAGTTGCACGTTGCAACAATCTAGCAAGCCTACTTTCAATGCATTCGTTGTTTGTGGTTTTCGCTCTAGATACATATACATATATGTATTTTAAAAAAATCGATTTCTCGAACCTGTTACCCAAGAATCCCTTCTTAAGTGTTTATATTATGCATTTCTGAAGTATCCTGGATCGTTCGCTAATTGTAGTGGAATGATTACCTGAGTATGCCCACCCCAGGCAGCAGCTCTGAGAGCCGTCCAACCGTCGCAGTCCGCATGATCTGCACATGCTCCAGCAGACAAGAGTACTTGGACAACGTCCGCGTAACCGTGTCTGGCAGCCAAGTTCAATGGCGTCTGACCATGACGGTCAGTGGCTTCCAATTTTGCCTGTACATTTCATAGGAATCACTCATAAACTAACACGTTTTCTCTTTTCTCTTATTAATTTATCAGAAACACCGTGCAGAACCAGTTTTTACTTTCAACTAGCTGAAATTCCCGTATAATACAAATATTCTCTGCTGTTCCGCGTAAATAAATATGTTGCGATTGGCAATGAAAACTCACCTGAGGGCACGTTGCTAAAGCTAACTCCAACAGAGATGCATTGCCGTCCGCAGCAAGCGTATGCAGCACTGTTCGTCCGCAAGAATCAGTTTGATTGATATCTCCGCTCTCACCGAGCAGTTCCGTTAATGACTCGCTAGGAGATTCATCCATTGGGCTCACATCTTGCGAGACCTACGACAAAAGTACATTTTGTTCCTACTTGTATCTTTCTTTATCGCAATAACGAGAATAAACGAAGCAATAACTTATAAGAATATATTTTACCATTATTTACAATATAAAATTGATTTTGACCAGCGAACGTCGGAGTAGAAATTAATACCTGACTAGAAGAAATAGCGTCCTTATTGGCATCATCTTCCGCCACCTTTTCGGATGGTTTAGCCCCAGCGTCGATGAGCAGTCTCAGTAATTTCACCTCCTGTCTGGGCCATAGGATGCACTCGGAGCTGTCCAAGTAGCAATTTTCGATGGGCGCTCCGCTGCCTATCATCCAGAATACCTGAAGCGTGTGGACGTCCAAGTTGCAGTTCGTAGTGGCTACATTGGTTATGGCTCGTTGCAGGTGCTGACCCAGTACGCAGATTTCGTCAGGGTTCAACTCCGTGCCGCGAAGAGTGTAATAACCCGCCAACATCGCGTGACCTTCGATGGCGGAGCAAAGATACTTTTGCGTGCAGTGTTTGACGTCGAGCAACCACTCGGCGAAACTGTGATGGAACAGCATAAGCGCGCCGGCACGGGACACGGAGATCACTCTGCGCAGAAGGTGTAAACGTCGATTGAAGTCCTCCACGGTGATGCTGGTGCAGGCTGTTTTCACGCATTTGTACAGGATCTCCTTGGTGATTGGCAGTTTCGCGGCTAGTATCACGTTTAACAGCGGTTGAACTTTCGCGAACTGTTTCCTGCTGAAGAGTCGTTGGCATAGCCAGAGGTAGAGACCGTTCAGGGTGCCTGGTATCTCGCGGACCTCTCTTAGGACGATGAAGTTCTCGGCCACGCCGTCGAGAACTTTTTCCAGGTACAGAAAACAACCGTTGCTCTTGATGTGCAGCTGGTTTAGCATCTCGGCCGTGTCGCACGAGATGTGCTGCCTGATCGAAGGAACGAAGGAAAATTAATTCGACGTTTGAATCACATAGGGTATCCATGAAAAAAGAAATGTTTTTTTACAGCAGAGTCATTTACCTGAGCGCCTCTTCTTGATCCAACCGTGCAAGAATGTACTGCTGGACGTCTCTCACGACGTGAGATTTCCTTAGGTCGTCCAACGAGATCTTACGGAACCCGGTGAACATCCGCGAGATCGATTTACTTTGTCGTCGAGCGGTGCAGACCAGCAGCAACCATTGAGGGAACAGGTGATGATGGTTGGCCAATAATTCAGCGATCGTCCTACTGACATTGTCGTTTTCTCTCCTTGAATCTCTGGTACCGGTTTGCGGAGGATTCAAAGTTTGACCCTCGTCGATAGAATCAACCAATAGGAACAAGCAGCTCTTCGGTGGCTCTACCTCTAACAGGGGAAACAGCAGAGCCTTTTTCAGAGCGTCGTCGGGATCACGGTCGAGAACGTCCGGTTGCAGGGCAGCCTGTATATCCGGATCCGTTCTGAGCTTCTCCGCGTAAGCTTCCGCCACTGCTTCCCTCGAAGTCGACGGGATCGACGTGGCGTTGGTAGTCGTCGTAGTAGTGCTGGCAGGAGACGGCGAGCTTGTCGACACTCTACGAACAATTTTAAACAGTTTCGGACGTTCTGAACCAGCGTAGGTTTCTCAAGAGTACTCTAGACGTTCGAGAGTCCTATCGCAATTACTAACCTGTGAATACCATCCGAGCTAGCCTGCAATAGTTGAGCAACCAAAGATCTAACGAATTGAGCCGGCGACAAGGAGGCCTCGCTTCTTGCCTGGCAGAAATGCCTGGCGAGCAGTCTCCTGTTCAACGATCTCTGATGTTTAGCGTTGGCGCCGGTCGATGGCCACGCAAGCTCGGCGCAGAGGGCGGTTTTCCCGCTTCCTGGGCCGCCGACGATCAGAGCACCGCATGTCTTCGAGGCTGGCCTTTGCTCCAAGCAATGGGACAGCCTGACGAACACCCATTCGCGGCAGAAGAACCGCTTCTTCTCGATCACCGGCGCGGCCATCTTCACGGTTCTACGATCGGCCGTCGCGTCGATGGCTCGAGCCTAACCGATCAAAACGACACCGGTCGTGTTTGCGATTACGTTTCGTTGCTCTTTGCGATTGTACGCCGGTGCGCGTCGATCCCCCGCGAGATCTACTGTCATAGTAATTCGATTCTTTTGTTCGATAAATAGGTCGGTGTGTCGGGAAATGGAGGAAGATCAGGCCGTCTGTTAAAAGAGTTTTCCGCGACGATTAGTGTTCTAGGCTGAACTGACGGTTCCTTGAAACGCGTGGCCTCGGTTGGGTTCGTTGCTCGACGATGATTTCGATTTCAGCCCCGTTGCAGCATCCCTCACTCGTGAGAATTACGAGCTAGACCAGCTGTGATGCGACGCAGCTATGGTTGATCTCGTTGCACACTGACGAGGAGACGTTGGTCGGAGCCCCAGGGGGCTCTGAGGCTTCCTCGGCCTCCATTCAGGCTTCTCATCGCCTCGTTGCGGACGAGCACCGCGTTTCGTATCGCTGCATTCTACCTGGAACAGCGAAACCAGACCCGGTTACAGCACCCCGCGGAAATGTTACTCGTGATTTCTCCTACGTCTAAGAACACCCCTTCCGTCGCGGGAAAGCCTCGACCGTTCGGGGATTTACCGGAGGCATTTAAAGGGAATTTTGCTATTTCCCCCGGCACTTGTTTGCATTGAAATTATGCCGATTTCAGACGCGAAAGCTTCTCGTTGTCCTTTTTAGGCTCTTTCGTCCGCAAACGGGGACAATGTTAACCGAGCATGTCTCTGGGACATTTTCTACTTCAGAGTAGGGTTGGTTTTATTTTATTTCGAAAATGGTTAAACACCCTGCACATGCGTAATGACAACAAAGACCATCGTGCGATTTACAGCTTGTCCTGTCGCGTTTGCTGAGACGCTTCGTCGAAAGATCGTGAAATCCTGTCGCGACTAATGGAAAGCTCGAATTCCGCTCCGGAGTTATTCGTAGAATGGCGAGTGATCTAAAATTCGTATTTAATGGGCGTAATAATTGTCTGTTCGCGGAAGACAGATAGGATGAAATTACAAGGGAACGCTCGAAACGAGCGAAAATGCGGAGTGTTAATGACAAACTAGTTCTACTAATGAGAAGGGAATACGTATCTTGGCGTCAGAGTTTTCTAATTATGACTACCGTGTTTGCACTTGTTAAGACTTCTCTGTACGAATCCAGACTGTTGTTTAGTGTCAGCGAAACGGAAACTCGTTTATAGTCGTGTGCCTCGGGGAACTATAAATACTTCATAGCTTGCGTTGAATAATACAGTGGTGGACATGAGTACTGGCACGGTACGCGAGTCCTTGTACGAATATTTATAACAACCAAAAACAATGTATACATTACTTGTTTTTTATCTAGCTTTATTTAGAATTCCAGTTTTACATACCCCGGTCTACTCTAAATATTGTACTATGCACCTGGTCGTTGTTTATAATCAGGAAGCAGAGCTCTGGAAAATTTAATATTCAAACCGAAAACGTAGTCGAAAGGAATTCTCGTTGTTGGGATCTGTGGTTCTGAACATTGAGCAGACTTCTGAGAGTCGGAAGGTGGAGGAGGTAGTATCCTTCATAGATCTGCGTTACTGTAACTAGTTACTATACGACGTCGAGACGTCTGTGTAATGTCTAAAGTATCGACACGGTTATTTATGCTGGAAGGAAACGATTACGCGGACTTTCAAATCGTTACGAATGATTTATGCAACTCTGGAATATTATCTGTACTTTGCGCGGATATTATCGACTCGTAAATCTTAAATATTTAAATAGAGTTGGTCGTAAAACGAGGTATTCGTACGAAGAACCTTTTTGGAACGTTAGATGCTCGCTTTGGAACCCTTCGAATCCTCAGACGTTCGATTTAAACGAATTGTCGTATCAGAGAGCCCAGATTACTCTTTTAGGTACGGTTACAGGGGTGGTAAATAGTGGCTGAACACGCTTCTACGGTCGTCGGCTGTTTAATTGCACCGTTACAAGTGGTTGTTTTTATTATTAACAAAATCACGTCCTGTGGTGGCGCAACAAGCGGGTCTGACAGTCGTCTCGAAAACGTCGGGCGTAATTTGCATCGTCGGTGTTACCTGACAAACTGCTTTAATTACGCGGGAGTCTAGTTAATTTCTCACCCGGGGCTCGATTCACGAGCCGCGGAAGGGAAAGACGGGGAGGAACGGGTCCGCGATAATTATGAATCGTTGGGGGTTTCTGCTCAGGAGGCGCGAGGGGCGAGCATTTGTCCCTTCTTCCGATTCCGCGTGGATAATGACATCGGGCGTTCGAGAGTCGGGTCACCTAATTACTCGGCCCCCGTGCGAGCTGAAACTCAAACGTTCGATGGATAGACGCCCCGTTTATTGCTTGTCTCGCGCGACTGTCGATATTGTTTCACGCACGAGCTGCTCGCAGGCTTACAGCCCACCGTAATGCGTTAATTGCACACGCAGTTCGTGAAAGCACGAGACTGGGGGGGCTAACCTATCGACAGGCATGCGTTCGCTGACTAAAGTTAACCCTTTGTCCCCGCGAAATCGTATAAACCGCCATTTTTTACTTGGATTTAAAAGGGTTGAAAAGGGGTAGGAGCTAGCGAGCAGTCGTGAACCAAATTTGAACAAAGACTTTTCGAGCAACTCGAAATTCTGTACACGGTACATCTTTGACGAGCACAGATTACCCGAGAGCTGGTACTGGTTGTGTTTCCTCAAAGTTTCGCGGGAGTTTATTTAATACGGAGCACTGTTATGGGGGGAAATTTATCAGGAAGATAGCGTATTATCTGCACTCGTTACCTTGTCGTTTAGAATTGTCTGGGGAGACGTTTGGACGGAATACGTTCTTGATTTTCACAATGATTTTAACGAAGCTCGTTCCAATCCTCCGGTGGAGGATCCTAGCTCCGCGTGAACGGGGTTTCTCGGGATTTCGCGCGTTTTAATTGCTGTAAATCTGTCCCACGTCGGGCGTAAGAGCTCTGCGAAAACGTGAAAGTGCGTTTTCCCTTGGCACTCAGCCGTCTCTCGGCTTCTCTCGCGACGATCAATTGTTCGAGACCCCCGACGACTTTTATAAATATCCTACAGAAATGCAATTAAACCCCGATCATCGAGAGCCACGAGCAAACCGGAGAAAGTGAAAACTCCTACCAAGTGTGCGCGCAAAGAACAAATTTTTATTAAAAACATTTCTGCTCGCACATATTTTCGGTAAGGAATTTTTTTCTCGAAAGTGGGTAGGATTTCGAAGGTATGTCTATTCACCAAAAATGATTGTTATTGACCCCCGCAACTAAAACTAATTTTTTTAAAACGATTTGAAAAATTTCTGCAACTACCACCTGTCGATTTTGCTTAAAAATTTGTTTTTCATTTTTAATAAATTTGTTTGAAGAAAATGCACGAAGTTTAGGGTGTACTCGGGATACCCTGTCTGTGATAACAGCGCCGGAAGTCCTCCAAGTGATCCAACCGTTTCACGCGAATTGTACGACCGAGACGCGCGAGTAGCCTCTTCATTGTCTCGTTTGTTAAGCAACGGGTACCATTCAAAATTTACTGCCAGCCATATCCAGGTCATGCTGGCAGTTGTTGGCTTATCGCGCGCGGAACCGTCACTCGCGCCACCGATACCGAATTTTCGGAATTCCCTCGCATGTCCCGAACCGGTGTCCGGCCTCAGCTATCAATCGAGCCACGATAAACCTTGACACGAGCGGATCGTGTCCATTGTCGGCGTTCTGCTCGTTTTATACGACTCCGTTTGAAAACCTACAGGGAGGTCTTAAATCACTCCCAAGTGAAATTACTTCTGGAGAAACGCGATCTCTCCCCTTTGCTCGCTCTATGGGCAGGTCAATTTTTTATGTTGATTTATGGTAGATCTAGATAGTGATTTATGGCTGCAAAAATGGCCAGAAGCGACCCAGTTTCGTAATACTTCGAAGTTTTTAAGACTATGAGGTCTTGAAACTCTCAAAAGGGTTCGAAAAGTTATTTCAAGTCTCTTCGCATGAAATCTGGCGGTCGCGATTCGATTGCAAGAAGAGAGTCTCCGGTGTCTCGTCGAAGGTACCATTCGACAGAAGAAGTAAGCATCGCTGATTCACAGGGCAGATATGTAAAATGCCGAGACACTGTTCAGATGCATCATCGAGGATCGTTCGATCGGTGGATCATCGTGTATCGGAAACTGTATCTGGAATACCGTTCGAAGCTATTCGCGTCGGATGATAAGGCTTGGATACGTATTGGTAGCAACGGGGAACGACCACGGCGAGATTGGGGTTGTCTGAAGTCCCCGAGGTCGTCTATACGTCTTGAATTTAATGAACAGAGTGCATCGGCGCGGGCTAGACATGCTGCTGTCCAAATACGGAGGGCACTGTTCGCCGTAGCTGCCAGCTTCAAGTGGGTCAGGCCTGCCTTGACTTCGCTTCGTATGAATTTTAAACAGCGCGCAGCTGGATTGTGGCCTCTGCAACATTTATGCCCGGTTACGACCAACGTCGCGCTTTTAACGTCTCCCGGACAGCTGTTTGAATGCCGTAGTTTGCAGTCATCGGGCATCCAGACGCTACTAATGAGTCAATAGTCGACTCGTTGCTGGGTACTGCGAATTCCTTAGCTCTCGTAGCTGCCCCCCGTCATCGATCTCTGTACAGGGAAAAATTCCAACGAACGTCTGAAAAATGCAACCGTGACCTTTTCTAAGATCGAACTCCAGAATTTCGATTACATCGAGAGATCCTAAATTGAGATCCAGCGTACGTTAATCGATATCCGGGGGGAGCAGCGAAGCGATTCCCAAGGTACGGGAGTTTCGATCGTCGCGGAGACTCGTCACGGAAATGCTGCACTTTCAGCAATCGGCGACAGAACGAGCGTGGCTCAAAGAAAGGGAGGAATAAAGAAAAATCCATCACCGCGGGACATCGGGCGTCTCTGACGGTGGTTCAGCAGCGATTGCTCATGACGATAACGGCGGGGCTGGAGGAGTCAAAGGGAGTATAAGCGAAACGAGAAAAAAGAGGAGGAGGTTGCTTAATGGAGCTGGCGGGTACGGCGGTACATTTCGAACAATGAGGATCAAACCTCTGCGGAGAAGGAAATCGAGTCGAAGTTAGTTCGCTGGAATGACAATGCTCGTTCCACTTGGACGCAAATTCAGTACTTAATAAAGCGGCACATTCACCTACCGGAGGTGGCGGCCGACGAAGACGTAAATTGAGATGTCTCACCTGAATGGGAACTGAGGGACCAGCCGCCGGGCTTCGAGACCATTATCGCCGGGGGATAGAGAGAGAAAGTTCAATTTTACAGTGGACTGACGGGAATTCAATTTCACAACGGATCGTCTTCCGTGCTCGCGCGCGGCGCGTGTTTAGGGATCGTCGACGAAGAAGACCATCGAGCTTTCCTACCGGTTCCGATTCGCTTCGACGGTTAACCCTTTGACCCAGCAACGCGCGCGCGAATCGTTCA